CACTGGTTCTATTCTGCATTTTCTTCCATATCGTTCACTCCAGTACGTTGTTATTTTACTGTGCAGATTTGAGACCTGGCCTCCAATATTTTCCAGTATTTTCCTCCAGTAGAATAATAATTAGATTTATATTTTCTACCTTGATTCTAAGTACCTCTACCACCTCATTAGTTGAGTTCAGGAGTTCCTATCTTCCCAAAAATCTTAAGAGTTCCTATCAGTTCCTATCTTCCTACAGAGTTCCTATCAGTTCCTATCTTCCTACAGAGTTCCTATCAGTTCCTATCTTCCTACAGAGTTCCTATCAGTTCCTATCTTCCTACAGAGTTCCTATCAGTTCCTATCTTCCTACAGAGTTCCTATCAGTTCCTATCTTCCTACAGAGTTCCTATCAGTTCCTATCTTCCTACAGAGTTCCTATCAGTTCCTATCTTCCCCAATATCTTAGAATCGTCCGCAAACATGTTCACATAATTTTGTATTCCTTCTGGTTGATTGTTTACGATTGTTCATATGCAAACATGTTCATATAATTCTGTATTCCTTCTGATAGATTGTTTATGTGGACGATGAACATTACTGGTACAAGAACTGAGCCCTGAGGTACTCTACTAGTAACACTCCTCCAGTCAGATACATTGTCTCTGATTACTGCCCTCATCTGTCTGTCAGAATTTTTTTTTATCTGTGTCAGCAGTCTCCCTGTCACCCCTCCAGTTTCCAGTTTCCAGAACAGCCTTTTCTGTGGGACTCGATCAGAAGCCTTTTCAGGTTCTGATAGACAGTCATCCCAACTACCTCTTTCCTGTAGTATCTTTGTGGTTCTATCATTAAAACTTAGTAAAGATTGGCTACACAGGATCTTCCTGTTCAAATACCAAACTGTCTGTTATTATGTCATTATTCTCTAGGAGTTTAACTCATTTGGCTTTAACTATTTTTTCTAGTGTTTTGACTACCACACTTGTTAATGACAGGGGGTTTATAATTTAAAGGTTCCTCTCAACTACCATTTTTATAAATTAGTACTATGTTTGTTTTTTTCCATATACAGTACATTGTACTGTATCTGCTAAAATTCTTATGCACAAGGTTGTCTGGAATATTAATTGGAGTGGAATTCTCGCAATACCCAAGGTGAAACTCCATCAAGTCCAACCGCTTTATTACTTTCTAGCCCCATGAGTAATTTTTCCACTTCGTCTTGAGATACCTCTATGTGTTCTATGGCATACTCTGGAAGTGGTATCTGGTCCGGGTCTCTGAAATCCTCATTTTATACAATCAGACTTTGGAACTGTTCACTTAGCATTTCACGCATTTCTTTTGCAGTCTCAGTCCTCCTGTTCTCTGTTCTCAATCTCTGGATTTTATCTTTTACATGCAGCTTACTTTTAATGAATTTATAGACAAGGCCTGGATCTGTTTTACATTTGTTAGCTATACCTTTCTCAAAGTTCCTTTCTGCCTCTCTTCTCACTGCTGTATAATTGTCTTTGCTTGTTTGTAATGCTGGTATGTTTGCAGGTTAGGCCAGCAAACTGATATTGAACCCATTTTCTTGTCTTTTCCTCTCATAATTTCTGTTTACCAATCCTGTTTTCTGGTCCTGCATCTCTATTTTGGTATGAATGTTTGTGTGCCTTCATCGTATATATTTTGCAAAATTTGGCATACATCTCCTTTACTTTTTGTCTAGCAACAAGTCTGTTCAATTACATTCATTAAAGAATTTTCTAAGTTTCCCAAAGTGTCCTCTCTTGAAATTGAATTTATCAACTGTTTCAATATCATCATTCTCTTCTATATTATACTGCAAAGCATATTTAATTGCCAACAGGACATACTCACTCTTTCCCAAGGGAAGAAGGCACTGGATGTCAAATTTTCTTCTTTCCTAGTGAATATTAGATCCAGTATTGACGGAACATGAAGTCTCCTTCCCTCATTCTTGTGGTCTGCTTGACATGTTGATACATGAATGTCTCCAGAATGAGGTTTACAGATGCGTGTGTACATTTGCTATTTGTGCCTGCAGAATTGAGCTATTAGCTCTTGGACCCTGCATTTCTAACCAATCTATTTTTCCTCTATTATGTCTACTACATACAGTACATTTCTCTAACACACACGTGAGCACACAAATCCCCAAGTAGCAGCCCGTAACAGCTGTCTAACTCCCAGGTACCTATTTACTGCTAGGTGAACAGGGGCTTCAGGGTGAAAGAAAATCTGCTCAAATGTTTCTACCTTTGCTGGGGATCGAATCCGGGCCCTTAGGACAACGACCCCAGAGTGCTATCCACTCAACCACGAGTGTACTTACCTAAATGTAGTTACAGGATGAGAGCTAAGTTCGTGGTGTCCCATCTTCCCAGCATTCTTTGTCATATAACAATTTGAAATTATGGATTGTTTTGGCCTCCACCACCTTCTCACCTAACTAAATTGTGTGTGTGTGTGGTTGTGGATACATGCTACTTTTAGCTTAAGTTTGCTCCAAACAATTTGAGTATTAGTACTGTTTGAGTGTCCACAGCAATACTCAGTGGCTATGCGAAGTGTGAATAATGATGGATGCATCTGCTTATTACAAGAGTTGCTCAATTTTTATTTACCTGCTCACATATTCACAAACTTATTTGCTCAATCACATTCATCCTTAGTTTTCCTTCTCTTACTCTAACTCACTCCCAAACATATACCAGTTAAGCCCCAAACCTTAGAGGAATGAATTTGTAGAGAAAAAAAACAGCAGAAACATGATTATAACTTACAAAATACAATACTTATGGAAATTGAAAAAGTCAAGACAAACAGTCTGACATGGTAAAAACAAGAACAAAAGATGTAAAGTGAGTACCTAAATTGACTGAATGTTGAGACAAAATCTAGGACTGGTTGGTGGGATTTAAACCTTGGGTCTAGTACTGGAACTGTTAGGTTATTCAGCAAGACCTAGATGCTGAAGTTCATTTTTTACAATCACAAGGGAGTTTATTTTCCAATATTTCAATATCATTAGTCTTATTTATTTTGTTTAAATTACTTATTGTGTAGCTAGAGACAAATAAAAACAATGAAACAAATAAGGCAACCTAAATGAAGACAGTGCATGATGTTTAAAGGCTATTTTATAAATTTAGGCCTATACTGTATATCTATGCGACTTCAGTGATTGAATAGTAATTTGATGTTTTATTAAATCACTTGAAAACATCTGAAGTATTCTAAAATCCATTCAATGCAGATCACACAGCAAACAACATTTCATTAATGAATCACTGTCACCCAAGCCACTGATATTATGTTATTTAATTAAACCATTATTACTTCTGGATAATGTTACTAGGCCCAGAGATGATAATGGTGGTTAGCAGTTTTATCACTTGAAACTGACGCCTTTGATAATAAATATCCTGCCTGATTCTTCAAAATCTGGTATCATCTCTACTACTACTACCACCTACTGTGATGCAGTAGGTGCTGTAGTTAGCATTTTTATATTACTTTTTTTTTTAGATATATACAAGAGTTGTTACATTCTAGTACAGCCACTAGTATGCGTAGCGTTTCGGGCAAGTCCCTGGAATACGATCCCCTGCCGCGGAGAATCGTTTATCCTTTAATTATTATTCAATAATAATGATAAATAATAATAATAATAATAATAATAATAATACCAGTTATAATATATTCAATAAAATATTGGTACTATTATAGTTTTCACTAGTAATATTAGAGATGATACCAGATATAAAGTTAGATTTCTGATGAATTTCTCACTTGAAATGTTGTCATCAGGATTTACATCAATTGCATCTCAATTGTAGTGAAACATGGAAGAAGATTCACTATCACTTCAAGTTGATATAGGGGTTTGAAATGGTCAAAAGATTGGCAGATGCAGTTTAATGCAGATAAATGTAAAGTTCTGAGGCTAGGTAATGATGATAAATTTATAAGATACGAGCTTGATGGTATTGAGATTGCGAAGTCAGATTGCGAAAGGGATCTGGGTGTTATGATTAGTAAGAATTTAAAACCAAAGGATCAATGCATGAATGTTCGAAATAAGGCAAATAGGACACTGGGATTTATTAATTGAAGCATTAGTAACAAGACACCTGGTGTGGTTCTTCAGTTATATCTTGCTCTGGTTAGGCCCCATTTAGATTATGCAGTTCAGTTTTGGTCGCCGTACTATAGAATGGATATAAATTCACTTGAACGTGTCCAGTGTAGGATGACAAAGTTAATTCCCCAAATTAGAAATCTTTCATATGAAGAAAGATTAACAAAGCTTAAATTGCATTCACTGGAAAGGCATAGACTTAGGGGTGACATGATAGAGGTTTACATGTGGATGAATGGACATAACAAAGGGGATATTAATAAGGTATTAAAAGTATCAACACAAGACAACACGAAACAATGGGTATAAATTGGATAAGTTTATATGTAGGAAAAACTTGGGTAAATACTGGTTCGGTAACAGGGTTGTTGATTTGTTGAACCAATTTCCACGTAACGTGGTGGAGGTGGGGTCCCTCAATTGTTTCAAGCGCGAGTTGGACATGTATATGAGTGAGATTGGGTGGTTATAAATAGGAGCTGCCTCGTATGGGCCAACAGGCCTTCTGCAGTTACCTTGGTTCTTATGTTCTTATGGTTACTAGTTTGGGTAACTGATCACCCTCAACAGGAGTACTATGGACTCCTGTTGATCAATCAGGTCAGTGAGAATACACTGACTATTGAGAGAATACACTTTTGACTATTGACTATTGTGAGAATACACTGACTATTGGTCTAAAATATATATTTAGACCACCAAAGCGACTAGAGGCGCTAGCCGCCAGATGATCTATGCCAGCAATTGTTTCGCAAGATTGAATAAACTGATTACCCAACAGCAGGGTCAAGTCTTCAATAAACAGACCGAGGAATATCTCACTGGCAAATGTGAGGTAGCCATGACCGACACTTCGTAAACTTGCCTGCTGGAAGCTCTGAAGGTGATGCAGCAGCGGGAGTCGTCCACACTACAGCTTGGCCCGCCGTATTGTCCTACACTCATCTACTTATCATTTATAATTCACCCTCACTATTGTCATCCGTTGCTGTGTGCGTACGAAGCCCTTTACGTATATTACGCTCAGGCGGTGCTGTTAAAAGCTGAGCAAGCGAAATATGTCACGAAAGTACATCATTGTGCCCACTTGTGCTCCATTTCGTTCCAGCAATTGTAAACAGTCCCATATATAAACAAATATTATATATTTTGTTACTTTTAATAATTTGCACTGTTAATAATTTTATATATAACTAAAACTAAAACCAAATTAAGTATTTTAAGTAGTGTTAAAAATATCTATGCAACACTCATATCTTTATAAGACTTAAGTTTACGTTACATATTTCACTTCTGTTTTGTTGACAGTGTTGTCCTCAGACAAAACTCTGAGTCTGCTAAATATATCACTCTTCCTTGCAACAATATTAATAGATAAAAATATATATAAATATGTAGCCCAGCTTATTGCAAAAATATTAAATTAACAAATAACTAGAGCGTATATTCGTATATTATGCACGAGGATGTATAAGATGAGTGTGAGTGCTACATGTGGGTGAGTGTAGCGGGAGTCGCTAGAGGGAAGGCAGCCAGGCAACTAGGAGTTAGTGTGGACCGTCGCTCTAGAAGGTGCATTACACGCTGCTCCTCACTCTACCTCTCTCTTGTATTTTCCAAAACAGCAAAATATTTTTGTTTAAACTATGGTGAATGTGTTAAAGGGAATCCTCATTAAATGGTAAGCGTGTGATGGGTTTTCTGTTTTGAAAATGTATGTTAATAAAAGCAAAGGTGTCATTTGCGCAAATAACTGCGAGAAAGTTCCATTTACGTCAAAATTAACCAAAAATTAGATGAATGCATTGAACTTGTAAATGTTTAACATCTAACTATTGCCTCTAGTTCTATAGGTTTGAGATTTGTTCATCATAATGTGTTCGTTGCTGGGCTAATTTTATTTGTATTAAATGGTAAAATGGGTTGTTAATACAGTTTTTGGCGATTAATACATTTTCATAACACTACTAACACAGCTTTTGAGATCCAAGCGTAAAGTATCTTTATATAACCATACATACTGAGCACTGTAATATTAGCTTTTATTTATCTGATGTATAATATTCACTATTGAAAGTTGCACAGGAAGTGGGAGCGGCAGTAAAAAAGCTAACCAGACCCTGGGAATAATCAAGCGAACCTTTGACTTTAAGGAAAAGAATGTAGTTGTTCAGCTGTATAAATCTCTGGTGTCCCGGGATTATTTCTATAAATTACCTGGATTATTGTATCCAGACATGGAAACCTCATCTTCAGGAGGACATAGCTGCTATAGGAAAAGTGCAACACTGGGCAACAAAAATCATTCCAATGTTATGTCAACTCACTTTTACAGTCCCCGTGGCGTAGTGGTTAAGACGCTCGCCTGGCGTTTCACGAACGTTTGTCATGGGTTCGTATCCTGGTCGGGGAGAATTTACTGGGCGCAAATCCTTAATTGTAGCCTCTGTTTAACTCAACAGTAAAATGGGTACTTGGTTGTTAAAATGATTCTTCGCGGGAGTTGTATTCCAGGGAACATAGGATTAAGGATTGGCCCAAAACACTACGCGTACTAGTGGCTGTACAAGAATGTAAGAACTCTTGTATATACAGGGGTACCTCGGTTTAAGAGTTTAATCCATTCCTGGAGACAGCTCGTAACCCGAAAACTCGTAACCTGAAGCTAATTTCCCTATAAGAAATAATGGGAAATGAATTAATCCGTTCCTGACTACCCAAAAGCCTCCCTTCAAACTAAATTTTATACCTAATTCATCCAAATCTACACTACAAAAGTATGTTCAAGTTATTACTTACCCTTGCTGATAACTGCTGTTGGCATATGGAAGATGGTGAGGGGGGGGGGAGGAGGAGAGGTGTAACTGTTTGGAAGGGGAGTCCCGTTCCATTATAACATCAGGCAGTGAAGAATTTTCTGGAGTGCATTCTCTGGCATGTTTTGCCTGCATACCACCAGGTCCTGGTTGTGGCTCACTGCTTGATTTTCTCACTTTTCTCACAAGGAAATGTTCCATTGAAGATTGTTTTTTCCTTCTTTGCAGCACCTGTCTGTAGTGAGGCATCACATTGTCATTAAAAAGATCAATGCAACGGCCTGCTACAGCTTTATCTGGGCGATTCTTTTCAGCAAAACTTTGCAGTCCTTCCCATACTGCACACATTTTCTTAATTAATGAGGAAGGGACATTTTCTGCTGCCTCCTCCTCTTCCCCTGAAGATTTGTTGTACTGCCTAGCTAGTTCAACAACATGAGTACCATTTTCATGCTTACGAATGATCTCTTGCTTTCCTCTATTGTCATTCTCACATGCTATTTCTTGCCTTGAACCTTACCACTGGCTTTCTTGGGACCCATTGCGAGATATATAATAACTTTTATGCTCAAATGGCCAAATATCCGACAAAACTGTAAATCCTTGTGAAGAATTCAGGCGGGATAGTCACTGGACGCAAGGCACGGTAAACTGAGGCGCGATCGCCGTGCCACCACGTGCTGGGTCGGCCTGTACGCGTATTAACAAACTTGTCACCCGATGCAATGCTCGTATCGTGATGCAAATTTTCCAAACAAATCGGGGTTGTTACGCTAAAAATTTGTAAACAGGGACGCTCGTAACCCAGGGTTCCATTGTATTCTAAAAAAAAAATATACAGTATACAGGTACAGTATTCTAAACGTATCGGGAACAGTTGAACGCCACAGGACTAACAACATTGCAAACCAGGCATGACAGGGCAGATCTCATTGAAACTTGAAATACTGAACAATTTGAAGGATGTTGATCCAGACAATTTCTTCAAAAGGTCAGATGTAACACAAACAAGGCTCAATGGTTTCAAGCTCAACAAGCCACAATGTGGGACTGAGAACAGGAGATGCTTCTTCACCCACAGGGTTATTAAACCATGGAACTACCTACCCACAGAAGCCATAAATGCCAAAACTGCAATTTTAAAAACTGAAAATTCCAAAGTTAGAATTTAAAAAAAATCCAGCTTGAAAAAATCAGGGCAAATGGGGGGGAGGGACCGTTGACAAGCTGATGGCTTCCTATTCTCGTCAAAGCCACTAGTGTGTTAGTGGCCCTCAGGTAATTTCAGGTATAATATTGTAAAATTTGGTTAAATGGCTCTACTTGATGGCTTACTCTGAGAGTTGATGGTACTGGTACAGTACCAAGGTGGTAATCCTAAGTCTGTTGGGGGAGAAAAGTAATTGTGGGAAGTGAGTAGCATGTACACCTTACTAATGTAACCTTACTAATGCTAGCATAATGGAGTACATGAGCCCTATAAATATTTTTGTATATAGTATTGTAGCCCTGGGAGTTTGTATAGTGCTACCACGGTCCCAGTATACATTTTAGAGACTTAAGCTATCATTACTAACAAGGTACACTGCAGTTTACCTGAATTTTCCTGAGTGCCACCATCAATCTAGTAGCTTCACCAAGGACAGGAAGCAGTGGCTTGTTAAAGATCCCTCATTTTTAGGGGAATTTTTCCCAACTAGATTTTGAACTGCAATAATGTCATTGCATATACGACTTCGGTTGGCAAATGGTTCTGTGGGTTTATAACCTGATGGGTGAAAAGGCATCTCCTGTTTTCTGTCCTACATTGTGACTTGAGCTTAAAGCTTTTCCGCTTTGTATATGTTTAACCTTTTAAAGAAGTGGTCTGGATTAATATCCTCCAAATGTTCAGTATTATAAAGGTTTTGATGAGATCATCCTGTCATGCCTGGTTTGCAGTGTTAGCCTTGAGGCCCTCAACCATTCCTGATACAAGTTGACTTAGTTCAGAGATAATTTTGTCACTACATTGTATTTTCTTCAAAGCAGATATGTCCTTCTGAAGATGTCTCCATGCTTGGATACAGTAGTCCAAATTAGGGTGCACCAGAGATTTGTAAATTTAAATAACCACATTTTTTCCTTGAAGTCAGTGTCATTTCACTATTCCTAGCGTTTATTTTTTTTTTTTTTTTTTAAATCATGCTTTAAAGGCATAGCACATTTGTACAATGGTTATGCATCCATGTATGATTATCTACGTTTATTATTGGCTTTACAAGAATTCGACATAACTTGGTCCTTTTATCAAATTTAAATTGTAATTAGCCATTATATTACTGCAATTGTTTTATACATACAATATGTATCAAAGTTGTTAAAAAAAATCTTTACTGAATGTCTTTTGTAGAAGTTCTGTACAAAAATCTAACCCAGGGACTCCTTCACTTAACAAGAATTGTGGCTATACAGTATGTAATAGATACAGGTCCATAGGGCACTTTGAGTTGCTCTGAAGTTTTGAAAGTTAAAATTTCAAGATAAGCATATACATGACCTCATGTCAACTGCAGTCTTTGTTAATATACAGTGTTGTAAAATGTCATCACAAAAAATAGGTCGATTCAACAGATACTGAGGCAATATTAAAATTGCAAAATTTTAGTGGACTTAAAAACTGATATTAATTTTATGGCAAAATTTATGAATTGAAAGTGATGTTTTTATAAAATGGCACTGAAATGAATGCTATACAGTACTGCATATGCAAAATCCATGAAGATGTTAATAACAAAATATAGTGTCCGAAGCATTATACGCATATAGTTGTGCATCATCGTGTCCGCACACCTCTAGCTCTTAATCTCCAGACAGTAACACACATTACCTATTAATATGGCAATTTTACAAACAATAGCTGTATATTTATTGTGATTTATATTATACCTCCCTACATTTTTATATTATTAGGCAACTCCTAGAATGTTCTAATTTACCAGATGGCCATCTCTAGTGACCTGGATAAGGACAGAAACCTAGCAGCCTGTCAAAAGTCCCTCTAACAGGTTCTCAGGGCCAGTGGGAACGGCCCTGGGAACCGGACACCTGCAGGTAATCCTCCAGGTGTACGGAGACTAGCCTTTGAGGTGCACTGTATATTATAATCTAAATGGGTTAAAAATATACAGAATTTTGAAAATGTTTATTTTGGATGACAGGTACACAAAAGGGCATTAACTTAATTTGTCATTTCTTTTATGTGAAATATTGAATGTAATTAGACAAAAATTTATATTTTACGAGGCCTGGTGGTATGTTTTTCCAGTGATCCTGTTATGAAGCAATTTCTTTTGCATCTTGATGAGACTATGAAATTGGGATCAAAATTTGTGCTGGTAGACTTGGATGATTGTCACCTTTTTGTGCAGCCTGAAGTGTATAACAGTTTAAAGGTAAACCTTCTCTTCTATTCACAATACATACTTAGCTTCTGCTATTTTTAGCAAGTATAATTAAAAGGTAAAAGGTTACTTGGTCAGTGGATAAAAATACCATAAATCTTTGATATATATGTATACAAAGTTGATATACTGTACTATACTGACATTTAGTTTTGGGCCTTATTTACTAAGCAATTACTTTGTGTTATGTCATAAAAGAAATTAGGCATCCCTTTGGTTTTAGCTGTATGTCATAATTGCTCGAATTGTAAGTTCAGTTTAAGTTGCTGATACTTATTACACCAGTAGGTCTAATGTTTCCATATCTAAGAGTAATAAGGAATATTGTGGACCCAGCATGCTCCTTTTTTCTTAATCTTTTACATGCCGCTTACTCCTTTCAGAACCTTATTGACGAGCAGTACGAGAAGGTGTATTACAATCAGAAGAGCAGTCTAGAGTAATATACTGTACTAATTTCATTATGACAACACGTGAGTCAGGTGAGATATACAGTATTTTGTTTTGACAATGTAAGGCTTTTATAATGACATTTAATGTCAAAATCTGGTTTTATTTGGAATAGATTAAGGCATTTAGGGCCTCCAGACCCTCCCAGTGAATTCAGTACAGTTCCGGGTGGAGTAGTTTTGTTCTTTGTGTGGTCGAGTGGGCTACAGCAGCTGTCTGGGAATCACTAGAATGCCAGTTCAAGTCACCTTATTGCCCAAAATGATTTTCTCGTTGATATATCACACCATTGTGATTGCTTTGTGTTCCAAAAAATATTATTAATTTAACTGTGTTCATAAGCTTTATAGTTAAGAATTAACTTTGTGATCTTTGCAAATATTCAGGTAGATTGAAGGATGCTTCATCGAGGCGCATTCTGGATGAGAGTGCAAGGCGGCGGCGAGCACGTAAAGCTCTAGAGGCATTAGAACAAGATAATTTTCATGATGATCCTCATGCTAATCTTGTTATGAGTAAGAAAGCACCAAAATTTGAAGAATCTCTAGATGGAAGCAGACATAAGGATCGTAAAAGAAAAACAAGGAGTACTGAATATTTTAAACAAAGGTATGTGAAGGATGAAGTTAAAATATTTTAGTTCATAATGCATGTTTCCTCAGAGCAAGAAGGGATGTGTTTTGACCTTATTTAGCATCAGAATATTTGAGGTGTGGAGTTTAGATCGTGAATGATGCCACTGAAGAGTGGAGAACTGCGTTTTATAATAAAAATTGCCCGTGGCCAAGTGCTGGAACCTAAGCTGCAAGTTGTAAGCTCTTCCTTTCAAAAGAGGCTTGTGAAGGGCCTTCACAAAGACCAGTAAAAATAACTTTCTCTGCTATACTTGTATCACTACTTTAGTAAACTGGGAAGTGCTCCAGCTGATTTTAGATCAATTTTATGTACCTGCAAGAGATGATACTAGGTCAGAATCCCCTTTCAAAGGCATACACAAGGAGTGAACACCATTTGTAGCTTCAAGAACAAGTGACAAATAATGGAAGGTAAAAATGCATCAAGGCAGGATTCTTATGTGCATCTTGTTGACTGTAGAAATAACTAGGTAGGTTAAACACTTTTCCCATGGTTACTTAAAAATAATTTACACATGCAAATCAAGGGCTTTACATATTGCTGAAACAATTATAAGTTGGGGTTTCTGTGGTGGTCGGAAGTAAAATTTGTTCGTTACTTCTGTATATTTAAAATCATTGAGAGCTCTAGCTAAAAAAATGTTCATGTGTTTTACAGATTTCGAAAGAATTTTCCAATTCTACTTGAAGAAGAACAAGCTCTTTACCCAGATGGGCCCAACTATCTTACTGTGCAAGCACCACCTTCCAAGTTACCCGAAAGACGTCTTTGTTCAGTTTGTGGTTTTCCTGCACCTTACACATGTATTCCATGTGGGGCACGATATTGTTCTACAAAATGCCTGTCCACTCATGAAGATACAAGATGTCTGAAGTGGACAGCATAAGCTTTTTTATAAATAGTAGGTTGAGTAATTAACAATTAAATGCATTTGAAAGTTTATTGAATGTCAAAATTCTTCCAAATATAAATTTACTATTAAAACAAATCCACATATACAAACATCAGTGTCTGTTGTATGAATAAATTTACACTACATATAAAAAGATGTTTTTTTTTGTTAAAGTTTAGTCAAGATTTAGCAGCAATATTTCACTTGAGCAGTGACTAGTAACATTGACCTAGGTTGTTTATATATTGAACCTGCTGTTTTAAACTTATCATTTAACTTGTGCTTTTCTTAGAGCTACATTTAATTTTTCAAAATAAATATTTATCTGTATTTTACAAGTGCTGTAAACCTTATTTGGGACAAGTGTCAATGAACAAAGTGTGGAGAGCAGGTCCTATAGTTAGCCATGTGTGCTGTGCTCCCAGTACTAAGGATGGAGGTACAGTACACGCATCTTTGTAATTACCCAAATAGTTATTCCATAATTATATACTAATTGTGTATCATGGTGTTTAATAACCTAACCAGTACTTAGACCTAAATCCAAAAAAACAGCATGAACAGAATCAAATTTTTTTTAAGTTTGTGCTTATTTGAAATGTAATACTATTGAGGTTTGAAAGTATATCATGAAAAGTCAGGGGCTACTACTATTTTTTTTTTTTTTTTTTTTTTTTTTTTTTATTCTGTGGTACCTATAGCCCAATCACATTCCATATGTACATGAAAATAACACAAGAAATCTCTTCGTGGATACTTTACTTTTCCCTGTATCAGCGCTCTCCCAGTAACATTCACTCTTATTTCCACAAAAATACAGCTTAAAATTATGGAATATTAGTTTCAAAATGCTAAAAACTATATATACACTAATGGCATTTCACCAATTCTCATTCAACAAACATGAACAACTTAGAATAATACTATCCACACTTACTCAACATTGTACAGTACAGTACTTCACTTTGAAAATTCAGCATTGTTGCAATATCTGGATATGCATTATAAATAAAACCAATTTTGTGAAACTTACAAAGGCTGCTACTGTTTCTGGAATGCTAACATGTTAAAAAAAACTTGGCGCATTAGTTTAGCAATTCCTCAGTGTCTTATAATCCTGCTTAACAATTCTCCTGTTCCTAATCAACTATAAGGGAAACAATATATTACTGTCATAAAGCTTATGAAACTTTAATGTTAATTATATTAGGTTTTAGAACAAGAATTGCCATCACTGGTGTCCATCAAACACTGGTCAGTGTTATCTTCCATAGTCTCGCTATCAACTTCAGATGTAATATTTTCTTCACTTTTTGCTGGAACTTCAACGCAAGTATTAAGTTTATTGGAAGTTTTATGTTGAATTATACATGTTTCTTCAGGATCCTGCATATCATCATTTGTACCACTGCTACCATTACAATGCATTCCTCTGTCGCTGAGTGTGTCCTCCTCCTCATCTTCATCAAAATACCTCTCTTCCTCATCTCTTTCACGAATATCAAGGGGATCATAATCATCACTGGTATCTATTTGACTGAAAAATAATTATAATGTAAATGTATTAAAAAGTCATGTACATAGTTAAGGTGACAGTGTCAGACCACGGAGGAAAATTGAAACAGGAATTTCCTTAAGTACTTTCGTATATTAATACATCTTCAGAAGGAGTGATTCCTTCTGAAGATGTATTAATATACGAAAGTACTTGAGGAAATTCCTGTTTCAATTTTCCTTCGTGGTCTGACACTGTCACATTTTTAATCACGTGTTTATTTTCGTGATTTACACACACACTTTATGAAATAGAACCTTAACACTAAGACCTGAACCAGAAAGCATTTGTTTTAGGCAGACAATGACCTTTGCTGGTCACAAGTAATCTTACTCAACTTTTTATTGTAATCATAGTGTAAATCTCATTTCCAATTCTAGTTACCTTACCCATAATCAAATTCATCATTCCCTTTCAAGAAGCTTATATATCCAGCAGAGTAGAACTCTTCCTTAAATAATCGTTTTTTCCCCGAGTCATCTTCGCTATCCACTTCCCCAACATTATCATCATCATCCGAGTCATCTTCTTCAAACATTTCATCCTCTTGGTCTTCTTGTTGCAATTTTATGCTTTTGTCAGTACAGTTATCAATGTGAGCTAAAAGGATGCTTGAAAATCTGTATAAAAGAATAAATTTCAAGTCAATACATGGATTAATAGTTCTTATTGTCATGTCTGTCTTACATGACAAATTTGTTTAGTGATATTGAAGCATTCTGTGAGGCTATGAAGTAAACACACAGTTTGCTGCAAGTTGTGGGAAGGTCAAGATTGTCTACAATCCTCAAAGAACCTCTCCCATATGCACTCCTTTTCTGCTGCTAGTCTCCACTCCACCATCTTCTCAATTTGCACAAGCCATTCAAATATATTTTCTTGTAATAACCCTATTACCCCATACCTCATATCTTAATTCTCTGCCATCACTAACCAGTACTCATCTAGGCCTTTCCCAACCACGTATTCCTCTCGTGCAATAATACTATTAAGTATTTCTTTAATAAATAAATATAATACAAATATTTTGAATATTTTCACTCTTCCCTGTCAATATTTCAACACCAATGAGCAGAAGTTACATACTACCACACAAATCACTTCTTTACTTGCACAGTGACGTTTGTCCCTTTCACAATCCATCTCAACAACCAATCCTCTTAATTTCATCCTAAATTGTTTCAATGTTTGTATTGCTAAGGCTAACTACCTCATTTATGCAATAAATTTAAATTTATTGATACCCTTCAGTACTTCATAACACATTGCAATCTTGTTCTTAAACGTTAAGCTAATTCCTTAAGTAATACAATATTATTAACTACTTTCTGTAATATCCGTGTTCATTTATGCTCTCAATACTGACTTGCAGTTTCATCCCTGCATGTTATCTTCCAGCACATCAACCTGGATGTGCTGTAACCTGCAAGTAGGCATTTCTTAAAGATCATGAAAATGATGAATACATTTACCTGATGTCATTGCTATCCATTTTATATCTATCTTCTCTTTCTTCTTGGGTTTGGTGCTTCCCAATAAGGTGATCATATAGCAGTGGATTTCTGCGTTCCATCTCTTTTTCACTGAAATAATCGCCAGTCCTTCGAAGTTTTTGTAAAGCAGCAAATCTCCTGTTTCGAATTATGATTCTGAAGTAGAAATGATATCAATTACTTTTTTGGATAAAGTGTCTTCCTAAATATGCTTACTGGAATTGCTCAGAATGTAAGTGGTCATGTATTCCCTAGATGAAAGAACGCTGATAAAATATAATATCACTATACAGTAATGAAATGCTCATCAATGTTATAATGGTAAGAAGCAAGGAAAAAGAAATCCTCTCGATCTTTTTAATAATAAAGGATGCCGATCTCGTTAAATGCAAATTAGCCCCGTTGAAATAGGAGAATCAACTGAGCACTTCCAACCATTTAAATGTGATTCATTTGCATGTTGTATATACAATATTTATCTATGAACTACCATATCTAGTGGCCTCTTCCTAATTTCAAATGACAAATTTTCAAGTTGCATACAAAATAGTGTACCTAACTAAGAGAGACACAAGCAGACATTTATTTCTCCAAAGCATTTTTGGAAAACAAATAATACTTTGAGGCAGAAGATACAGCTTTCACCAGTGATGCAGGGACTATGACATCCCTGCAAGATAATTTCAAGTTCTTTGAGAATCACTGGAGCCAGTCAGTCAAAACATGGATATCCTTCAGTTATGTTTGCAAGCTCCATACACGATTCTGTCAGTGGTTGAGTAATTGTGAAGGCAGGATCTTCCCACTATAAGTCCACATTTAACTGGGTTGTAAAGTTTATCGTTCTCCATAAAATTGGTGATTTGTTTCCTAATAATTTTTTCAACAAATTTAATTATATGTGATGTCAGTGCAACCAGTCTATAGATTTTAGCCAATGCTTTATTACCACCCTTGTACAGTGGAGCTATAACTACTGGTTTTAAGTGCTTTGGTATATCTCATGTATCCAAGATTTTTCTACACCAAGTGCTAATACTACTGGTACATTACATTTAGTTAATGCATAAGGAATTTTAGGAGTCAGGACCAAGGGATGAGAGTACTGTATGGGCATGTTGTAGATGGGCATTTCGTTTTCAAAGTCCACTATATTAATATCAGTTATACTGTCAGTTTTGGATATCTTTCATAAAGAAACTGTTCAAATCTTCAATTTTCATGTTTATTGTATTCTTTGTTGTTCTCTGTGTATGACCCTTTGCTTGTAAGTATAGATTAAATACTGGTGGAGGTTTTTTATTGTTATTTTGCAAGTGAAAAAATGTATTTCAGAGTGGTCATATTGGTAATGTTAATGGGGTTCAATGAGGCATGAACACACCAACCAAATGGTGTGTTCACACAAATTAACATATTTGCTATTCTAGCTCAATTTATTTATATATATCAGTACTCCAATAACTTCCAAGCACTGGCATTGTTCAAAGATGTATCTCCTGTATGACTGCCCTAAGGATGCACCATGGCTCAATATTCCTCTAGAAGTGGCACAATAATATAGCACAGCAAAACTATTTAAGGATACAAATATCTGAAACATGATTTTGGTTATGGGAATGTGTCATGCTATGAATGAGCTAAACTGCAATCCCTTCTTTCCTTCAGAAAAATAATGATGTCTGACGACTTAACGTTTAGGGAGCAGAACCAAGCAAATATACTGTCGGCTAAAAAAATTATAGGATGGATTACGAGTACCCTCAGATCCAGGGATCCCAACGTAATGCTCATACTATTCAAATCACTGGTGCTGTCCTGCCTTGAGTACTGCTCAACACTCACTTTCCCCCTTCAGAGCAGGAGAGATTGCTGAAATAGAGGTATACCCTGGAAACACAAACCGTAATTGTCTCTATTTTCCGCTTGTTACAACTTGTAATAAAGTTGTTACATCTTGGCTTAATGTGTTTATGACATATTAGAACACTGTTACAACTTGCTATATTGGTTGTTATAACTGGTTAGGTGTTAAAACTTGCTCGAACGTTGTACCAACGTCGTAGTTTCAACGTGTGCGTTTGGCGGGTACAGAGAACATATACGGCATACATAAACACGATAAAGCACTTAAATTATTGGGATCATCTCAAAGCTCTCGAAATGTACTGTACTCTCTAGAATTGAAATAAGAGAGGTATCAAATAATGTATACATGGAAGGTACTGGAGAGCCAGGTCCCAAATTTGCACAGTAAAATAACATACTGGAGTGAATGGCATGGAAGGAAATACAGAATAGAGCCAGTGAAGAGTGGAGGTGCCATAGGCACACTCAGAGAACACTGTATGAACATCAGTTGTTCATACAGTGTTCATACAGGTCCACAGTTGTTCAATATCCTCCCAGCAAGTATAAGAAATATTGCCGGAACAAAAGTCTTCCAGAAGAGACTGAACAGTTTTCTTCAAAAAGTGCCGGACCAACCGGGCTGTGGTGGATATGTGGGCCTGCGGGCTGTTCCAAGCAATAGCCTGGTGGACCAAGCTCTCACAAGTCAAGCCTGGCCCTGGGCTGGGCCAGGCTTGGGGAGTAGAACAACTCATAACCTTATCCAGGGTACAATGTAAATTAGTAATTATCAAAATGTATTAAGCCAATATGTCTATATAGGAAAATAGTCTAACTATGTTATAGTATTTTGTATGAGATTGATAATAGTTAAGAGCAGGTTAAACAAGTTCTTAAGGTAACAGCAAAGGTTCACACGCTCCACACTAAAATAAGCGAGCCCCTTACTTGCTTGTGTGTTCATTCTTATGCTTCAGTGCTTCACTAAGATAATAGTCTACTTCAGGATCACCTTCATATGTCAAGAAATACTGAAGATGCTCTCTCTCTAGTTGCTTTCCAAACCTGTGAAAAAAATTTATACAGTACAAGTAAATAGAACTACTGTATCTTTCCCTACTGAATGTTTGGATCAAGTAAATAAAAATAAAATATCACTTTTAGTTTATGTAAAGCTCATTTCTGAGCAAGTTGCCCCAATAGGTATACAGTATCAACAAGACTGCACCTTGTTAGGCTCACTGCAAAATCAGGCAAACACATATTGGCACTGATGATATAAGAATATTGTGCAGTGCCCTTGTAGGACCATGGAGGCGATCACTGGGGGCCATAATCAAATTGAACATGGTAACAGCAAATTCAGAAGTCAAATTCAAATTGTTTTTATGCCCAAATTAATCAGGCAGTGTCATCACATACATATCCCCTCAAACTAAGGTCAAATTAGCCTAACTACCAACACAAACAAGCCACCTAATTCCTGACCTGCAACCAGGAGGCAGCCCTAACCATGCCACAGTCTGACCATTGATATAATGCAGAATCAGAGGTAACAAAATGAGGGATCAGGAAGGCAGGGTCAGGGAGCAGCAGCATAACTCTCAGAAAACTTTGTTCTCATAAATATAACCACTCACTAAAAATAATAATTAAAATTAAAATGTGTTCAAGTGGTCATGAAAGCAGCAGCCTGATATTTCCTATATTTGGTGGTTGTGGAATCATGGGTACCAAAGTATGCATAACAGCCTCGGCCTTGCCTGATGCGATGACTAATGGACATAAGCCTATCAAGGAGAACACAGAGTACAGTAGTCCCTGAAAAAAGGGAAACAGGCAGGTACTAAGCAAACATCTGATTCCTTCTCTGGAATTCTTAAGAATTAATTTCCTTGCAGGATGTCTTATAAAAACTGCCTCAAGTTGTGAAGCAGATCATGAGCCTAAAAATGCATGTGGCTGATTCAGTACAAACAACCAGGCATACTACATCATGAAGAGTTGTGCCTCTTGCCACAGTGCTTTACCATAATGAACAACAGTTGAGATGGAGAACATTAGGTCACAAAGACCTATGACAGGTACCAGGTCCCCTACCACTAACCAAATGTTTGAAAATGAGGCCCAATAATCAAATAGGAGTTCAGCATCATCTTCAGTCGATTAAGGTGCGTCTGGGATCATCCTGGACGTGAGTTCGAACCCTCATCATGGGCCCTTGTGGATTTATTCATTTGATATATCACGCTATTGTGATTTCTGTGTGTTAAAGAGCGAATCCATTCTTGTACACACGACACCAAACAAACTCAGGCCGAGAATCTAGGAAAATAAAACCTTGCACACATACTAAATACTCCCACTTGAACAGATTTGTACTGGATCCCATTCACAGCAACCGAAAGTCATGTTGTATCTAGTGTTTAATGTTTTCTGTTTTATACCAAATATTATTATATTTTATTTTATTTAGTATCTCAATTAGTTTTATTTTTTTCCACATCTTGCTCAAAACATTTTGTATATTAATGGCTTTATACGTAGTACTGTATATACTAGCTCTATAGAAATCCAACATTCTGTTTGTACATACAATAGTGGCCCCATGTGGCTGCTGTACGGGCATTCATGCTGCCATGAAAGTCAGAGGGAAGCTCCAGCAAGTTAGTACTTACAATGATTTTGTGCATGAAGGGGGTACATGGGGATCTGGGAGAATGTTCGTAAAGCTGGAACTCCCTGTAAACCAGACAGGGACCTTAGGACCCAACCAAATAAGTAATTCCATTCACTTTAATAAATTATTAGGTTGGGTTTAAGGTCCTAAGGTCCTTGTCTGGTGTATGTAACTGTAACAGCTCAGAAAAAAAATACTGTATAATATTAGAAGTATAATAGAGTATTTGAGAGAGAAAATGTATGGAGCATCAAATGGTGCTATAATGTGTCTGTAGTCAGAACAAAGAACCTAAACACACTGCACACACCTGTTTAATTTTTTCATCCTTGTATTAAAGATATTTAACATTGTACTGACATTTAGATTATTTAAAAACACAAAAAAATACTTAAATTCTAAGATTGAAAATAATTTTATTCACCCAAATACTGTACATTACTTTTTTCTTGTATTTTCTTTATGAATCACAGTTTGTTGGGCAACTCTAAATTATAATACCAATACCTAACACTGACCTGTATAAAAACTGCCCTGGCTTCTCATCAAGAAGTTTTTCAACTATATCCTTTCTTTCTTGATATGTTAGGTCTGGTTCATACCTCTGCTGGCTCTTCAAAATAATAGTACTGGCAGCCATGTATTGGATGATGCGATCTCTTAATGATACCACTGGTGTAGCACTCTCCACATTCTCACTTGCTTTGTCCAAATTTCTCTGTTGCTTAAAACCTGGCTCATGAGGCTCTCCTGAGTTCTTACTGCTCTCGTATTCTCCCCACATGGTAACTACCTTTACCTGCAACATTATATATTTTAACTTGATGAGGTAAAGTTTAACAAAAAAGATTTATCGTGCTAATTGGAGAGATTATCATGCTAATCCATCTTTCATTATTAGTGGTATGATGCAAATAATTAGTCTGATGAAATACAGTGCCTGTAGTCCACAATAAACCTAAATGTATTAAAAAAACTAAATGAGGTTTACTATTGGGAAAATACAGCTTAATGCTAACATAATATTACTTAGTAAAAGTCAAATGGTGTCTTTAACTTCGGAGGGGTGACTAGTTTGTTATACTGTATATTGATTCTATACTCACCTAGGATATGGTGGTTGTTAGTAGTACTGTATTAACCACCATCTAATGAAAGGGTAAGAGTGTTGTAACTCTTTCACTGATGCCAACTGAAACTAAAACAACGTACTTTTGATATTTGTGCCTTTGGATGTGATTATCTCTGTAAACATTGTTTGCAGGAAATGCATATGTAAAGTGCATGATTAAAGAACAAGCTCTGAGGTTGAGCAAAACAACAGTGGTACAATAAATGATTTTTATTTGAATAAAATGTAAATTGTAAAATATGTAAATGGTAATACTGTTTAAGTAAATTGTATACAGTAGTATGATGAAATTAAAGTGTCAGAAGGTACACCTGTGGTAGTTAATTAACCAAATTTATTACAGGGTACAAAAGTAATCTCAGTAAATGCTAGGTGAGATGAGCAAATTCTGAGGGCATGTCAGCATAAATTAGGTGAACAACTTAAGGGCACAGGTCCCAGTGAATGTAAATGTGAATGTAAACAGAAAATGTAAACTGGTGAATGTAAACTACAGTACTAGGTGCAAGATAATTGAGTCCATAATTGAGTTCGGTTATTCACTGTGACTTGTAACAAATATCACAGTAACCTTGTTACTGTGATACTTGGGTGAAAGTTTTAAATGAAGGTAGAGTTTCCTTCTTTTTGCACTGATTTAATCTTTTGTTTTAATAATGTTATCTTGGAGGCAGATATTGATGTACAGAACAATGTTCACTAGTGTCCCATTTTTCAACTGCTTTTTTAACCACTGTAGTCACTGGATTTTGCATTTAATGCAGCTGCTCTTGTTGGTTGAATGTTGAGTTTGATGCACAGGGCTTCAGTTGCTTCACATTCTAATAAGTAATATAATGTAATATAATAGTGGCATTTCTGCATCTGTTTCACAGATATGACTCTTTTAATTATTGGGTTTATTATCTCCCAGCAGCACTTGTAGCCAAGTCTGAATCTGTGTATGGCTACTGCAATGTCTCTGGATAGGTTTTTGCCAGGCTTGAAAGAGTAGTACCCAGTGGTTTGTTCGTATCACATCGCAGTGGGTCTCCCTTCCGCTACTTTGGCTCTATGGCTACTTTTGATAGTCGAGAGTATTCTCTTCTTGATTTGCTCCTTAATCTGTGAGAAACTTGGAGGTATTTTAACCTGCCACTGCTTTGTACAACAAAGCAGTGGCAGTTTTTGCTAGTAAGTCTGCCTTTCCATTACCATCTATGCCAATGTGACTTGGTATCCAATTTAGGGTGATTGAGTCCTAAATTGTGTGGGTGCTCCTATATGAAATTCTATATGTAAGATTTCAGTGATGAGTTTTATATTATTGTTGTGCTGGCAGGATAACAATGCCTGGAGCGAAGATTTAGTCAGTATGAATGATGACATCTTGTAAATTAGTCTCAATTGTATAATTTATGGCCTCTTTCAGGGCATACAGTATAATTCTGTTTACAATGTTGAGCACCCACTATTCATGCTCCAGTAAGCTTCATGGTTGTTAGTGTAAACTGCTGCCCCAGCAGAAGCTCTTTCTTGATCAACTGATCCATCTGTGAAGATGTGAGTGGTTGTCAGTCTTGAGATGCTTTCCATTTGTTGTTCTATGATTACTTTGAGCCTCTGGGAATCACAAGCCGATTTTCTAACTGGTAATCCTTGAATGATTATCTTTATACTCAATTCTTACCATGTAGGAGGCTGCCGAAAGCGTTGATATGGGCAGTCTTCTCCTTTGTTTCTAATGGTCCGGTTCAAGTCCCTTCAAGATTCTCTAGAATCTTGAATAGATTATCCGTCCATGTACTTGTTCTATATTGAAGGTTTCTGTGAAGTGATCTGTTTATGCTATCTTTGATTGACAGTCTGGTGGCAGTTCCAACAAATTTTGCTGTTATGGTGGCTATTCATTATTTGATCGTGTTTTCTAAGGCTGGCAAGTTGGTTTCCATTCTTAGATTTTCTTGTCGCATCCACACAGGTGCTCCCAGCATTGTTCTGAGAGGATCATTTTGTGACACTTCGAGTTTCTCCCATTGATTATCACTAGAGATGTGAGAGCAGGAGCAGCATAGTCGATGAGTGATGTAACTGCTTGAACATAGTAAATTTTGAGTACTGGTAGAGTTGCACCATCTCTAAGACTTGTTAGGGAGTGCAAAGCTGAGTTTCTGGCTTTGTAACATTGCCAAAGATATTCAATTTCTTGAGTGAATTTCAAATGGCTGTCTATTATGACTAAGGTATTGAAAAGAGGTAACCCACTCAGTTTAGTGTCCTTGTATTGCGAGTATGATGTCTCGAGTTCTCATTTTAACAGCCATTGCTTTGGTTTTATTGCTGTTTATTTTCACTGCTGTGTTCCACTACCCTGAAGATGATGTTGATGCATTTTTGTGCATGATTCCTGGTGCCTTTTGATAATGACCACAAAGTCATCTGCATAGTTAAGTAGTTTGGCTTTTGGTAACTTGAGCTTCATGAAGTGTTCCATGAGATAGTTGAAAAGGAAGGGGCTTAGTATTCCTCCCTGCAGAGTCCCATTTTCCAGCCTTTTTGAGGAGGATGTTTTTCCTTGAAATTTGATTTTAGCTTCTCTGTTGAGCAGACCTCCTTTGGCAAAGGCAAGAGCATGTCCTTTGATTTCCTTATCTACCAGGCAGCACAATGTAACTAGAGCATTGGCTAGCTCGAAGGCTTTTTCAAGGTCTAGAAAAATAAGAATTCCTGGTTTGTCATTGATTTGATCCAGAAGGGAGGTAAGGCATTCTGTGGTTCCCACACCTTTTCTGTAAGGAGTGTAGTTTTGGTGCCAAGTTTTGAGATTCCTGAAATTTAGTCCAATCTACTTTGATAAAATCCCATCTAGGTTTGGGAACTGGAGGTCTGGGAAGTAGTACTACATTAATAACTGTTTTTGTAGCAAAGTGGTCATTAGTCAGTACATGGTCAACTGACTGATGACAATTCATAAATACTGGTGGAGACAAAAGTGAGGTCCAGCTTTCCTCCCACCATTATGGGTTGGTTCTGTTGAGTTAAGCAGACTGACTTCAGGCTTCATCCAAAAGGTGTTCAATATGTCTTCCATTGGCTTTGGATCTTGGATAATCAAGTAGCAATTCACTATGAGCATTGAGGTCACCCAAGATGATGATAGGTGTGGTGACTGCTATTTCAAAGATTGCAGAGATCCATATTGTGTTCTTTATGGCTCCTGTATACACTGAAGATGGACAGCATTGAGTTCCTCAGAGAGATTAACTCCCATAATTTTTATATCCTCACCACTGTCAGTCAAGTCTGTGATTGGTGTGGCATTGATATGATTTCTTACTAGTATTAAAATGCCTGTGGTGCCACCTTGTGCAATTGGGCGGTGGTAACCTTGATATCCTAGAATATTGATACTTCTTTCAGTCCTGGTAAGTGTTTCTTGAAGTAAAACAATATCAATGTTGTCCTTGAGAGGCACTGCTCTGGGTGTTTGTGCTTTGTTTTTTAATCCTTGGATATTCCAATATATAATTTTGAGATTGTCGTTATTGGCCACTATTCTGTTATACTGTAGTTATGAAAATAAATCTATTAACTTTTATACAGCAGATGGTAAAAAATTACACATTAATATCAGGAGTCCAACATAGGATAAAAACCTTCTCACACACACTGCCATTAAGACAGAACCTGCAGGACTGTCATGAGTAGAGTAGAAAAAAGTAAAATTTAACCGATTTAAAACCTGCCGTGAAAACAGATACAGTACATGTGGTTCAAATCAAATCAAATCAAATGTTTATTTAGGTAAGGTACATACATACAAGAGATTTTACAAAAGAGTGATGGAATTATAGATAGGGCTAGTACATACAATGCCTAAAGCCACTATTACGCAAAGCGTTTCGGGCATGAAAAACTCAAATGACTAAAGCTTAATACTAATTGAGCATAAAGAGTAAAATGAAAACATGGAATAAATAAATAAATGTTTGGTTAGTCAGCAATATCCAAATTAGAGGTACTCCATCGACCTATATCCAATATTATCACAATAAGGGGATGGGGGGGTAGGCAAGAGTTATTCAAATTCACTTTTGGCCAGGGGTACCTTACCTTGAAGTTACCTTGAAGTGTTTCCGGGGCTTAGTGTCCCCGCGGCCCGGCCATCGACCAGGCCTCCTCGTTGCTGGACTGATCAACCAGGCTGTTTGACGCGGCTGCGAGCAGCCTGGCATATGAATCACAGCCTGGTTGATCAGGTATTCTTTGGAGGTGCTTATCCAGTTCTCTCTTGAACACTGTGAGGAGTCGGCCAGTTATGCCCCTTATGTGCAGTGGACATATATATAGGCTTGTAGTGGGCTAATAGGTTAATATTTAATTTAATAGAATTAGGTCACTATAAACTGCCTAGCGGGAGTGGTATTGTTAATCTGCAAATAAGTCTTCTGCCTGGCGTTAAGCCGCCTTTGCACAGAAAATATAACAAGACTAAATATCAGTGTATTGATATTTAGTCAATATATAAAAGTATCAATGTAATAAGACTATAAATATCAAGCATTATTGTACTTTCTTGCAATGTGCCTGTAAACATTTTGTTAATTTTGCTAGAAATTAACTTCTTAAAATTATGTTAGAAGGATCTGCCCGAAACGCTATGTATGTTACTGGCTTTACAAGAATGTAAACCTCAATTCTCTGTACTCTCATGAACCCAATGTACTGTACCTTCTTGTATATAAATAAATAATTAAATAAATAGTAATCTATTATACCTGGTTAAGTCGTTTCCTTGTACCCTATTCTTTTCGATGGTAAGTGGTTTGCATGAAGGGTTTATCCTCACGATGACCACACGAGTACAGAGGTCGGGAGACGCGTTAATGTTGAGAATGACAAGGTTTCAAAAGTGTTAGTTGTGTTTTGAGGTAGATATTGAAGCAGCCACTAAATTGAGGCGTACCCAGCTGAGGAAATCAGCTGTAGGAGTGTTGACGACTGTGCACAGGCGGCCAGACTCCGTGTCCGCCACAACATTCTTTATCATTACTTTCCATGCCTAACTATTCTATTTTTTTATGCTAAAAAATAATCTGGTTTATCGGAGACAAGAAGCCTATAAATATTAAACGACGTTCACACATTTCCCAGAATCAAGCAGTTTCCCAGTAACCAATGAACGAGCAACGTTGGCCCAACTCGAGTCGTGAGGGTGAGGTTACGAGGCCTTCTGACCACAACACGTACACGACACGAGTCCGTCCCAACGACTACACGCACACCTCTGCCATTGTCATTTCCCGCCCTTGAGGTCATTGGAAGTTGAAATTCTTGTTACCGACGGGAGACATCTCTGTCACGCAGGGGTGCAGTCGCACCTCCACAGATCTCCAGTATCATCTATTGATACTGGTAATGGCTCAAAAAGGCCTCCACTTACGGGCTATTCATGCCTGTGCCACCTTTTGGGTGGCTTAATCTTCATCAATCATCAATCAATTGTGTTACCGTTAGCCACTACGTAAGAATTGCACATAACGCAATGTACTGACCACTATACGATCATGTAATTATACGATCATAGATTTAAAAAGGTTCCCGTAGTGTAGCGATAAGACGCTCGCCTGGCGTTTCGCGAGCGCTTTGTCCTGGGTTCGTATCCTGGCCGGGGAGGATTTACTGAGCTCCAGTCCTTAACTGTAGCCTCTGATTAACCCAACAGTACAATGATTACCTGATTGTTAAACGATTTGGCGGTCGTATTCTAGGGAATATAGGACTAAGGAAGATAGGAACATAATCGACGCACGCTCCGACTGGACCAGGTATCGCTTACATGGTCAGGAATCACACTCTTCGGATCCTACAAGCACAGATCCTACAAGCGCTCCTGTCACCAGGCGAGATTTCTCCAGGATCCTACGCGCTGCCCTCTCGGCTTGACTTCAGATGACTACGCCCCGCACCCAGCTGTCTCGGGACGGGCTCGCCACATCAGAAATAATGGCAAACGGCAGGCGGAAGAGTAGTGCCCACATCCTACGTCAGACGGGACGTTGTTGCTCTGCTACATTGAGTGCCTCACGCGGCCAGCTGGCACTCGCCCTTCGGGGGGGGGTCCGGCCGCTGGCCTGCGGTGGGGGTGCAGCGCCGGTCCCCAAGTGTCCCGCTGTCCGCAGCTAATACTTTGCCCAGTCTAGGTGCTAGTAAGCCCTACTTGTAGTCACACCCCCTTCTCCTTATCCATTAGGTCTTTTACGGCCTCTTGGCCGGGTACATTACGTGTTATGTGGTCTCTCACTTATTAGTTATTCTTTGTGTCCTGCCTGTTATATCCTAGTGTTATATAATTACTACACATTTGCACTCGGCCTTAATTCTAGTACCAGTTAACCTTTAGGTTTCTGCAGAATTAGTTTCCATGTCACTATAGGCTAAGGTCTCATACTTACTACGGGTGTACCTTTTAAGTTAAATCTAGTCCTCGGACTTGGAATTGTTACTGTTAATTCTTACTTTATATATTTACTTTATATATTTTAATATAAACGTTATATAGTCCTTAAATTATATATTTTGAAACTTTATATAATTACATGTTCAATATTAAGTTTAATAATATCAACTTTGTTATAAGCCTATAATATAAACCGTGTTTAATATAAACTTTATATAATTACTTTATATTTGAACTTTATACATTTACATGTTCTGCAGAATTTAATCTTCAATAAACTTTAACGCCCCATACTGCCAGTATCTTTCTCCCCCTGGTCAGAAAATGGTCACTGCTTGATCGCAAGCGGGGATTTTTCCGGCGGGGGAGAAAGAAACAATTGCGCAGCGCGTTGCGCGGGCAGTTTGGGGCCTGTATAAATACGGGCGCACACTGGGGCTCTGCCTCACTCCGCCTGCCCTCGCCGCTGCCCTCGCAAAACCCCACCCTCCCCCCCTTTGCAAGCGGCTGCTTTTGTACCCCCGTCATGCTTTGCACAGATGTCCCGATTGTCTCCCCACTGCATGTGGGAAGGGGGGTGCAGCGCCGGTCCCCAAGTGTCCCGCTGTCCGCAGCTAATACTTTGCCCAGTCTAGGTGCTAGTAAGCCCTACTTGTAGTCACACCCCCTTCTCCTTATCCATTAGGTCTTTTACGGCCTCTTGGCCGGGTACATTACGTGTTATGTGGTCTCTCACTTATTAGTTATTCTTTGTGTCCTGCCTGTTATATCCTAGTGTTATATAATTACTACACATTTGCACTCGGCCTTAATTCTAGTACCAGTTAACCTTTAGGTTTCTAGGATTAAGGACTTGCCCGAAACGCTATGCGTGCTAGTGGCTGTACAAGAATGTAAGACCTTTTGTATATATATAATAAAAAATAAAGTAAGGGAGATAGGGTGTAGTGAGGAGTGAAACGGAGGAGGAAGTAAGGAAAGTAAGGAAGGGGATGGCGTATCACGGACGGAAGTCTCGGGAAAATGAACTATCCACTAGTGATGGGAGTGTTCAATCCAATGTGGTGGAAAATGTTGATGGAGAAGCTCAGGAAGCATGGTTTGCAAAAATAGAAGTTAAAGACATAGTTGGGAATAGCAATACATTTGACTGTTGTGGGTATACGAGTGTTGAGCAAGAAGAAGTGTCAAAATATTGGGAGGCTGTGGACAAGCGATGTCGCTTTTCAATGGATTATCAAAGCCGTAAAATTAAGAATCTGAAACTGTGTAATATATCATATAGAATAGGGTAGTAGCGCATTGCTGTGTATACCTAATTTTACTAAATAAAAAAAGGAAAACATTACTGTATCTACGTTGCATTCCTTTCATGTTGGGGGTAATTGTTTCTTTGGCAATGCAATACATTCTTGAAGGACATCATGTTTTGTAACATTAGAACATAAGGATCTTATTATGCTTTCACATGCATTATTCATTTCTTCCCACCTTTTGAAGTGAGAGGATTAATTCATTAACTATCTCACCTATCATTAATCTAATCACCGAAGCTACGTTGATCTCTGAAATTCTATCTCCAATACGCTGTAAGTTCAATCACATTATTATCTCAGTCTTAGTATTTCTTGGGCATCCCAAGATTATTCTCATGGCTTCATTTTGTACTTTCTCCAACTTGTTTAGTCAATCTTTACCAAAACAAGAAAGGACAGGTGCAGCATAATCAATAAGAGATCTCACAATATACTATTTGATTGCTATTGGAATGCGAAATGTAAATTATGATTAATATTTGTGTACTGTATGGATTTGTGAGCCCCTTGAGGGACCTTAAATAGATGAAGGTAGAAAAAGCCTAAGCTACTATCAAAAAGTAGCTATAAGTTCATCTAATATGCCCATCTCACAGGATGGTTAGTCATACATGGAATCAGAGGAGAAAATACCTGCCTCGACACAAAAATTAGATTAAATTTTACAATAATAACTTCATGATTTTCATGAGCTAAGCAATGAACCATGTAAATATTATAATTATTTTTACCAGTTTCTGTAAGATTCCTCTCAAACAATGTCTTTTTTAGCCATTATCAGCCATTAATGATCATTAATGGATCATTAATGATCATTAATAGATCAGCCATTAGCTGATCTATTAGCCTCCACTACACTCCACGTGCAAAATCTGGGTACAGCACAAGAATATTTTCATCTAGACTTTGGAACGTCTAATAACTTTTGAACGATTATTGAATATAAAAATGATGTGAGCCGAGGTACCCATCTGTACTAACCTTGACCTGACCTATCTGTTGTACTGAGAGCCAATCATATCAATGACTTTTTCATACTTTAATTTAAACTGCATTGCATTCCTGTTGAAATTATGGATTATTTATATGCGTGTTTTGTTTACTACGCAAAAGACATGTGGGTAATTTAGAACGTACTTCCATAAACTGAGGCTGGTAATTGGCGGAAAATAAAAGTTGGTGTGAGGGTCAAGGCGTCGAGGGTCAATATTCACCTTTCTGTTTTCACAGAATCCTTCGAATCCCACACCAAGACTTCATATTGGCAAAATCCCCTGAAACAAATAAAAATGTTCGTCTTTTTATATATGTTATCGTTAAAATGTCCTACGATAGAGTAAATTAGTATTTAAGTAAATTAGTTTGTACCCGTTTTCGGCAGAAATAGTTAAAAAGAGTTAAAAGGAGCAAGTTAGAGCCAGCGCGAACAAACTCCTCCAAGACGATCAACAACATGGTAAGTCTCCCGAGGTCTGAGGAATATTATATATTTCCCAGTGTTAGGCGGCAGCGGGCTCTCGACAATATATTATATACCCAGCACAAGAGCTTGTGCCTTCATGCCATGGAGAGTAATGTGTGAGGGTGAGGCAGGAAGGTGGAAATAGAGGCGTAGTGTGACCACTCCCCCGTGCAGCAGCGCCTGCAGGCTACTGTGTTCGCCATGGCCACAAACCCATTGATTGCCATGGTCGAGTAATCATGTGCCGGGCCTCTCCTAGGGGCCGAGGGCTCGCTTCTCGAGAGAACTGCAACTATGTGGGCCACAGAAGCTGTTGCTCCAACTGTCGAGTCACAGCACAAGTTTGTTTGTTGTTTATGTGAAGTTGTATGTAGTGTTTTTATTGTTTTTTTTGTTCTTTGATTATTTAGACTGAAAGGATTGGAATTAAAATAAAATATTTGTATAAGAGATGAAGTTTATTGTACTGTATTTTGATTGGGCGCCAATCCTTAATTGTAGCCTCTGTTCACCCAACGCTATAATGGGTACCTGGTTGTTAAACGATTTGGTGGGTCGTATTCCGGGGAAAATCAGGGTTAAGGACCTGCCCGAAACGCTGTGCATGCTGGTGTCTTTACAAGAATGTAACAACTCTTGTATATAAAAATATATAAATATTTTAAGCAAAGATTCACACATATACTCATTCCTGTTTACATATCAGTTTTGAAATTTCAGTTTCATATGGTTTGCAAATATACATGCAGTGGATAGTTGTATTGTAATATATTCGAGAACAATATTACTTTGCTGTTTACTGTAGTCACTGAAATGCACGATGTTTTGGGCAAACGAAGCTAACAAAATGGTACTGTAAAACAGGTTGTTATTTTATACACAAGGCATTTCATATAGCCTACAGGTTGTTTTGTCAATATATTATAATACTGGTTAACAGAATTTGTTGTAACTTTTGTACATCCACAGGCACAATGGAATAGGTCAGGCATATGTTAGATGTATACACATTCCATATTATGATGGATGCTAAATTATTGCACATGCCAGGTTAGATTAGGTCTAGACAAAAATTGTGACCTGTATCTTTGCAGACATTTCCGTTGTGAACAGAGCATAACCACATTAAATGAACAAACCATAACCACATTAAATGAACAAACCATAACCACATTAAATGAACAAACCATAACCACATTAAGTGGATATTGTGTACTGGTAGATTTGGGTAGATAAGGTTTGCCTAGTTCACGGGTAAAAAGAGGGTTGATCTCGTTTGTGTACTGTTTTCAAACATGACGTCAAATGGGTGCAGATGAGAAGCCGGTCAGCCGAGCGGACAGCACGCTGGACTTGTGATCCTGTGGGCCTGGGTTCGATCCCAGGCGCCGGCGAGAAACAATGGGCAGAGTTTCTTTCACCCTGTGCCCCTGTTGCCTAGTAGTAAAATAGGTACCTGGGTGTTAGTCAGCTGGCCTCCACCCCCAGCTGCTTCCTGGGGGTGGAGGCCTGGTCGAGGACTGGGCCGCGGGGACACTAAAAAGCCCCGAAATCATCTCAAGATAACCTCAAGATAACAGAACTCAGACTCCACACAAGAATTACCCGTTAACTATCGCATAAGAATGATATTGTATATTCATTTACAAGAAGATACATGGGTTTTTGTAAAACAATGTGTATATACAATACATTCATATTGGTACTGTACGGTTGATAGTTATCATTTAACCCTTAAGCCACTAAGGGCCTTTTGGCCTTCAACACCCACAGGCGCAACAAAAAAAAAAATCCAAAAAATTCCTTCGTCTTATAAAAGTGTTCATTTGTGCTCCCTGATCACGGGGAAAAAAAATCGTAGGTGGTATATTTTGGCCGTAATAGGGCGGGGAAGTCTGGCAAAAAAGAGGCATTGACAGCAGGCACCAGAGGAGGTCTGCTTCGCCCCAGCTGTCAGGCAGGAGTTGCCACAAAGATATTATTACCTAATTTACCTAATTATTTCAGTGTCTCTGGGATTTTTTTTCAATAATAATATTCAATAGTGTGTTTTGTGATATATTTATATAATGAAATGTGTGAATCATCGCTGTACTCAAAATTATGGTGTGCATATTAGTAATTCAATTACAGTATTATGTTCATAAAACAATAAACAAATAGTTTTGCTGTTATTACACTATATACACAGGCTATGTATAAGTATCTGCATGTTTTGTTCACCATAACGAACCACTAAGTTGGTATTATGAGTAAAAAAAAAACGAAGAGTGACCATCACTCACCAGCTAGCCAGCCACTCGCCACCACTTCCTTACTCGCCAACATACTCCTCCCACCATACTGTTTTTGCTTTTATTCACAATACACAGACGTTATATATAAGTATCTACATGTTTTGTTCACCATAACTGTACATCTAAGCTTGTATGATGATTTTAGGCAATAAGAGATGTAGCTACACACACACACAGTCAGCTGGTGGATGCCTTCCTCACTGGTTCAAGGCCAGACACACTAATATTTCTCCTCCAACAGTACTGTTTGTGGTGTTATTACACTATATACACACATTAAATATATATATATAGGTATCTACATGTTTTATTCAACATAACTGCACAAATAAGCTGGTATGGTGCCCAAAGACCATAATGGCCACCAATACACAACATGACATGTCATGCAGATGACGCCACCTTCCTCTCCAAAATTGTCGAGTGATGTTACAGGTTGGGAATACTGTATCAATGTCAGTTTGCAAGCTGCCAAGATGTAAAAAATGAGATAGAAGATGAAGAAGATGGAGAAAATGAGGGGTATATTTGAGAATGTATAAACCGAACTGGTAAGGCGTGAAAGTGCGAATAAGTATTGTACATAAAAATCTAAATTGATATTATAAATCATAGAATATGGTAATAGAATATTATGGTAATAATTCAGTTATGGTAGTACTGTACTGCACTGTAATAGGTGCAGTATACTGTACTATAAACAGTATTGTAATGTTTGACTTACATAGATTGTTTATTGAATACAACAAAATTACCAGTATTTTGAAAGTGTAAAATAATAACATTGTTATTATGGCAAATTATGAACATTGTTGGTTAACTGTGTATTAGTCAGCAATCAAGTGAATCAGAATTTATTCCATTTTGAATTTTCATCACTTGTTAAATGTACTGTAGTATTCCTTTATGTAAAAGTCATTAGTTCTGATATGCATAATTTCTTTTAAAGGCTTCCTCATTCCTGAAAGGACTCCCAGTTTACAATGAGCAAAATTTCAGTAGGTTCCAGGGGGACCCTAGTGGGCGAACCTCCTACAAGAAGCCACCAGTTTATCTGCCAACTAAAGATAATCCAAGCTCTCAAGAAAGTAAGTCCCATTAAAGCAGTAGTAGTAGTAGTAGTAGGCATCCATCAGTCTCAGGAGACTATGGAGTTGCGCTCTGATGTCGGCCTGGTCTGGAGTGGCCTCACCAGGGCGCAAAGCCAGGGTAGGTTGATTCGGGGGAGAAGCTGTTACCCAGGCAGCAGGTTCCCCCTCTCCACGGCGCTGAAAGTCTCCAATGAAAAGGCATACGCCAATACGATTGGTTCCAGCGCCGTCGCAGGAACTGAAAGTTCCGGTGTATACAGTATAGTACAGTATACAGTATGCATATTGTCAATTATGTTCATCTTGTCGTATGTTTTTCCTTCTACAGTAAGATATTGTGTGTGCAGTACTGTATATCATCTACTATATTGTGATTGTGTCATCCCAGTAGAAATTGTAATTCATAATGCATTTTTCTTTAGTGCAGGGCTTGAATCCTAATACAGTAGGCTACTGAGTAAGCATGTTACAGTGTTAAGAAAATTAAGTTTGTACAGAATGTTTTGTACTCTAGAATACAGCATGGAGGGTAATTTATGTCATTTTGTTAAATTAGAGTAAGGGATTGAGCTGTTTTAACTAATGTAATTTTAATTGATAGTCCTATTTGTACAATACATTATATCATATAGAAATATAACCAAGAATGAAATCCATAAAATGCTGAAATAATCATATACTGTATCTAAGTTCCATTATTCTTCTGCTCCCTGAGGTATATTGAGGCAGGAAGATGTCTATATGGCACTAACAGATGACATAACATACTAACATATATCATATTTCATACATACATATGACTAACATAAGACATTTGCCACAGTGCTTAAAACATTCCCGTGGGATCATTTAGGGTCCTTGAGAGTAGCTGGCACAAGATATATCCAGCCAGGATAACAGGTGTTCAGAAGGGGAGCCGGTCGGCTGAGCGGACAGCACGCTGGGCTTGTGATCCTGTGGTCCTGGGTTCGATCCCAGGCGCCGGCAAGAAACAATGGGCAGTTTCTTTCACCCTATGCCCCTGTTACCTAGCAGTAAAATAGGTACCTGGGTGTTAGTCAGCTGTCATGGGCTGGTTCCTGGGGTTGGAGGCCTGGTCGAGGACCGGACCGCGGGGACACTAAAAACCCCGAAATCATCTCAAGATAACCTCAAGATAAGGGTCTGTTCTTAAGCTCAAGCTAACAGAACTGCTGTGATGTCATGTATGTTGCCTTCAATAGGATGGTTTTATTATCCCTGTAGCTAACATTCTTGAATGCCTGCTTCACCTCACTACCACCAGGTGGCAGTACCATTAACACAAGGCTGACCTTTGCTAACCCTCACATTTACCCGTACTGCTCTGGCAGCTCCCAGACAGTGACTGTTAAATATGTATAATTGAATAAGTACTGACCTGTTCTAGTTTCTGAGGGAATCTGAATTTTGGGGGGCATTTGTCAGGTTAGCTAAGCATGTTAGCTAAGATATGTATTATCAGATGTTTTAGATGAGTCACCAATGTGCAACCTACACATCAGAAAATGAAGAAACAAAAACGTTTCGGTTCATCCTGGACCATTATCAAGTCGTGTTGGTAATGCTCCAAGATGGGACCGAAATGTCATAATTTTACAGTACAGTATCTGATCCACAACTTCTTTCACCATGAAGCTTTCCTTGTCGATCACAGACCAAGTGCTTGGCTGTTTGCCTTACACTTTCACTATCATTAGTACAGTAATGTCTGTAATGTTTGCTCATTACACTCTTCCCCCTTGCAATTATATAAAATTACATTTTTTCAGATTGTTTACAATAGCATTTCTTTCCGATGCCTCATGGCAAATTCTCAACAACCATTCCTTAACCCTTTCTCCATGCAATATATAATATTTCATATACAATACCTCACTGATACCTGCAACACCCACATTTCTGTTTTTGCACTTAGGAAAATGTCTTCATTTTATGTATCTGATGATATTTTGTGCTACACTCATCTCATTCAAAGTAAACCAGTCATGTTTGCACTTTTGTTCATGAATTCCAACTTTCGAACTTTCAAACTATTATTTCCACAACATATCTGAATGCTTAAGTTATGATACTTTCCTATTTATATTTACAGTTGTGACTGAGAAGACAAATATCCTCCTGCGGTACTTGCACCAACAATGGGAAAAGAAGGTAATTCTTGCTATATGTGCTTGCCTGTGTCTGTAGGGAAAGGGATGTGAAATAGCTCCTTCACTCTTGGCTATTAGGTACCTGGATACAATTGTATCTTCCTTTTTTCTAATGCTCATGTGTCATATCTGTTCTTATAGTGGTAAATGGAAGTGACTACTTCTACCTGTGCTCTTAGTTCATTCCACTTGCTTTCCACCTGTCTTAGATAGAAATACAGGCCCCAACCCACCGTCAGACCAACTCGGCTTTGAACTGAACAGGCAATTATACGGTGCAGTATCTAAATTAAGGGTTAATCCATCATACCTCATAAAATTCTCTAGTTAAGTTAAAAAATACAGTACTGTCTTGTTTAGAAGAAATAATGAAATAATAATTGAGTACGTACCAAGGATCGAAATGTTGCTCTAAGTACGGTCTTGGGATGATCCTTCTACAAAGGATTTGTGTAGAGATGCTGAAGGTACCTTAGCCGACTCTTCTTGCATAATACAGTGACCACCATAACCACCATTGTCACCTCCTCATCAACAATCCCCACAATATTCTAACCCACCTGACTTTGCAGAAGCAGATATATTTAACTTTGCTCATAACAGTGCCTGTACAGTACTTAATGTAGTACAGTACCTGTAATCATTGCATACCCTGTACGCATTAGTTACTCAATTCTAAGTATGTATAGCTTTCTCTATCAAAGCTGGCCCGGGTCAAGCCTAGTTATTGACATTTTCCGTGACTTAAAATGTAGGTACAGTACTGTATTTTGTTATTTCATAATATATGAATTAAAAGATGAGGTGTTCTATAAAATGACACTGGAATGGGCATTGTATGTAAGAGCTTATAAATTTATGTTGTATGGGCTGACATTGTGTTGAGTGTATGTAATATCCACAGAGACATTACAAATGTACCAGTAAAATGGTTGTGTCCAGAGTTTTGTCGTGTATCCAAGGCTTCGGATACCTTAGCGCCAGGCTTTTGATGGCAAGACATATCACCCAAAGCAGGGTGTGTCAGTACTCTTTATAGGTGGTTTATGTATTGTTTGGTGACGTCAATTATGTTTTTTCTTCCCATGCATCTGGAGACGAACAATTGCAAACCCATGTTCCGTGACTTATTACTGAGAACCAATGACCGTTAAGGACTGAAATAAATTTATAAGCTAGCATGGTGTGCTTGACAGATGCTGGTGGCATTTTCAATTGATTTAGATACAGTACCATAGAATGTTTTTGTATTGAAGGGCAGAAATGGAAAGGATTTCTCTACCAGTTTCTGGATATCCCTTTATTATCCATTCTGTATTATTCTAGGTATCTACCCTGATGTCATTGTGCAGTTTAAGGGCCTGATATCAAAGGAAAAAATTAAAAGCAACCCCCCCTTAAATTCGACAATAAAAAATAGCTTTCTTTTAATTATCACACTGAATCCAGGAGAAGTTAACATTGCAATATTTATTCATTCAGGTGTTTGAGAGAGATTTTTCATGCTTCAAAATGTTTTTGAAGTACTGTACAGTATATTCAAAAAGTTCTTGGTATTTTTGTGGTTTCATTCTATGTATTGGTGCAGGTGCTGTAGGTTATAGGCACTGTTATCCAGAGATCTGCAAATTTACCCAGTTGTTTTCACCTGACTATTACTGTACAAGTAACTGTTACTGTTTTCACCTGACTGTTACTGTACAAGTAACTGTTACTGTTTTCACCTGACTATTACTGTACAAGTAACTGTTACTGTTTTCACCTGACTATTACTGTACAAGTAACTGTTACTGTTTTCACCTGACTGTTACTGTACAAGTAACTGTTACTGTTTTCACCTGACTATTACTGTACAAGTAACTGTTACTGTTTTCACCTGACTGTTACTGTACAAGTAACTGTTACTGTTTTCACCTGACTATTACTGTACAAGTAACTGTTACTGTTTTCACCTGACTATTACTGTACAAGTAACTGTTACTGTTTTCACCTGACTGCAATGTGTTCCACTGCCTATAATAGGGCTATCTTCTCTAGGGCTGAAACCTATTACCAAACAAAAATTAAAACAAATCACGTTTACCACATGAGCATGCTGGACAATGAGTTTGAGTTTGTGTGGAATCAATGAGTTGTTTTAAACAAAATGATGTCTTGATTATATGGGTCTTGTGGTTACAGGCCCACTTGGTACCAAGGCATTTCCATTACATTAAGGCATTTGTAATTTTTTTTTTTTTTATACCACAATTTTTGGGGGTTTTATTAATGCAAATGATAGAACACATGTTTGTGGATCACTTGAATTTATGTTTATCAAACATAAATTTACCACACATACAAATATGGATTATGCAGCTTTCTTTCATTTGTCCACGCATTTATTACAGTTCATTGAAGTATAACTGGATCATAACCATTCTATTACACCTGGATTTCCATTGAAACAGGTTCTATTCAAGTAGATACCACTGTATGTTGCACATGTCAGCAGAGTTGAACAAATTATACAGGTGTTGTACTGTATTACAGTACAATATTATACTTAATAAGTTTTTTTTTGGTTACCACATTAAGTGGTAAGTTTGTCTTGCTCATTTTATGTAAATGTAATATTAAAAGACTCTTGGCTATATTTTTCAGTGTCCAAAAAAGAAACGCGAGACAGGTTCTGGTAGCAATGAAGAGGAAGCTCCCCGTAATAAACGACCTCGTTTAGAACCTGGCCCCTCGTCCGACTCTCCATAGCCACAACCACTCCTTCCTCTAGCAGTCAATCACATTTGCCATTAAATAAGCCAGGATTATGTGGACTCCATGTGTTTATGTTTATTGAACCTGTTTCAAGACCCATTGGGGCTAATAGTCATAATCATTCCTGAGGTGGAGTTGTTATGCTTGGAGGTAATCCTATTAATTCTGGTTTGTCTGTTTTTAATAAACAAATAAATGAATTAAATTCATAAATCGGAAAGATGCACTGTATACTTGAACATGTAGATGCGATTAATTATGAATATTTGGGTCCATAATTTTAGTGGCTTTTATATGTAAAAACAAAAGAGAAAAAAAATTGAGGGGGCCGTAGTTCAATGGTATCCTTCTATAACGCTAAGATTGTAATGATATTATAGTGTAAGATATATTTTTGAAGATTGACTGTGTCTTCCTTAACTGTCAACTGGATCATTTTTGTAATGTAGTTTTTTTGCCGTCTAAACCAAATTGTTATTTCTCTTTTGTTGTATTGGAAGGTACATATTGTTACTGAGAATCTTGATGTTCAATAATGGAGGCATTATCTAGCAGGTGCCAATAGCTTCAATGAATACCTCGTAAAGAGATAAGCAGATTAGCTTTATTGAAACATTTGTGTGTTGTAGTCTATTTCATCAGAAATATAGTTCACATTCAGTAATGCTTTGTGTTTGAAAACAAATAATTTTCCTGAATGAAGTAAAGAAAATGGTTTAAGACCATTTCTATTTGATTGCATTAATTTTTTGTTGCTCATGTTACTTTTTTTTTTATTAATGGATACATTCATCCTTGATTTTGTTTATTATAATCTAGAATGGATAAGTGGGGGAGATGAATTTGGCACTGATTGAGACTGTATACAAGTTGCTGCTCAACTCGGAACAAGAATATTATAGAAATTAATTGTCCGGTAATATTGAATGTTAAATTTTTAATACAGTATAGGTGTCTATTACCACAGTAAATTTTTTAAGTTTTATGCCATGAATACCTTTTTGATATAAAAGCAAGTTTGGCTTTTGTGGTTGTCATATTTGCTATTGCAGGATTTTATACAGTTTCGATCAGGAACTATATTTTTGCTACTCTTAGTAATGTTTGATGGTAATATATTCTCATACCATAGCTGCTACAGAGTGGGAAACATGTTGAAAATATAAGCTTAATATTTTTAATTGATTATATATAAATATATATAATTTTTTTTCTTTTTTTTTTTTTTTGTTTGGTAGGAAGCTGTCAAAGTACAGAGTTTATAAGGAAACTTGAGAGGAGCTTACCCATATCATTTTGTACAAGTAACATACTGTACAATTAATATGCAGATCTTTGGAAAATAATGCATGCCTTCAGTTGTTTGAAACCCACATGGCATTGTCTAGTGAGTGTGGGAAGAGTGGAGAGTATTTTATGTAACTGATTGTTTCAACCACTACATGTTTGTTCGTTTTTGACTTTCTAGATACTGTTCATAATAATGTCTGCATCTGAGCCTGGATATGAATAGTGGAAGTTGTAGTCTTATAATGTACCACAAGGTGATAAATAAGACAAGTCTCTAGTCAGATGAGAATATGATGAGTTTGTGAGATACAAGGGTAAACATTTGCACGTTGAAAACTGCATCAGATTTGTGAAAGATTTTATTCACGTTACTTTGCAAGATTTATTTTTAATATTTCTTTTTTTTTTTTAATTACATGTTTGTTGTTAGAGAGACATACATTTTACATACACTCATTATCTATTGTGATCATGTTTGATAACCAGAAGAGTAATTTATTTAACGATCTATTAATTTATCAAGAAATTGGTTCTATTCAATGCCTTGTATTATTTTGATAATAATATCAAGAAAATGATACCAAGGAGATGGAGATGGAAATTTTTAAGTAAATAATCATTGCACATGAAAATATAGATGAAGGTTTTCAGTACTTCATATTCATCTCATACATCTGAAAGTCATAGCTGTATTGCACATATATAGTGATGACAGCGCAGAAATCTAATAAGAAAACAAGCAAAATAAATGTTGTTTTACTTGACCCATCAAGAGTCTTCCTTCAATGTAGGCAACTTTGTTGCTGCCAGAGGTAACTAGGTTATTGTGCACCCCATACTTTTCAGTGAGAGGTAGCGCCAAAAAATTGCAAAGGACACAGGTCTTAATCAGACCTTGGTAGATGTAGTTTGACATTGGCTTCTACCATTTCTCTGCACATTGTGCAGAATAACATCGTTGAAAAGCAGAGGTGCAATAGGTACTATTGAGCGAGAACTCGACATCAGAGGCCGGAGACTTCAACACGGGGGGGGGGGGGGTGCTACATAGCCCCAGTTTGGTGCCTTCCTTTGATAATTACTTAACATAAGGGGCATAACTGGCCGACCCTCACAGTGTTCAAGAGAGAACTCTTATAAAGACCTTCAAAAGATACCTGATTAACCAGGCAGTGATTCATATGTCAGGCTGCGAGCAGCTGTATCCAACAGCCTGGTTGACCATACCATCAACCAGGAGGCCTGGTCAGAGGCCGGGCTGCTGGGACCTTGACCTCTGGAAACACTGCAAGGTAACCTTGTTTTTAATTTGAGTATAATGTTAGCTAGTAACAAACTTATTGTACAAATTTATTTTGATGAGGTAATGTAGATGGGATCTTTAATGGTATGACTGTTATAGAATATTTGACTTGTGTGATTATGCATTCACAACAACAAAGGAAAGTGGAGGAGTGCACTAAGCCCATGCAAGGTAAGGTAATTATGTGGAGAAAGGACTAAACCAGTATGACTATGTAGCACTTGGAAGGGATATGAGAACAAGGCGTTTGGACAGGACGGCATTAAGGAATGTTGTCCAACCACTTGGACCATTGGGGGATCCAATGATGACCTGCAAGAAGCTAGGGAGTGACCTGCAAGAAGCTAGGGAGGCCGTCGCTGTGTCGATCAGTCCAACTGGTTGGATCTGAAAGGCCACTCCTATTTATACCCAACCAAACTCATTGGCATGTACTAGTACACTACATAGACCCTTGACTTTAAACAATCTAATAACCCCACGTCTATGCTGTTGCCTATACTGTGATCTGCTCCATCAATATTCCCTCTTTCCGAACCAATATTTAAAGGTTTTCAGATACAGTATATCAAACAAAACAGGAAAAAGACTGGCTCATTGGAAAATGAGACTGGGCCAGGTAGCTGAATGTGACACAGGAATGGGTTATAATTTGAATGGGTAATTTGTACTTAGAGAAGAAGAACTTTACATTTTCCCTCTCCCTCCACTTTTCTTGGTCATTCCCTCCACCTCCCTTGGTCATTCCCTCCACCTCCTTTGGTCATTCCCTCCACCTCCTTTGGTCATTCCCTCCACCTCCCTTGGTCATTCCCTCCACCTCCTTTGGTCATTCCCTCCACCTCCCTTGGTCATTCCCTCCACCTCCTTTGGTCATTCCCTCCACCTCCTTTGGTCATTCCCTCCACCTCCCTTGGTCATTCCCTCCACCTCCTTTGGTCATTCCCTCCACCTCCCTTGGTCATTCCCTTCACCTCCCTTGGTCATTACCCTCTCCCTCCACCTCCCACTGACGAATTTGTTCGAACCACAACGCTATAAATGCTTCACCCACGTACTACAAATACAAATAATCGCCAACAGAACCTAATTAAACACCTAACCTAACCAGTGCCTAAATATGTACAATATGCTAATATAAAATAATATTAATTTATATTTGATAAAATTCCTGTTTTGAATGAACAGCATGTTAAAATTTATGAATGCGTCTGTGGGGTCGACCGCTGGATGTAATGGACTTGAGTCGGGGACGGGTTGTTCATATCACCTAATGCTCCTGTTTACCTAGCAGTAAATAGGTACCCTGGAGTTTGTCAGCTAATTGTGGGGTTGCATCCTGCAGGTGGACCTTGGGGGACCTCGATAGATGCCTATCGTATATAAATACACTGGCTGCCTGTCCCCCGAAACAATGAATAATTATTACAATTATTCCCCACCCCTACACCCCCCTGCTAGTCGTTCCCACCCCTCCACCTCCCCTGCTAGTCGTTCCCACCCCTCCACCTCCCCTGCTGGTCGTTCCCACCCCTACACCCCCCCTGCTAGTCGTTCCCACCCTCCACCTCCCCTGCTGGTCGTTCCCACCCTACACCCCCCTGCTGGTCGTTCCCACCCTCCACCTTCCCTGCTGGTCGTTCCCACCCTCCACCTGCTGGTCGTTCCCACCTCTACACCTCCCCTGCTGGTCGTTCCCACCCTCCACCTTCCCTGCTGGTCGTTCCCACCCTCCACCTTGGTCCCCACCCATACACCTCCCCTGCTGGTCGTTCCCACCCTCCACCTTCCCTGCTGGTCGTTCCCACCCCTACCCTCCCCCTGGTCGTTCCCACCCTACCTCCCCTGCTGGTCGTTCCCACCCTCCACCTTCCCTGCTGGTCGTTCCCACCCCCACCCCTACACCTCCCCTGCTGGTCGTTCCCACCCTCCACCTTCCCTGCTGGTCGTTCCCACCCTACACCTCCCCTGCTGGTCGTTCCCACCCTCCACCTCCCCTGCTGGTCGTTCCCACCCTCCACCTCCCCTGCTGGTCGTTCCCACCCCTACACCTCCCCTGCTGGTCGTTCCCACCCTCCACCTTCCCTGCTGGTCGTTCCCACCCTACACCTCCCCTGCTGGTCGTTCCCACCCTCCACCTTCCCTGCTGGTCGTTCCCACCCTAACCTCCCCTGCTGGTCGTTCCCACCCTCCACCTTCCCTGCTGGTCGTTCCCACCCCCACCCCTACACCTCCCCTGCTGGTCGTTCCCACCCTCCACCTCCCCTGCTGGTCGTTCCCACCCCTACACCTCCCCTGCTAGTCGTTCCCACCCTCCACCTCCCCTGCTGGTCGTTCCCACCCTCCACCTCCCCTGCTGGTCGTTCCCACCCCTACACCTCCCCTGCTGGTCGTTCCCACCCTCCACCTTCCCTGCTAGTCGTTCCCACCCTCCACCTCCCCTGCTGGTCGTTCCCACCCTCCACCACCCCTGCTGGTCGTTCCCACCCCTCCACCTCCCCTGCTGGTCGTTCCTACCCTCCACCTCCCCTGCTGGTCGTTCCCACCCTCCACCCCCCCCTGCTGGTCGTTCTCACCCTCCACCTTCCCTGCTGGTCGTTCTCACCCTCCACCTTCCCTGCTGGTCGTTCTCACCCTCCACCACCCCTGCTGGTCGTTTCCACCCATCCACCTCCCCAGCTGGTCGTTCTCACCCTCCACCTTCCCTGCTGGTCGTTCTCACCCTCCACCTTCCCTGCTGGTCGTTCTCACCCTCCACCTTCCCTGCTGGTCGTTCTCACCCTCCACCACCCCTGCTGGTCGTTTCCACCCCTCCACCACCCCTGCTGGTCGTTACCACCCTCCACCTCCCCTGCTGGTCGTTCCCACCCTCCACCTCCCCTGAAGGAGTCTGGGACTGGGTGGAGTTGACAGTAGTCTGAAGGCAGCAGCGGAGGAGACACCAACCAACTGAGACTCCTGGAAAACTCTCTCGTACATTTCTAATTTATTTTGGAGTGTTTGTTGCTAGGTTTGTTAATAATTGTAATAGCCTGTCTCACTTTGTTTTCGTGCCGTGCGTCACTATATAAATTCCGAGTCATCCAGTAGCCGTGCCCTGAGGGTGTATATATAGGACCTTTGGAATTGTACCGTTCTGAGAGTCATGCCATGTGTCAGTGTACCCTCCTGGGAGTTATGTCTGGTGTCAGTGTACCCTCCTGGGAGTCATGCCTGGTGTCAGTGTACCCTCCTGGGAGTTATGTCTGGTGTCAGTGTACCCTCCTGGGAGTTATGCCTGGTGTCAGTGTACCCTCCTGGGAGTCATGCCTGGTGTCAGTGTACCCTCCTGGGAGTTATGCCTGGTGTCAGTGTACCCTCCTGGGAGTTATGCCTGGTGTTAGTGTACCCCCCAGGGAGCCACGCCATGTGTCAGTGTACCCTCCTGGGAGTTATGCCTGGTGTCAGTGTACCCTCCTGGGAGTTATGCCATGTGTCAGTGTACCCTCCTGTGACTTATGCCTGGTGTCAGTGTACCCTCCTGTGACTTATGCCTGGTGTCAGTGTACCCTCCTGGGAGTTATGTCTGGTGTCAGTGTACCCCCCAGGGAGCCACGCCATGTGTCAGTGTACCCTCCTGGGAGTTATGCCTGGTGTCAGTGTACCCTCCTGGGAGTTATGCCATGTGTCAGTGTACCCTCCTGGGAGTTATGCCTGGTGTCAGTGTACCCTCCTGGGAGTCATGCCTGGTGTCAGTGTACCCTCCTGGGAGTTATGTCTGGTGTCAGTGTACCCTCCTGGGAGTTATGCCTGGTGTCAGTGTACCCTCCTGGGAGTTATGCCTGGTGTCAGTGTACCCTCCTGGGACTTATGCCTGGTGTCAGTGTACCCTCCTGGGAGTCATGCCTGGTGTCAGTGTACCCTCCTGGGAGTTATGCCTGGTGTCAGTGTACCCTCCTGGGAGTTATGCCTGGTGTCAGTGTACCCTCCTGGGAGTCATGCCTGGTGTCAGTGTACCCTCCTGGGAGTTATGTCTGGTGTCAGTGTACCCTCCTGGGAGTTATGCCTGGTGTCAGTGTACCCTCCTGGGAGTTATGTCTGGTGTCAGTGTACCCTCCTGTGACTTATGCCTGGTGTCAGTGTACCCTCCTGGGAGTCATGCCTGGTGTCAGTGTACCCTCCTGGGAGTTATGCCTGGTGTCAGTGTACCCTCCTGGGAGTTATGCCTGGTGTCAGTGTACCCTCCTGGGAGTCATGCCTGGTGTCAGTGTACCCTCCTGGGAGTTATGCCTGGTGTCAGTGTACCCTCCTGGGAGTTATGCCTGGTGTCAGTGTACCCTCCTGGGAGTTATGTCTGGTGTCAGTGTACCCTCCTGGGAGTTATGCCATGTGTCAGTGTACCCCCCCCCTGTGAGTTATGCCTGGTGTCAGTGTACCCTCCTGGGAGTTATGCCTGGTGTCAGTGTACCCTCCTGTGACTTATGCCTGGTGTCAGTGTACCCTCCTGGGAGTCATGCCTGATGTCAGTGTACCCTATTGTGAGTTATGCCTGGTGTCAGTGTACCCTCTTGGGAGTCATGCCTGGTGTCAGTGTACCCTCCTGTGAGTTATGCCTGGTGTCAGTGTACCCTCCTGGGAGTTATGCCTGGTGTCAGTGTACCCTCCTGTGAGTTATGCCTAGTGTCAGTGTACCCTCCTGTGAGTTATGCCTAGTGTCAGTGTACCCTCCTGTGAGTTATGCCTAGTGTCAGTGTACCCTTCTGTGAGTTATGCCTGGTGTCAGTGTACCCTCCTGTGAGTTATGCCTGGTGTCAGTGTACCCTCCTGGGAGTCATGCCTGGTGTCAGAGGGAGTCATGCCTGGTGTCAGTGTACCCTCCTGGGAGCCACGCCATGTGTCAGTGTACCCTCCATGTGTCAGTATATACGCTATCTTAAGCATAATAATGTACATTTATATGTTACACTAGAATACGAATCTTTTAATTTAAGTTTAATTTTTGGATTTTTTTTTGTGCCCAACTACAGAATTAAAAGTAGAGAACGCAAACTTAAGTGTTGGCTGCAACAATTTATTTTTGTACGTTCGACCAAATATAAAGTTGTTATAAGTGTTATTATTTTATTAGGATTTGTTTGAGAACATTAAAAGCCAAGAGAATATTGGTGGTAGAAGCTATTCATCCAAGGATATTCATGTATATAATAATATATTATATTATAATATAATTTAAATGATATATTACTATTATAATTATAATAATATATATATTATTATTATTTAATACCCCCTACACACACACACGGCCCAACTTGGCATACTAAGCAAAGCTCGCTATCTCCGACTAGGCTGTTTTTTCCTTGTATCGTCACAGGAATTTGTGCAAACATCGCGATATTGACATTTGAATGTTTATTTAAGCTATGTAATATCGGTCAAATTTAAATTAAGACAGTATACTGGATAATAGTTGGCCTATTTATGCTAGTAAAGGATGCTATAGGTTAGTTTTGATTAAAAATATACAAAATTGATATAAAATACGTATTGAGTTGAATGCATAAGAATTTTTTTGATAAGATTCTTTATTGAAGGAAATTTTTGATTTTTGTATTTTCTAATAAAATAGGCTGCTGAGAAGGAGTTGCTCAGCTGGAAGTAACTCAGGATATTTTCAAATATTGTATAAAATCTATTGTTTAATAAAACTGAAAAAGAAATTCCTAATATGAAAACTGGTGTTTAGCAAATCTATAGGAAGAGTTTTTACCTAAAAAACAAAATATAACTTGGCATATACCACATACGTACTTATTAATCAGCCAAATAGTGACTACAAGTAATAAGTCATATATGTACTGTCTTGTGCGAGAGCAGGTTGCAGCTGGCGGCCACATCAATCTTCCCTCTATAGCCTATGAATATCTTTCCAGGATGCTTCACAGGAGGAAACTCTCTGCCGTTTCCCTAGTGGGTGCGTTTTTTCTCTTCATATACGCCCTGGGCACCACCTCCAGAGTAAGGTTGTCCTCGCCTGGTGACGGGGCGGGGTTGGAGGCTGGTGGCAGGTCCGGAGACCTGCAGGACGCCCTCAACCAGGGACAGGATCCATCCTACAGTCACACATCATTCTCCCAAGAACTGCCGGAATCCATACGTTTAAGAAGACAATTTGTGGAAAATAGATTAAGTGGATATAATATTTCAAATGAATTATATGAAAAAGAGAGAAGAGTAAATCTCGCAGTCGATATTTTAGCCAAGAAAAAGTTGAACATTTCGTTAGAAAATAGTAAAATGAAAAACTTGCAGTTGGAAACATCACTGTCATCATCACAACATAAGAAAATCCTATTCTACGGCAGTTTTTTCTTTGGTCCATGGGAATCTTTTGTGGGGAATATGACTACTCTAGAGGAGAATAACTGTCCGGAGAGTAAGTGTATCTTCCTGTATAACACGTCCCACCCTGAAGGTGCGGACGCCGTCATCTTCCACCACGGGGTGTTCAACAAGGACAACGTCCCTGGCGTCCGTCTGCCCCACCAGCGTTACGTCTGGCTCAACTTAGAGGCTCCCAGTCTCATAAACCTTAACAACACTCAACAACTGCAACACATCGCAGACGAAAAATGGTTTGGCGTGGATGGGTTTTTCAACTGGTCTTACTCGTATAACAGAGAGTCAGACCTTGTCATGCTCTACGGCGGTCTCAGGTCTTTGAGAGGTAGGTGATAAAACCCTCCTCTCTCGTTACATAATAAATGTCTAAATCAAAATCTCATGTCAAAAATTTTACGTTGCAACTAAGTTATGAAGTTCACTGTACAGAATTACCTTTTAATAGACTATTATAAAAGTTTAAATAAATGAATCATATCTATAATAATAAAATATAAGCTGAATATGTAAGGGACATAAAATTATAATCGTAGAGACGAAAGTGTCACCGGAAGAGCAATATATATATATATTCGCCCATATTTAGCATCTATTTTACTACTGTTAATATAAAATATCCTCATTATTCATATAGACTTTAACCTCATTTTCCATGCCTTGACCTGTCTTGACCATCTTTTGTCATTGACGGAGCCTAGGTGAGCCAGACCCGCCTCGCCCGGGTCTCCTAGACACCTCCGGGGCTACGTACACAGACTACATAGCCGCTTTAGACCGCGGGGACCAGCTACTGCAAGACGACCCCGACCACCACTGGCACGCTTTCATGTCTCGCCCCAAAACTGTGGCCTGGATGGTGTCCCACTGTAGCACTGTGTCGGGTAGGTAATGTTCCACTGTAGCACTGTCGGGTAGATAATGTTCCTCTGTAGCACTGTGTCGGGTAGGTAATGTTCCACTGTAGTACTGTGTCGGGTAGGTAATGTCCCACTGTAGTACTGTGTCGGGTAGGTAATGTTCCACTGTAGCACTGTGTCGGGTAGGTAATGTTCCACTGTAGTACTGTGTCGGGTAGGTAATGTTCCACTGTAGCACTGTGTCGGGTAGGTAATGTCCCACTGTAGTACTGTGTCGGGTAGGTAATGTTCCACTGTAGCACTGTGTCGGGTAGGTAATGTCCCACTGTAGTACTGTGTCGGGTAGGTAATGTTCCACTGTAGCACTGTGTCGGGTAGGTAATGTTCCACTGTAGCACTGTGTCGGGTAGGTAATGTTCCACTGTAGTACTGTGTCGGGTAGGTAATGTTCCACTGTAGCACTGTGTCGGGTAGGTAATGTTCCACTGTAGTACTGTGTCGGGTAGGTAATGTTCCACTGTAGCACTGTGTCGGGTAGGTAATGTTCCACTGTAGCACTGTGTCGGGTAGGTAATGTTCCACTGTAGCACTGTGTCGGGTAGGTAATGTTCCACTGTAGTACTGTGTCGGGTAGGTAATGTTCCACTGTAGTACTGTGTCGGGTAGGTAATGTTCCACTGTAGCACTGTGTCGGGTAGGTAATGTTCCACTGTAGTACTGTGTCGGGTAGGTAATGTTCCACTGTAGCACTGTGTCGGGTAGGTAATGTTCCACTGTAGCACTGTGTCGGGTAGGTAATGTTCCACTGTAGCACTGTGTCGGGTAGGTAATGTTCCACTGTAGCACTGTGTCGCGTAGGTAATGTTCCACTGTAGCACTGTGTCGGGTAGGTAATGTTCCACTGTAGCACTGTGTCGGGTAGGTAATGTTCCACTGTAGCACTGTGTCGGGTAGGTAATGTTCCACTGTAGCACTGTGTCGGGTAGGTAATGTTCCACTGTAGCACTGTGTCGGGTAGGTAATGTTCCTCTGTAGCACTGTGTCAGGTAGGTAATGTTCCACTGTAGCACTGTGTCGGGTAGGTAATGTCCCACTGCAGCACTGTGTCGGGTAGGTAATGTTCCACTGTAGCACTGTGTCGGGTAGGTAATGTTCCTCTGTAGCACTGTGTCAGGTAGGTAATGTTCCACTGTAGCACTGTGTCGGGTAGGTAATGTCCCACTGCAGCACTGTGTCGGGTAGGAAATGTCCCACTGCAGCACTGTGTCGGGTAGGTAATGTCCCACTGCAGCACTGTGTCGGGTAGGAAATGTCCCACTACAGCAGTGTCGGGTAGGTAATGTCCCACTGCAGCACTATCTGGTAGGTAGTTGTTATAAACAGCGCACTCCTTATAGATATCTGGTGTCACCTCAACTTATTTATTTGAACCAAATAATCATCTCATTTATTTGTACCAAATAAAGTCACCTCAACTTTATTTATATATGTACCAGGCCCTAAGTGTGTCTGTACTTGGGGTACGGGAACACCAAGTTAGTAACAAAATCTACCAGCTTACTTTTAATTAAAACAGGAACTCAAATAATTACATAAACCTTGATCAATTCCTAGGTCGTAACAGTATTGTCTCACTCTTCTAATGATATATTTAAGGTAACTGTAAGTTCAGTGATTATGTGTCGGAAGAGACCATTCTGGCGTGATTCAAGTTATAAAACTCGTATGTCAATAATTACACTAGTAGTTAGTTCAGTGCGGCCATTTTACTGCACTTTGACAACGACAGCCTATCCCAAAACTTGAGCTTGCAAAAGTTTATTTTTTTATTTAATTTTTTTTCGTGCAAGTGTTCTAAATAAATGAGGCTGGAAAATATGGCCTTTTAAGGAATTACATTTTAAAGGAATTAACATAATGCAGGGTGAAATATCTGAAGGATAGGATTGTATGTCTAGTACGAGGTGAATTAGAGAAATTGTAAAAAAAAAATGGATCTAGATGATATGGGAAACTGGTTGACTGAGAATTATGTGAAGTATGCATAAATGTAGTATTTCCCTTGTAAATTGATGTAAATATAATCTTCGTATTGTATATTATTTAATACAGAAAATAAATTGGTGACTGATACCCACAAATAATTCTCACAATAATTAAGTGACCAACCAGCGAGTATACTTTAGCTCTGAACATATTACAGAATTAAAGTAAACTCGGTGTATATTGAGAGAGGTGGGATTCACCTCTCGGTGTATAGATCTGTCTCACAGCAGGTGACTACTTCCACAGGGCGGGAGTTCTACGTGAAGGAGTTGCAGAAGCACATGTCCGTGGACGTTTACGGCCTGTGTGGGGACCTCCGCTGCAGCAAGAACCACCAGAACTTGGACTGCTATGCCGACGTCTTGAGACCCAAGTATAAGTTTTACCTGGCCTTCGAGAACAACATGTGCCAAGATTACATCACGGAGAAGGTAGGAAGTATTGGGGGAAGGGGTTGTTGGTGTATCTGGGACAGTGTGTATGTTAGCCTAGGGAGTAACCCAGGCAGGAAGCAGAGGAATGCAGTGAGGAGGGAGGTATTAGAGTGCTGAGAGGAAATGAGTGGAGAACCACAAGGGTTGTTATTATGGTCCATCAACTTCCTCATATACTTTGTCAGGAAATTTGCTTCCTCGTTAAAAATATTTGTTGATGATACAAAACTAATGAGACGAGTTAAAACAATTCATCACTGTGATATATTGCAAAAGGGGGCATGAGTTGATTTTTAAAAAGTTGTTCAATGTAAACCTATATTTTTTGACTAGTTGTATATGAAAAGGGCTGCAATTATTCCGAGTTTCAGTACTGCAGCCTAAATAGAAAGGGAGATTTTTTTCTAGTTAACTCTACTCTTTCACCTTTTCAGATATAATCCTTCTATGACACTTTTCTGACACATTAGCATATAATAAAGGATCTGTAGGAAGGGATTTTCCAAAACATCTTTAGTTTTCTTAATACAAAGAGTGAAAAGTTCCCCAAAACATTATGCAGATATATCATGTTTATTGCTATTTATAAAATCAGTAAATGAACTCAGGACAAAACTCTTGCTACATATTTTAGAGACATACACTTTACATAAAAGATGTAAGTGTCATGTAAATTGAATAAAAATTAAAGATGTAGAGTCGTTTATGGTACTTGAAAAATAAATCTTGAAAAATATTAAAGTCTAAGGTACTGCCATCTGTGGCTGAGGTTGACATTAACCAATTTCCTTCAAAATTGGCACCCTTACATATGAAGGGTGCAGTGCAGTCAGGTGTATAAGTTTCATGCAAATCGTCCAATAAACAAATAAGAAAAATCAAATTAAAAAAAAATAATAAGTTTTTAATTTTTTCAACTTTTTTTTAATAAAACTAATTATATTTTTGTTTAATATATGCTATTGTGATAGCTGAGAGTCATAGACATGATTTCAGTTGACACTTGTGTTTGATAATCGTTTTTGACCATTTTGGAATAATTTTGACACCTTCTTCAATATTTTTTTCTCCCTTCCTATTTATGCTACGACGCTAAGACTTGGACCAGATGAAACTCTTTTCATGTACAACTCGTCAAAAAAGTTTGATTGAAATCGAACTAGTTTTCATTTAATGCATTTTTTTGGAAATCTGGAACTCATGCCCCCAAAATATACTAGACACACTAGTGGTGTTCTTAAACATGGCTGCTAAACCTTGAATCTTAAACCCTTACATCAGTACAGTACAGAATTTAAGGAGAAATGGATTCCTGTAGCATAAATGATAGACACGAGGGTAGACATAACCACAGGTTAATTATAACGTCGGCAATGTATACTAAATTGGCTAATGTTTGGCATTTAAACCCGAGTGCTATATATAACCAGCTTGAGACCCACTCTTAAGTATGCAGCGCCGCCATGGAACCCTCATCTGAGAAAGCATTTGACAGAATTAGAAAAGGTTGAGTACAGTGTTACAGTACACACAGAAATCACAATAACGTGATATATCATATGAGCAAATCCACAAGGGCCGTGATCAGGATTCGAACCTACGCCCTAGATGATCCCAGCTGGGCCTTAGGGGGCATAACGCCTAAATATGCAATAAATGAAAACTGGTTCGATTTCAATAAAACTTTTTTTAATAGTTTTCTATGAAATTTGCTTCAACTGGTCCAAGTCTCAGCATCAAAATTAACATCAAACACAAGTGTCAACTGAAATCATGTCTATGACTCTCGGCTATCACAATAGCATATAATAAAGTATTTTAATAATTAGTTTTATGAATATATATATATGTGGGAACCGACCTGTGAGATTTATATTTATTTAATTTATATGAATTTATATTTACGTTAATTTATATACTTCGATAGCAATTTGTATAATAATGAGTGGACTGTATTTCTGCAATAATCTCATAATCTCACAAATCGATCCTCTACACATTAGGGGGGGTTATTAAATTAATATATATATGCAGCCAATCAAACTACAGTAACTACATACATTGAAAAGGTTCCTTATCTTATAGTACAGCAGGTTAGTCCACCAGGTATAACTAGGGTGTAGACACCAAATTATCCTCTTTGAGGTAGCTTCCATATCACCCAGTAACTGGTGCACAAATCTTCCATCCTCGTCTTGACCTGTCAAAAGTGCGCTAGCTGTGAAGCCAGAATCCTATATATGACAAGCTATATCAGAGAAAACACTATACAGTACATAGAACATGAAGACCTGGCTTAATTACCTTTAGTTTGAGGCGATTTCGCGATCTAACCGGGTCACCCTATATCCTGACATTAATGGCCACAAATGAATGATAAACGGGTTTCGGATAGACACTTAACTTGAATTGTAGACATCGTGTTGGAGATGGTACCTTTGGTTTCCATAACACTACGTCCAAGTAAAATTAACAGGAGCCGAATTTGCTCCCGTGTGAGCCTCTGGTCTCGTATAACACAATGGCTGTTTAACACTCCATACTATTGACGTTACTGGCCGACATTGTCCAGAATGATAGGAGCCGAATTTGCTCCACACGTCTCGGAGGTGACAGAACAATGGCTGCCCCTCCTTCCTCCCTCACGCCTGGCCTACTTTGTCCAGATTTCAGAAAGTGATAGAAGGGTCACATTTACTCTACTTTAATATTGATAATTAAGTTAATTTATATAAGATGTTTTATGATGGTAAAGTCCAAAGACTAATGTATTTAAGAATAATTCCCAGCAAAATAGCTGGTGAATTATAATAGTATGTGGTGATGATATCCCGTTTTCTTTAGATGGTAATTCCACTACAAGTTACGTTTTCTATGGGTAACTTGTTGGTAATACAGCTATTATCTGTATGATATATTAAATGGTGTCGGATTTTCCGACAATATATATATATATATATATATATATATATATATATATATATATATATATATATATATATATATATATATATATATATATATATATCTTACTGAACGTAAGCCAATTTTGGAGGAAGTTGGTTGATGTCAACCTCAACCACAGGTGGCAGAATCTTTGACTTCATTTATTTTCAAGTACAGTAACATAAAGTGCGAGTACTCTTTTTATTTTGTATTCAATTTGCATGAAACTTACACTTTATATGTAGAGTTTATGTCTCTACAATCCTTCTAAGCAATTTATGCCTAAGTTCATTTATTGATTTTATAAATATTTGCATAAATTTTTAGGGGACTTTGACTATTTGTATTAGTATAACTAAACATATTTTGGATAACTCGCTTAGATATTTCCTTTATTATATGCTAATGTTATAGATGAGTGTCATAGAAATGATTTCATTTGAAACTTATGGTTGTACTGAATTATTGAAAATTTGTAAAATTCGTTGAAAAAAGTCCCCCCCCCCTTTCTATTTAGGGTGGGATACTGAAACTTGGAACAGTTGCAGCCCTTTTCATATACAACTAGTAAACAAAGTTTGGTTGACATTGAAGAACTTTTAATATCCGGCGTTATGCCCCCTTAGTGAACTGTACCACAACATGGTAAAAGAATTGCAACCTGGAGCGCTACTGCCCTCACTAGGATCTAAGTTGACTAAGGTGCATCCAGGAACATCCCGTGCGTAGGTTCGAACTCTCATCACGACCCTTGTGGATTTGCTCTCAGAGTTAGTGTTCCCGGCTTGGCGAGAAGACTGAGAGGTGAGCTACGATGGAACACTGAGGGAACTACACACACAAATGAGCCACAGAGGCATTAGAAAAAAAATTTTCAGTGTCAGAGTAGTTAGTAAATGGAATGCACTGGGAAGTGATGTGGCGGAGGCTGACTCCATACACAGTTTTAAGTGTAGATATGATAGAGCCCAGTAGGCTCAGGAATCTGTACATCAGTTGATTGACGGTTGAGAGGCGGGACCAAAGAGCCAGAGCTCAACCCCGCAAGTACAACTAGGTGAGTACACCTCGGCTTGATGATTGATTGATAAAGATGAAGCCACCCAAGAGGTGGCACGGGCATGAATAGCCCGTGAGGGGTGGCCCTTTTGAGCCATTACCAGTATCAATAGATGATACTGGAGATCTGTGGAGGTGCGACTGCACCCTGCGTGACGGGAGATGTCTCCCGTCTACACCTCGGCACACTGGGAGATCAAATATACGGCGTGGAGGGAGGTGGGAGAGGGGATGGCGGAATATAACTTTGTAAGTGGAATTGACAACGTTAACAGAGCAGCGGTGTTCGAAGTGAGGTAATAAGATTGAAACGACAAACACAAATTAGTCAGAGAGATGTCAATAATAACTTTTTCATTGAGTTACACACAAGTGTAATGTAATAGTTGAAGCAGTGATTGGTGGGTGCAAGCAGCCCAACAAGCACATGTAGGTGAGCACATGCAGATGAGCACGGGTGCACACGGAAGCTCTCATTATAGCGGTAGAGGTTGTCATTGTACGCTGCTGGTGGAGTGTTCGGTAACTATACCGTGGGTGACACCACTGTGGCCGCTCTACCGTAACCTTCCTCACTCCCTAACTTGTTCTCACCTACTTGAGGGGGTTGAGCTTCGGCTCTTTGGTCCCGCCCCTCAACTGTTAATCAACTTTTTTTTCAGGGATATTTCTGCGTGGGCCCTAAGCCTCTGGCTGGCCCACTAATTGTTAATTGTGGTTTGTTTCTGTTTGACTTAGGCGAAGTATGAGTATTTATGACTCGTATGTTCGTTTCAGTAAGATTATGCCCAATGTGTTTAACAACTTTTGCTACTCTGTTGAATCTTAGTTGAAATCTTAATGGATTTGTAACTGTACACTGTGTTAGATAATGTTCCAGTGGTCTGTCGGGCATTTCTCCACAGTGAGATTGACGGTTGAGATTCCTGATTCCTGAGCCTATTGAGCTCTATCATATCTGTATTTGAAACTGTGTATGGAGTCTGCCTCTACCACATCACTGCCTAATGCATTCCATTAGTTATTAACTACCCTGACACTGAAAAGTTATTTCTAATGTCTCTGTGGCTCATTTGGGTTCTAAGTTTCCACCTGTGTCCCCTTGTGTATGTATCACCGTGTTAAATAAACTACCTTTATCTACTCATCAATTCCTCTGAGAATCACATATGTTGTGATCATGTCTCCCCTAACTTCAAGTCTTCCAGCGACGTGAGGTTCAGTTCCTGCAGTCTCTCCTCGTAGCTCATACCCCTCAGCTCGGGTACGAGTCTAGTGGTATATCTTTGAACCTTCTCCAATTTATTCTTGTGTTTGACTATATACAGACTCCATGCTGGAGCTTCATACTCCAGGATTGATCTGACATATGTGGTATATAATGTTCTAATGATTCCTTAAGTTTCTAAAAGCAGTTCTTATGTTGGCCAACCTAGCATAAGCCACTGATGATATTCTCATGATATGGCCTTCAAGGGACAGATCTGGCGTGATATCAACCTCCAGGTCTTTCTGCCTGATTCTTGAAGGATTTCATGTCCCAAATGGTATCTTGTATCTGACCTCCAGCTCCCTACATCTATCTTCATTACTTTACATTTGCTTAGGTTAAACTCTAATAGCCATTTGTTGGATCATTCCTTCAGTTTGTTCAGGTCTTCTTGAAGCCTAAAGCTGTCCTCCTCCTGTCTTAATTCTTCTCATAAATTTAACATCATCAGCAAACGTTGAGAGAAAGGAGTGTATACCCTCTGGGAGATCATTTGCATATATCAGAAACAGGATAGGTCTGAGTATAGATCCCTTTGGGACTCCGCTGGTGACCACGCCATTCTGAGGTCTCATTTCTCACAGTAATTCTCTACTTTCTATTGCCTAGGTACTCTTCTTTCCACTGGAGCACCTTACCAGTTACTCTTGCTTGTTTCTCCAATTTATATACCAGCCTTTTATGGGGTGCTGTGTCAAAGGTATTCCGACAGCCCAGAAAAAGGAGTCTGCCCAACCTTCACTTTCTTGCTTAATCTTTGTCACCTAGTCGTAGAATTCTATTAAACCAATGAGGCAAGATTTGCCATACCTTTTCTTCATGAAGTCCATTCTCTCCAGATGTGCTATTACTCACGATCTTCTCCATCACCTGGCATGGTATACAGGTTAAAGACACTGGCCTGTAGTTCAATGCCTTTTGCCTGTCACCCTTTTTATATATTGGGACCACATTAGCCGTCTTAAATATTTCTGGTAGGTCTCCTATATCCAGTTTCCCAGGGAGGCTTGACACTCCCCATGGAGAGTGTCAAGCGTAGTGCTTCTGCACACTCATTTAGTATGCAACCAGTCATTCCGACTGAGCCACGCGGATCCACGTCCTTGTCATATAAATTGCTAAATATCATATCATGGATAATATCATTGCATTTGCTTAGCATAGCACCCCAGGGAAAGCCTAATGTTCCAGTTGGACACCAGACGGGTGTTTCTGGGATCCTTCCTTGTTGTGGGTGTTGGTGGCTCAGTTGGTAGGACTGCTGATTTTGTGGTCCACGATTCGAGGCTACGATGGTCCAAGTGAATGAAATGGTGTCATCCACGATATGGTGATTAGCAATGTGTATATGACACATATGTATATATCTGTATATGTATTGGTGTGTGTGTGTGAGGCCGGATGTTGACGCAGTTGTCATTTGCAGGTGTGGTTGCCACTGCACCACGGGCTGGTGCCGGTGGTGTATGGCGGGGCCAATTACTCACTGTTTCTGCCACCTCATTCTTACGTGGACGCCACGCACCTCACGCCGCCACAGCTCGCCAGCCTCCTCACCAGGTAACGTGTTTCCCAGGGGGGCTCCAGCCCCCCCTCCCCACATCCCAGGGGCTCCAGTCCCCCCAACCCCCCAGGGGCTCCAGCCCCCCACCCTCCACCGTGACCAACTTCTCTACCCACAGCACCGTCACCCTCGCTATGAAGTGTTGTCACCTACACACAAATCACAATAGCGTGATGCATCAAATGAACAAATCCACAAGGGTCGTGACGAGGGCTCGAATCTACGTCCGGGATGATCCCAGACGCTGCCTTAGTCGACTATGTCACGACATGGTTAAAAGAATTGCAACCTTATGAGGGCAGTAGCACTCCAGCTTGCAATTAATTTAACCATGTTGTGGCATAGTTGACTAAGGCGCCTATGGGATCATCCCGTGTGTAGGTTTGAACCCTCATCACGGCCCTTGTGGATTTGTTTATGTAGTCACCTGTTGGGGGGAAGAGGGGGTCGAACGGCAAGATCTGCTTCCATCATTTGGCTGGATATATGTAAACCATACTGGACACATGGTGGAGACACACGGTGCGGACACACGGTGAAGACACACGGTGAGGACACACGGTGAGGACACACGGTGAGGACACACGGTGAGGACACACGGTGAGGATACGTTTACGCTGCGAAAAGTAGTTAAAAAAAGTTATACAGCGCTGCCTCAATAGCGGGAATCTAATTCGAAACCCTGAACTGAGAGACAGACACAGACAGATAGAGGACTGGGGCAAGAAGAATACATGTTGATAACCACTTAATCAAGTCTTAGCTGTGCCATATGTGGTACGAGGTTCTTAGAGACCTGGTGCTTGGTAATGATAATGGTTATTCAGGTAAAAGTACATACACGAAAGATTTGTTACAAACATAATGTTGGATTTATAGATAGATTTAATACTTACTATGCTTAAAGCCACTAATACGCACAGCGTTTCAGGCAACGTGTGGAAAAAACACTTAGACTTAAACTTAAAACTAATTGAGATCAAAAACATAAATTTAATTGAAAAAGGGGAAAAAGAATGATAATTACATGAAGGATGAACAGCAAAAATTGCAAAAGAACAACAGAAGTAATGTTAATTAAATAAACAGAAGACTATAATGTTGATCAAGCTATTCTTAAGCACTAGTACCCCTCCCTCAGCGGGTTACTGGTAGCCTAGTACTCATATTAGCGGACGGAGAAACTAAGTTGTACCGTCTGCGGTGTTTGGCTGCGGTCATCCTCTTAGCTGCTCAAGTTGTTGAAGTTATTGAAGTCCTGCTCATACAGTGCGCTGCCCTTTCTTCTTGAATTTCCACTGTGGGTTTCCCAAGACTGATCAATTCCACAGGGGGATTCCTGACCTTTATTTTATTGTTTTTTTGAGTATTTTGGCAATGATGATACGTCTAAATGTAAGTTTTTCGTTGTGATGATGTTGGGTGCTGTAGGCGTGGTGTGGTAGTGTGGTGTAGTGGTGTGGTCTGGTGGTGTGGTGTAGTGGTGTGGTCTGGTGGTGTAGCCTGGTGGTGTGGTGTGGTGGTGTAGCCTGGTGGTGTGGCCTGGTCCAGTGACCGCAGCGTTGGAAACTCATTCTCACCGACTAGTCATCTTGATGATTGTTGCCGCTGGAGAGATACTTTATTGTGAATCCTATAGTCATCCTGTGAGCGGTAGTGTACTCACCTAGTTGTGCTTGCGGGGGTTGAGCTCTGGCTCTTTGATCCCGCCTCTCAACCGTCAATCAACTGGTGTACAGGTTCCTGAGCCTACTGGGCTCTATCATATCTACATTTGAAACTGTATATGGAGTCAGCCTCCACCACATCACTGCCTAATGCATTCCATCTGTTAACTACTCTGACACTGAAAAAGTTCTTTCTAACGTCCCTGTGGCTCATTTGGGTACTCAGTTTCCACCTGTGTCCCCTTGTTCGCGTACCACCCGTGTTAAACACTTTATCTACCCTCTGAGAATTTTGTAGGTAGTGATCATGTCTCCCAGTGTATTGTGCACCCTATACTCATCCTGTGAGCGGTAGTTTATTGTGCACCCCATATTCATCCTGTGAGTGGCAGTTTATTGTGCACCCCATACTCATCCTTTGAGCGGTAGTTTATTGTGCACCCCATACTCATCCTGTGAGCGGTAGTTTATTGTGCACCCCATACTCATCCTATGAGCGGTAGTTTATTGTGCACCCCATACTCATCCTGTGAGCGGTAGCGCAAAATAGGATTACACAGGACAGAAAAGGTCTTTATCAGACCTCAAAAGAGATAATTACATTGCTAATATCTATCCTTCACACGTTATAATTATAATGTCAGCTGATCAGACATATTGTTCCATTAGAATAGCTATGCATTTACAATTAATCATTGTACATCAATGGTGGGTGTTTCCCCTAGTACATAACTGGTCTTAGCTATGGAGGTATTACAGGGTCATCGGAAAGCTGGCGTTAATTACTGTTAATGTTTACACTACACTGCTTCCTTAACCTCATATGTCGTTAATCTACTGGGAGGGAAACATGGATACAGTGCAAGGATTTTAGGCATTTTATCCTTAGTAATAAGATAGTCTGCCATTTCATACAGCGTGAGTTTAGATTTATCTCTAAATAGCTCAATTTTATTTTATTCTAAGATATAGTGTTGGAGTGTGTGTCCCTGTTTTTGTCCACACACTTTACACTATACTTCATCTAGATCCCTATACAAGCCCAACTGCTAGTGATACTTGTAGCCAAGTCTCATTCAAGCTGTGACAACGTCTGTTAGTCTGCTGGTGTTGTTACTTGTCCCATACACATGTTACTTGCCCCATACACATGTTACTTGACACATTTCATTGTGATAAACAATGGACCATCTAGTTCCCGTTTGCACTGTTCTGTTTGCTTCAAATTCATCCAAGAATGTTCGTCCAATGACACTTTGGAAATAAGTTGCATGATGGAAACCTCCGTTCACCACTTGGGCGGTCGGTAGAGCAACGGTCTCGCTTCATACAGGTCTGCGTTCAATCTCCGACCGTCCAAGTGGTTGGGCACCATTCCCTTCCCATCCGCCCCATCCCAAATCCTTATCCTGATCCCTTCCCAATGGGAGGGAATTGGAATCCCTTCCCAATGCTATATAGTCGTAATGGCTTGGCGCTTTCCCCCTGATAGTTTCCTTCCCTTCCCAAAAGGAATTTTTGCACCATGTAAAAACTTTGCCTCGTGCAATAGCCTCAATTGCATGAGGCTTGGCACGCGTCTTCAGATGATATGGATTATCTTGGTTGAACCCACAGTAAAAAAAAAATTATGTAATTACTTTTTTGGACGATATCGATATATCAACGATATTTCATATATCGTTCATGTAATAACTTTTTGGATGATATCTGGTATATGAACTCTTTGGGGGGTCACAAAAAGGAGCTCTGTTATGTAACCCCTGTTATAGGGGTTACATAAGTTATTACATAAGTTACATAGTTAGATTATGTAACCTACTGAACATTTTCTTAGATTAAGGACCTGCCCGAAACGCTGCGCGTACTAGTGGCTTTACAAGAATGTAATTACTATGCTATGTATCCTCACAATCCCAATATATCATCTTGTATATAAATAAATAAATAAATAAATAGGGGTTACATAACAATAGGAATTAGGTGTTTTATGATAATTTCGCGATCAACATCATCATTTTGCTATAACTAAATTTTGAAGCCCGCGCACACGCTTTGGGATTATTCATTTTTTTACACTAAAAATGTTTAGAAAATATTTTTTAATTTTTTTTATAATTTTTTTGAACTACCGTACAACATTTACGTAGTGGAAATGAAATAATATGACTGGTGTTTAGGGTACAAGTGATAGCACTCAAGTCATGGATATATTACATTAATAAAGGCGGAGTTTAAGCAGTCAAGACAGAGTTTATGTAGTGGAGATATTCCGTAAATAACATGGCGTCATGCCCTGGGGACAGATTCACGAAGCAGTTACGCAAGCACTTACGAACCTGTACATCTTTTCTCAATCTTTGGTGGCTTTGTTTACAATTATTAAACAGTTAATGAGCTCCGAAGCACCAGGAGGCTGTTTATAACAATAACAACAGTTGATTGGCATTTTCATGCTTGTAAACTGTTTAATAAATGAAAACAAAGCTATCACAGATTGAGGAAACATGTACAGGTTCGTAAGTGCTTACGTAACTGCTTCGTGAATCTGGCCCCTGGTTTGGTGTCTAAGATTAAGGGCCAATGCACCCGTTGCACGGTTATAACTGCCTCTTTGAGAGTTTATCGACTAACAGCGATAATACTTATGTTCACCTTATGTTCTTAATATAATATAATATATATATACCGTTATACATGGTTCACAGCTAAAGTATATATATATATATACACACAGAGAGGCGGGGTAAACACCTCTGTGTATATATATATTATGTGCCTCTGTAACCCTTTCCACTACCGCCCACAAGATGGGTATGGGGTGCATAATAAATGAACTAAATAATATATATTCCTTTTGCTTGTATTGAGTCACGATTTTGAGTCTGTATATTTTAGCGAAAGTTCTTGTTCCTAGATAAGTATTTTGTCCTTAGACATGTATAATTGGGGAAACTTGAGGGGAATACTTATATAGTCAGTGACTAACGTCAGCATACAGCTGAATGATGGATTTCTGGACATAAGACACGGTAATAAATTATTAGAAGCAGGGCACGTCACGTCAGGGCAGGAGCTGCAATTAACGAAACTGCTACATAAAGGCAATTTTTTTTTACCCCATACGGTCTGTTGATAAGGATTTTGATTCGTTTTTTTAAGGTTTTAAACTCGAACACAGTTTGAGTCTGTGTCACGGATTTGTGATGCTTTTTTCGTGATAATTCTGCATGCTTATCCTTTAATTATCCTACATTCGTACATGGAAGAAAACGGGAGTTTAATGCCGCTATTAATCCGCCAGGTTGAGTAGCTCTCGCCAGCAGTACGCTCAGTACCACCTGTGGCGCCGCTACTGGAGGGTGCTGGTGAAGCCGCCCATGTGTGAGTTGTGCTGGAAGCTTCATCACAACCACAGCAGCACCACCTTGCACCAGCTGGGGGTGTGGTGGAGGTCCGTCAACCACTGCGTCACCCGCTACCCGGCACACCTCTACCCGCGCCGTCCCGAGCCTGACACCAGGAGCCTCACCCAGAAGCTCAGCGATTCTGCTCACCTTCTCGGAGGACTCTTTCTTAATGTAGCCCAATCACTGCTTCCTCGTGTACATAACCACTTATAAACCATGCACACATACACAACTGTACAAGTGCAAGCCACGGAAAACGAGAATAACCAAACGCAATGTTATGCACATAAACATCCGTGGACATAACCATATATACGTTTATTACGCCTAAAGACATAGACACACACACACATGAGGAACTATATACACAAGCTAACAAACACCCACATACCAGGAACGGTTGAGGGCCCTCAGAGTAAACAACGCTGAACACCAAGCATGACAATTAAACATCTCATCGTGAACACCAAGCATGACAATTAAACATCTCATCGTGAACACCAAGCATGACAATTAAACATCTCATCGTGAACACCAAGCATGACAATTAAACATCTCATCGTGAACACCAAGCATGACAATTAAACATCTCATCGTGAACACCAAGCATGACAATTAAACATCTCATCGTGAACACCAAGCATGACAATTAAACATCTCATCGACACCTTTCAAATAATTAAGTTAGAGCATATTAATGTAACAAACACGCAGCAACGGTTTCAAGCCCAACAAGCCGCAATGTAAGGCAGACAATAGGTAATTGTCCCCTAAAGTTTTATAAACCCATGGACCCGCCTACCCGCCCAAGCTGGAACAGCCATCACATTACTGCAGTTCTAAATACAGTTGGAGCAAATGCTCATGAACAATATGGAGGGAAGTGGGGGGGGGGCTTTTGGAAAGTCGCGGGATTCCTGTCCCCGTCCAGACCACTAAAGAGATGGTGGCCCTCAGGTAAATAGTGAACTATGCTCACAATCAACAATATGTAGGATCCATACACACAACAACACACATAAAGAACCACTCACACACACACACAGTGCCCAAATGAGCCTTAGAGATAGTAGAAAGATTTTTTTAGTGTCAGAGTGGTTGACAAATGGAATACATTAGGTAGTGATGTGGTGGAGGCTGACTCCATACACAGTTTCAAGTGTAGATATGATAGAACCCAGTAGGCTCACGAACCTGTACACCAGTTGATTGGCGGGACCAAAGAGCCAGAGCTTAACCCCTGAAAGCACAAATAGGTGAGTACAGAGTACGTGTGTGTGTGAAACAATTTTGATTGATTGACAGTTGAGAGGCTGGCCGAAAGAGCCAGAGCTCAACCCCCGCAAGCACAACTAGGTGAATACACATATACAACCAGGCACATTAAGTACGTTCAGGGCCCAGCCGCCTAGTGGACAGCTGTTGGAGGTCGTAGTTCTAAGTTCCCGGGTTCAATTCCCGGCCGAGGCAGAAACAAATGGGTAGAGTTTCTTTCACCTGATGTCCCTATTAACCTAGCAGTGAACAGATAGATACCAGGGAGTTCTGCTACCGACTGCATCCTGTGTGTGTGTGTGTGTGTGTGTGTGTGTGTGTGTGTGTGTGTGTGTGTGTGTGTGTGTGTGTGTGTGTGTGTGTGTGTGTGTGTGTGTGTGAGAGAGAGAGAGAGAGAGAGAGAGAGAGAGAGAGAGAGAGAGAGAGAGAGAGAGAGAGAGAGAGAGAGAGAGAGAGAGAGAGAGAGAGAGAGAGAGAGAGAGAGAGAGAGAGAGAGAGAGAGATCTGTGGTAGATATACATAATAGAAAAAAAGATTAGGCAACCGACGGTTACAAAGGTGGGGTCCAGGAGCTAATAGCTCGATCCTGCAGGCAAACGACACATATATACATGTATACATACGATGCTCAGCTATAAGATCAGTGAGCGCTTTAACTTAAAATATTATGTTTTATTAAATAAGATATAATAATGCATTAGCATTTATATTTGTTATTTGTTAATACTTGTACTATAAATATAAGCCGAGGGGTTATATTAATTATATACACTAGCTTCATAATTATTTAAATTTATGACTATATAAAGTTGAGTAAATACTTATGTTAGCCATTACTGAAGTCCAGTATCCTCCTATAGCCTATTGTCTCTGAAGATTATTCCATATATATATATATATATATATATATATATATATATATATATATATATATATATATATATATATATATATATATATATATGTCGTACCTAGTAGCCAGAACTCACTTCTCAGCCTACTATGCTAGGCCCGATTTGCCTAATAAGCCAAGTTTTCATGAATTAATTGTTTTTCGACTACCTAACCTACCTAACCTAACCTAACCTAACCTAACTTAACTTTTCCGGCTACCTAACCTAACCTAACCTATAAAGATAGGTTAGGTTAGGTTAGGTAGGGTTGGTTAGGTTCGGTCATATATCTACGTTAATTTTAACTCCAATAAAAAAAATTAACCTCATACATAATGAATGGGTTGCTTTATCATTTCATAAGAAAAAAATTAGAGAAAACATAATAATTCAGGAAAACTTGGCTTATTAGGCAAATCGGGCCTTGCATAATAGGCTGAGAAGTGCATTCTGGCTACTAGGTACGACATATATATATATATATATATATATATATATATATATATATATATATATATATATATATATATATGTCGTACCTAATAGCCAGAACGCACTTCTCAGCCTACTATTCAAGGCCTGATTTGCCTAATAAGCCAAGTTTTCATGAATTAATGTTTTTTCGTCTACCTAACCTACCTAACCTAACCTAACCTAGCTTTTTTTGGCTACCTAACCTAACCTTACCTATAAATATAGGTTAGGTTAGGTTAGGTAGGGTTGGTTAGGTTCGGTCATATATCTACGTTAATTTTAACTCCAATAAAAAAAAATTGACCTCATACATAGAGAAAAGGGTTGGTTTATAATTTCATAAGAAAAAAATTATATTAAATATATTAATTCAGGAAAACTTGGCTTATTAGGCAAATCGGGCCTTGAATAGTAGGCTGAGAAGTGAGTTCTGGCTACTAGGTACGACATATATATATATATATATATATATATGTCGTACCTAGTAGCCAGAACGCACTTCTCAGCCTACTATGCAAGGCCAAATTTGCCTAATAAGCCAAGTTTTCATGAATTAATTGTTTTTCGACTACCTAACCTACCTAACCTAACCTAACCTAACTTTTTCGGCTACCTAACCTAACCTAACCTATAAAGATAGGTTAGGTTAGGTTAGGTAGGGTTGGTTAGGTTCGGTCATATATCTACGTTAATTTTAACTCCAATAAAAAAAATTAACCTCATACATAATGAAATGGGTAGCTTTATCATTTCATAAGAAAAAAATTAGAGAAAATATATTAATTCAGGAAAACTTGGCTTATTAGGCAAATTTGGCCTTGCATAGTAGGCTGAGAAGTGCGTTCTGGCTACTAGGTACGACATATATATATATATGTTTTACCTAGTAGCCAGAATGCACTATTTGGCCTACTATGCAAGGCTCGGTTTGCCTAATAAGCCAAATTTTCATGAATGTATTTATTTTTTCTAATTTTTCTTATGAAATGATAAATCTATTCATTTCATTATATATCAGTTCATTTTTTGTTAATTTGAATTAAAATTAACATAGCTAATATGACCGAACCTAACCAACCTTACCTAACCTAACCTTTCTTAACCTAACCTAAACTAACATAACTAAGTCAACAATTTATGTTCTTAATATAATATAATGATAATTTAAAAAAAATGGAAATATTTTGTTGAAAATAAGGAAAATCACTCAGCCTATTAGGCAAGTCGGGATTTTGCCTCGAGAGATATACTCTGCATTTACTAAACAGTTTACAAGCATGAAACTTGCCAATCAACTGTTGTTATTGTTTTAAACAACCTCCTGATGCTTCGCAGCTCACTAACTGTTTAATAATTGTAAACAAAGCCGCCACAGATTGAGAAAAGATGTACTGTTCGTAAGTGCTTGCGTAACTGCTAATTCGTGAATCTGGCCCCAGGTGTGTACATCAGCCAGTACTGGTGGTACACGCTTGGCCGACCCACCGTGAGTGTGTACCCGCCTCAGTAGCCGTTCCGCCACCCACATCTGACTACGTGGGGAGGGGAAGTACGTGGTGACAGTGTGTGGGAAGGGGGAAGTACGTGGTGACAGTATGTGGGTAGGGGAAGTACGTGATGACAGTATGTGGGTAGGGGAAGTACGTGGTGACTACGTGGGGAGGGGAAGTACGTGGTGACAGTATGGGGGGAAGGGGAAGTACGTGGTGACAGTATGTGAGGAGGGGAAGTACGTGGAAAGGGGAAATACGTGAGGAGTGAATACGTGACTTAGAAGAACACAATTAACTTTTAGAGTAACAATACTTTCAATGATTTAGGCGGTGTTGAGCGCCAATATGTAGCGAGTTATAGAGAGGGAGAGAGAAAAGAGAATAAGAAAGGGAGAGAAAGTTGTAGGGAAAGAAGAAGATAGAGTTTTAGTGAGAGAGAGGAGTGTGAGGAGAGAAGGTGAGCCAGAGGAAGGGAGGAACTCTGAGGAGGGAGACAGAGGGAAATAGTAAATGCTTCTATATAAGAGAATGATATGCAGGAAGTTTTTTGCATTCCTTGAAAATGTGTTGAAACACGAAAGCTCTCGGATTATTTTAGTTACATTTTTCACCTTGAAGCAATTGACTTAGACCTTCCCCAAGCAGCCAATGTCCGTCCCATACCCTAGACTATTTCCCCTAAAAATTTGAATAAGGCTGGCCTTAGGCTTCCAACAGACACATTCTTATCGATATAAATGTATATAATGCTCTTCATTTCGACGATCATGAATATAACCCTTTAACTTTTAATGAAATTTTCATGCTGATGAATATAGTACCCAAACTTATTTTGAAATCATAAGTGTTTCTGGTAACGATTTTAGACCATTGATGGAAACTGGTGGAGAGAGCAACGGGCGTCTGCACGCTCAGAACACCTCGGGGGTAATGTTCCCTGGAGGGCACCCGGGCACTTCAGTCTTTCACGTGTTTATGCAGTACGACGACAACTCCGCTGCCAGACGTATGGCCTGGTTACATTGTCGAGCTCGTAAAATTTTTGCTTGAATATATTTGAGGCTGTAGGTGAAAAATATGCATATGTTGGTAAAGTAGTAAATCAGGTACTGAAGCATTTCATATGCCATGTGTTGAAACTTAACCATGAGAGGAAAATCAAAATCGTCAGAGAACAATGACAACAATGAAGATATCAGCGATATTTTATAAATTCTATCATTATATATGACAACTGTTAAACACAAAAGAACGCAATGTTGCACTGATCACATTTGAGGAGCTGTTCACTTGAGACAGTTAAGCAAGTCCCAGCTGTGTCTGGGTACAAGTGACAGGATGAACAACCCAGCGGGTTTTCTTCCTATTGGGGAGTGTTGTACATGCTGCTATGGCGGTGTGTCCACTCACAAGATGAGTGGCGCTGCCCAATACTGTCACTATCGTGGTGTGTCCACTCACAGGATGAGTGGAGCTGCCCAATAAACTCGCACCTCGGGGCAAAATTGAAAAAAATGTCCGTCAACAGATGGGAGCACCGTGAATCCCGTTTTCTGAATTCTCCATTTTCTTTGGACGTGTTTGCTTGCAAACTAATTTAAAGCCAGAAGGAACCCGGATGGGGCGAGCGAGAAACATGGAGGCGCGCGCAGTGTTTCCCCAACCGAAAACTGAGCAAACGCCAGGATACCATAAAAACCCACGACACATGGCAGGCATATATATGACGGGAGACATCTCCCGTCACGCAGGGTGCAGTCGCACCTCTATAGATCTCCTGTATCATCTATTGATACTGGTAATGGCTCAAAAAGGCCACCACTTACGGGCTATTCATGCCCGTGCCACCTTTTGGGTGGCTTAATCTTAATCAATCAATCGGCAGGCATATGGATTACAATGCTCTTTCTCTCTCTCCAAAGAGAATAACAGCGGCACGACACAACAAAACACCGGAGTAAGGCCAAAAGACTGGAGACCGCCGGCGGTTCAGGCACCAGACACGACCCTCCCAAGCAGGGGTCCACGCGGCCACTCACAACCAAGCTACCACAAACTGGTCTGAAAACAGAACAGTTTGTGAACAAATCCACAAGGGCTTGACTTATTGTCAAGTTTCCTTGACAATAAGAGAAGCATCATATACAATACAATTCCCAAGGTAATTAATATCACAGCACCATGATGATATAAGATCAAATACACAAAGGAATTTAATCGCAGTAAACTATAACGAAAACGAGCAAGCAACAATGCTCACTGATATCCATGGATACCAAGTGAGCTGCTGTATATCAACCAGTAAGCTCATTGATGCACTGAGGGCAGGGCTGCATACGTGTGGCGGGCACGCTACGTGTGGAAGGTAGGCTACGTGTGGAGGGTAGGCTACGTGTGGAGGGCTGGTTACTTGTTAAGGGCTGTCTACGTGTGTCTACGTGTGGAGGGCAGACTACGTGTGGAAGGTAGGCTACGTGTGGAGGGTAGGCTACGTGTGGAGGGCTGGTTACTTGTTAAGGGCTGTCTACGTGTGGAGGGCAGACTACGTGTGGAGGGCAGACTACGTGTGGAGGGTAGGCTACGTGTGGAGGGTAGGCTATGTGTAGAGGGCTGGTTACTTGTTAAGGGCTGTCTACGTGTGGAGGGCAGGCTACGTGTGGAAGGTAGGCTACGTGTGGAGGGCTGTCTACGTGTGGAGGACCATTACTGCTGATGCAACAGAGAGTTGGGGTCAACAGCGCTAGTCCTTCCCCTTGACAACGTCGAGACAGCTGCCACACAGCGCCCTCTTATATATCCAATCCTGCAGCTGATTTCAGAAACGTCACCTGTGTTGTTCTGGACGCTGAAGCTGCTTGTTATTGGTGTTATATTGGAAATATCAGTGCAGTGGTTTTATTTAGGAAGTGAGCGGCTACGCAAGATGTCACGTATATAAGAGGGAGAAGGCTGAGGTTGTTTACCCAGTCTTAGTGTTCGTGTGGCCCAATGATCTCCTTCCCTGCTCTTCTGCTCCTCGGGGCCATGGCTGGCGCTATGGCAGGTGCTGACGCTATGACAGGTGCTGACGCTATGGCAGGTGCTGGCTCCATGGCAGGTGCTGACGCTATGGCAGATGCTGTCACCATGACAGATGCTGTCACCATGGCAGGTGCTGGCTCCATGGCAGGTGCTGGCTTCATGACAGATGCTGTTACCATGACAGGTGATGACACCATGACAGGTGCTGTCACCATGCCAGATGCTGTCACCATGACAGGTGCTGGCTCCATGACAGGTGCTGGCTCCATGACAGGTGCTGGCTCCATGACACATGTTGGGACAGGTGAGCCTAATCCTTTCCTTGATTTCCAACATAAAATACATTTTAGATACACTTCACATCTAGATAATGGCGGAGCTCAGATCTTCGCCTCCCACACAGTTCAGGGGAGGCGAAGGTGCTATCTTCACCGTAGAACAGTAACTCACCGGACGTACACAACTCTAACATTGATATTGATTGCTGCCGCTGGAGGCGGCTAGTTTATTGCAGATATCCTGTACACTACTGTGTACAGTGTACAGCATTATTATGCGTATAAAAGGTGTATTAAGTAATTATTAAGTATGATGCCGGTGACCCTAGTAAGCGGAGTTTATATCACCGATCCCTGAGTATAAACGAGTGTTACAATGACTAAATCATACACAATGTTTCCCCCCTCGCTGTCCGGCCCGTTGATGCCGTGAGGGGGCTTGGTGGGCAGCTGCCGCAGTGATGCTCCATGAGACAGTCCTCTGTCCTTTTGTGGCTCCTGCTGCTGTTCTCACAAATTGTGCTGGACAACTTTTCCTTTTCCTTATGTTTTCGTTTTTCTCCTTTCTACCGCGGTCTCTCGGTACATCCCCTAAGGACTTCCGCCCTATTGCCCTCACGAGTTGTGTCTTCAAACTCTTTGAACGTATGGTAAATGTTCGTCTGATGTGGTTCTTGGAGCACCATCACCTCCTCTCTCCTTCTCAATTTGGTTTTCGCAAGTGCCGCAGCACGACTGATGTCCTGGTGAACTTGGAGGTCTATATTCGTACTGCTTTTGCTGTGAAGACCTCCGTTGTTGCTGTCCTTTTTGACCTGGAAAAGGCTTATGACACGACTTGGAAATACCATATTCTGTCCCAACTTCATTCTTTTGGCCTTCGTGGTAATCTCCCTCTTCCTCCATAGCTTCCTCTCTCGTCGTTCCTTTCGAGTCAGGCTTGGTACCACTCTCTCTGCCTCTTTTCGGCAATACGAAGGTGTGCCCCAGGGTAGTGTTCTGAGCACTACTCTTTTTCTGGTTGCCCTCAATGGACTTCTTTCCTCTCTTCCTTCTGGCATCTTCTCCGCTCTTTATGTCGACGATCTTACTCTTTGCTGTTCAGGTGATGATTCGCCTCTCCTTCAACGGCGGCTTCAACTTGCGATTGATGCCGTGTCGTCTTGGGTCACCAATCATGGCTTTAAGTTCTCTGCAACTAAGACTTGTGCCATGACTTTTACCCGAAAGCATGTCGTCCTTCGTCCCTCTGTCACTTTATGGTCATCCCCTTGAGTACAAAGATTCTGCGAAGCTTTTGGGGTTAATCTTTGACACTCGTTTGTCTTGGTTACCTCCTAGTTGAATGCTCTAAGGCCCTTAACCTACTTAAGGTTTTGTCCCATACTTCTTGGGGAGCGGATAGCCGCACGCTCCTTTATTGGCATTTCTCTCTTGTCCTGTCTAAGCTCGATTATGGTTGCCCTGCTTACTCTTCTGCTTCTCTTTCTACTCTTCGCCGTCTTGATCCTTTGCACCATACTGGGTTGCGCCTCAGCTCTGGTGCCTCTCGTTCAACTCCTACCCTCATCTTGTACGCTGATACTGGCTTCCTATCTCTCCAGGACTGCCGTGATCGCTACAGTCTTCGCTATCTTGCGCGGTTCTTACAGCACCCTCACTCTCGCCTCTGTCGTGCTTTGACTTTTACCCCTCCTGTAGTTCCTGTTCCTCTTCACCATCTTCCTCTTTCTGTCCGTTTGTCTCGCTTACAAGACTCTCTTTCGGTTCATATTACCAATGTTTCTCCTCGTATTGTTCCGTCCTTGCCCCCCGTGGAGGGTCCCCCTTCCCATATTTTGTACTTCTCTGACCCGCATTACTAAACCTTTTACCCCGCCTACAGTTCTGAAACGCCTCTTCCTTGAGCACTTTTCTTCTCACTCTCACTCCGTTTCTGTCTTCACCGACGGGTCTAAGTCTGCTGACGGTGTGGGCTACTGTTGTTTTTCCTGACCACACTTGTGTGTGTCGCCTTCCTCCGGAGGCTAGCATCTTCACAGCAGAACTTTATGCTATTCTCTATGCTCTTAGTCTCCTGCTTTCTTGTTGTCAATCCTCCTTTGTGGTGGTAGTTGACTCTCGTAGTGCCCTCGTGGCTTTGGGGTACTTTAATCCGATCTACCCGGTGGTCATCGAGATTCAACATTGGCTGGTTCTTACCTCCAGTAAATTTAAGTAGGTAGAGTTTTGCTGGGTTCCCAGTCATGTTAGTGTCTCTTTTAATGAGAGTTTGGATGCTGACGCTAAGGAAGCTATCAGCACTTGTCCCATCTCCCGTAAAGGTATTCCTTATTCAGAGTTTTACCCAGTTATTCATTCCTCCATCCTTGCCCGTTGGCAGGGTTGTTGGTCTTCTGTTATTGGTAACAAACTGCGTACTCTTAAGAGTAGTGTGTCCCTGTGGCCTTCCTCCTACCACCGTAACCGGCGGTGGGAAACGGATCTGGCTAGGTTACGTACTGGCTATTCACGTTTAACTTAGGGTCACTTAATGAAGTGCTCCTTATTGTCCAAATTGAATTGTTCCTCTTACGGTCGTGCACATTCTTGTTGAATGTCCTGACTTGCAGGACGAGCGTGTCTCTTGCTTTCCGACCGTCCCTCGCGGCCACTTGTCCCTCGATAGTATTCTTGGTGACTCGGATACTTTTGATATCGTTCGCCTTATGCGTTTCTGTTCTCGTATTGGCATCCTTGGTGATATTTAGCGCCCTCTGATTATCCCTCACATTTGATGGTGCTACATAACCTTCCCGGTTTGGTGCCTTCTGTTGATAATTACTTTACATTTCACAATGTTCACTGTGTCAATTGTCATTTTAGAGCAGCGTTAAGTGTTTTACTGTTTTGGTTTAAATATTGCCCTAACTTAAAATGTGATCAATAATAATTATTATAAGCAATACAGCTTTGACATATTTTTAGTACTATCTCCGTATACATGAATGTGTAATTGTACCTTTTAAATATATTAACTATGTATGATTCGGCTGGATATTTTGATTGACTATGACTCACTGTGCACCTCATACTCTCTCTCTGTGCACCTCATGCTTTCACTGTGCACCTCATACTCTCTCTTTGTGCACCTCATACTCTCACTGTGCACCTCATACTCTCACTGTACACCTCATACCCTCTCTCTGTGCACCTCATACTCTCACTGTGCACCTCATACTCTCACTGTGCACCTCATACTCTCTCTCTGTGCACCTCATACTCTCTCTGTGCACCTCATACTCTCACTGTGCACCTCATACTCTCACTGTGCACCTCATACTCTCTCTCTGTGCACCTCATACTCTCACTGTGCACCTCATACTCTCTCTGTGCACCTCATACTCTCTCTGTGCACCTCATACTCTCACTGTGCACCTCATACTCTCACTGTACACCTCATACCCTCTCTCTGTGCACCTCATACTCTCACTGTGCACCTCATACTCTCACTGTGCACCTCATACTCTCTCTCTGTGCACCTCATACTCTCTCTGTGCACCTCATACTCTCACTGTGCACCTCATACTCTCACTGTGCACCTCATACTCTCTCTCTGTGCACCTCATACTCTCACTGTGCACCTCATACTCTCTCTGTGCACCTCATACTCTCTCTGTGCACCTCATACTCTCACTGTGCACCTCATACTCTCACTGTGCACCTCATACTCTCTCTGTGCACCTCATACTCTCACTGTGCACCTCATACTCTCACTGTGCACCTCATACTCTCACTGTGCACCTCATACTCTCTCTGTGCACCTCATACTCTCACTGTGCACCTCATACTCTCAGCTGTGCACCTCATACTCTCACTGTGCACCTCATACTCTCAACTGTGCACCTCATACTCTCACTGTGCACCTCATACTCAACTGTGCACCTCATACTCTCACTGTGCACCTCATACTCTCACTGTGCACCTCATACTCTCACTGTGCACCTCATACTCTCTCTGTGCACCTCATACTCTCACTGTGCACCTCATACTCTCACTGTGCACCTCATACTCTCTCTGTGCACCTGATACTCTCACTGTGCACCTCATACTCTCACTGTGCACCTCATACTCTCACTGTGCACCTCATACTCTCTCTGTGCACCTCATACTCTCACTGTGCACCTCATACTCTCAACTGTGCACCTCATACTCTCACTGTGCACCTCATACTCTCAACTGTGCACCTCATACTCTCACTGTGCACCTCATACTCCACTGTGCACCTCATACTCTCACTGTGCACCTCATACTCTCACTGTGCACCTCATACTCTCACTGTGCACCTCATACTCTCTCTGTGCACCTCATACTCTCACTGTGCACCTCATACTCTCTCTGTGCACCTCATACTCTCACTGTGTATCTCATACTCCACTGTGCACCTCATACTCTCGCTGTTCACCTCATACTCTCTCTGTGCACCTCATACTCTCCTCTGCACCTCATACTCTCCTCTGCACCTCAGACCCTCACTCAAGGTTGCCTCAGCAGGGTGGAGGACGACTGCTGCACCTCGGTGTTCCCTGGAGTGTGACATCACTGGTCCCCCGAGGCTGACCTACCGTCCGGGCTACACATACTACTACTCCTACTCGGGTACAGCGCAAGTCCAAGTGGAGGGCGTGGAGGGCGGAGTGGCGGCGACGGAGTGGTCCTCCAGCGTGGAGGTGGTGTGGGTCACCCCCTGTGATGTGGCTATTGTCATGAAGGACCTCCTTGTGGACGGAGTCTCAGGTGAGGGGGGTTGTGAGGGCGAGCTTTGGTGGTCAAACTTCACATTATAAGATGTTGAGACGTCGACGTTCCGGTCTGTTCTGGTCCGTTGTCGAGTCGGTTGTCACCCATCGTGTGACGACTCGACGTTACACGCATCAGTCGACTTGATAATCGACATTACACGCATCAGTCGACTTAATAATCGACGTTACACGCATCAGTCGACTTAATAATCGACGTTACACGCATCAGTCGACTTGATAATCGACGTTACACGCATCAGTCGACTTAATAATCGACGTTACACGCATCAGTCGACTTGATAATCGACATTACACGCATCAGTCGACTTAATAATCGACGTTACACGCATCAGTCGACTTAATAATCGACGTTACACGCATCAGTCGACTTGATAATCGACGTTACACGCATCAGTCGACTTAATAATCGACGTTACACGCATCAGTCGACTTGATAATCGACGTTACACGCATCAGTCGACTTGATAATCGACGTTACACGCATTAGTCGACTTAATAATCGACGTTACGCGCATCAGTCGACTTGATAATCGACGTTACACGCATTAGTCGACTTGATAATGGTCCGGGACGCAGGGAAACGTGGTCGTCTCAACATCATCTGGTGTGTGGTCTGGTCATGATGTCTTCAGCCACGTTATTGTGGCTCATCGTCTGCACAAGGTAAGCTTTGTTAATGGCTGGGCGTCGTTCAGTGAGGTTAAGCATATTTGGGATTGGCCTGTCACTGGGTGAGTTATCACAGAGAGCCTCGTGTGTGTTATCATACTGAGTGTTGAAAGTATGCATGGTGTTGCTGGTATCTGTGTCCACTTGCTTACTACACCTACACTGACGCAGGGTTTGCATGCATTCCTACGGCTCGTCTGAGTGTCTAGTTCACGCCCGTGTCCTCTCGTCCTGTCCACACTCATGCTAAACACTCCAGTCACCTGGGCTTTAGGAGACTCGAACCCTGGACATCTCTTTTTATGCTAAACATTTGTCTCCTATCGGGTCCATCGGTGCCCTGAAGAATCTTGTATGTCGTCATCATAATCCATCTTTCCTTTCTCTTTGAGCGGTCATGGTGAGGTCTCGTTCTCTCAGCCTTTCCTGCGTTCTCTCAGCCTTTCCTGTGCTCTCTCAGCCTTTCCTGCGTTCTCTCAGCCTTTCCTGTGCTCTCTCAGCCTTTCCTGCGTTCTCTCAGCCTTTCCTGCGTTCTCTCAGCCTTTCCGGTGCTCTCTCAGCCTTTCCTGCGTTCTCTCAGCCTTTCCTGCGTTCTGTCAGCCTTTCCTGCGTTCTCTCAGCCTTTCCTGCGTTCTCTCAGCCTTTCCTGTGCTCTCTCAGCCTTTCCTGCGTTCTCTCAGCCTTTCCTGCGCTCTCTCAGCCTTTCCTGCGTTCTCTCAGCCTTTCCTGCGTTCTCTCAGCCTTTCCTGCGTTCTCTCAGCCTTTCCTGCGTTCTCTCAGCCTTTCCTGTGCTCTCTCAGCCTTTCCTGTGTTCTCTCAGCCTTTCCTGCGTTCTCTCAGCCTTTCCTGCGTTCTCTCAGCCTTTCCTGTGCTCTCTCAGCCTTTCCTGCGTTCTCTCAGCCTTTCCTGCGTTCTCTCAGCCTTTCCTGCGTTCTCTCAGCCTTTCCTGTGCTCTCTCAGCCTTTCCTGCGTTCTCTCAGCCTTTCCTGCGTTCTCTCAGCCTTTCCTGCGTTCTCTCAGCCTTTCCTGTGCTCTCTCAGCCTTTCCTGCGTTCTCTCAGCCTTTCCTGTGCTCTCTCAGCCTTTCCTGTGCTCTCTCAGCCTTTCCTGCGTTCTCTCAGCCTTTCCTGCGTTCTGTCAGCCTTTCCTGCGTTCTCTCAGCCTTTCCTGCGTTCTCTCAGCCTTTCCTGCGCTCTCTCAGCCTTTCCTGCGTTCTCTCAGCCTTTCCTGCGTTCTCTCAGCCTTTCCTGCGTTCTCTCAGCCTTTCCTGCGTTCTCTCAGCCTTTCCTGCGTTCTCTCAGCCTTTCCTGCGTTCTCTCAGCCTTTCCTGGTATCTCAGTTCTCTAACTTCAGAGTATGTTATAGTAAATAGTAGTGTGGGATAAATCTTTATAGACGTTGTGAAGTGTTGGTGTTTGTATTGTGGTGGAGAGTCTATACCGGGGCATCAGACACCAATTGTGATCTAAGACAGGTAGTGTGTGTTTAACGTCGTTATAGCTTCCTTGTACAGGTGCCTCAGGCGACGCGAATGATCGCAAGCTTTGCACACGCTGCTGATGTTTCCTGGTTAGTGTGGTACTCTGTTGATAGACGTGCAACGATATCTACCATTTTGTTTTCCATTTTTTCTAGAAATAGAAATTGTCACTCTATTTTTTCATGCGATCATTTTTCTAGATTATCTAGATAGTTGAGATGTTATGTCGTGGTCTCCTTTTGTTAGTGCTTCCTGTATTTATTCTTCATTGGTTCTCCTTCCCTGTCCGATCTTGTCTAGTTACTGTATCGCTAACTGAAGTGTGTCTCGTGATGTCACTCTGAAGTGGTTTGGTTGTTACATCATTATTGCACTGCTGCTTAATGTTGGAATGAATATATTGTTCAATTCTGAATATTTCTGGGGCGCAAAGTCCATCATGCCTTGCACAGACCTGTAACGGGGGGTGGGGGGAAATAGCTCTATCTTGTCCATTATTCCACCCCCCAGTTAACTAACGAAGCCGGGGGAAACAGCTCTCTCTAGTCCGTTATCCCGTCTCCAGTTAGCTAACTATTCTAGAGCACTCCCAGAGTTCCTAAGGCAACCTCTCTCGTTCAACACCTTGTAACCTAGGTATTCGACTACCTAGGTGCTAAGACTACAAGGCGCCGTAACTGGATCAGCTACCCGAAACTCTAGAGAGAACTCTAGAATATAGGATCATGCCACAAACGTATAAGAGGAAACGAAAGGAAAGAAATGAATAGTGAAGTAATTAGTGAGGGTTTGGGGTGAGAGGGAGAGAAGTGGGAGGGGCGAGGAGGGTCATTAGTTGAAAGTGAGAGTTGAGAGAGGGGTGGAGGGAGAGGTGTAGATAGGTAGAAGGAGAAGAGTAGATAGTAGAAGTAGAAGAGTAGATAGTAGAAGACGAAATGCTGCCACCATCCATTCATGATCATTACACACAAGACAAGGAATGGAACTTGCCTGTATCACAAAATTCTCAAAAGATGTTATCATGAGTTCATTATTAGTATGTTCCCTCTGTACCATGTATCAACTCCAAACATGTACTCGTTAATATCATGAAACCAGTAACCACAGAGGCTTTCTCACCTCAACTCAAAATCTCTAGGGAACAAAGTTAAACACAATTTAAATAATAAATTCATAATTATATTTCCCATGAAGTATCATAATTTAGCAATTCAATTAAAATGTTAAAGAGAGTCATCATCCAAGAATTCGAGAACCCTACAACTTGACTGCCCCTGATCATCACACAACATATGTAAACACGACCAAGTCACCTTAATGTTCACTCACCGAGGACTGAGTCTAAGTTGAATAGAGAGGGGGGGGGGTCTGCAATTTTCAGGCAGCGTCACCCCCCGTCTGGTGACGGCCTATCTCGACGGCTGGCCTCTGCTCTGCTCCGCTGGCCGGTCTCCTATTGCCTTTTTGCTGGATAGCTCTCCGAGTTTATATTGGGGAACCTAGTAGCTAACTCCGCCCACAAGTAGATAGCCTCCGGCACTACCAAGCCACTCCTTAAACGTCGGCATGTTTGAAGGCTACCCGGCTCCAATTATACGCTTAGCGGAAGCAAGGTGAAATTATCATGATCTGACCTCAGGTCACTTGGGGTCGTTAACGGTTAGAGGTGTGAGATCTCAGGCAGACAACTGGCGCCTCTCCGATCCTTGTCTGTGACTCATGTACTCTATGTATGTATTAACCTAAACCAAACACTTTTACAGTGTTACATCTCCCCTTCTCCCCGAAAATAAAGTTTTTGCAACACTGCTAAAGCAAGCTAGCTGTGTGCGACAACTTTATTAACGAAAAGAATACATCCTAGCTAAACAAATATACATCATCCTACTCTAAAAAATGAAATATATAGACAGACGTCCATTGTCTCTGGCTGGGCGACGTCACTGCTTGGTCTTGTAGATAATCCTGTACCACATTTCTTCAACACAACTGCCTCCGTCGCTTCTCCGTCGTTAACGCACAACAACACTTGGTCAACCCGAAAGCCGTTACTACTTGAACTGCGCACAGGACCGTGGAATTCGGTTGTCCCAGCTGATCTGTAATTGGCCCTACGTCAGTCACCATGAGAGACGTATATTGGGGTTCTTCACAGCTATAGGGACTACAAGTTTCGAGACCTTCATATAGTTGCCAACAGTAGAAATCCCATCCTACTCTTCTTCCTCCCTGTTGCTCCAGCACGCCTCCTTCAGAGAGCTACTTCTGACAGCCACATCAAGTCCGCATGACACAGGAAGAATCACTCAACAGAGCAACATGCTTGTAGGAGGGGCGGCCAGTTAAGGCAAACGATCCTGTCTTGCAATTACGCTCCATGCAATGATGCTGATACCAGCAAGGGACACGAGGCATCGTGTCTCACTCAGCTTGTCTTATCTTCTTTCTTCTCTTCTTTCTTCTCTCTTCCTTCTTCTCTCTTCTTTCTTCTCTCTTCTTTCTTCTCTCTTCTTTCTTCTCTCTTCCTCCTCCCATGGGTCTTTGACAAGCGACCTGGGGTCCATTGGGGTCCGTCCTGGGTAGACCGATGTTGGTGGGACAGACTGGAGTCGTTGTTCCTCTTCCATCTTTACTGGGTCGTCTGGGTTCGTCTGCAGAACGACCTGGGGTCCACTGGGGTCCGTCCGTCTTGGGGTCCACTGGGGTCCGTCCGTCCTGGGGTCCACAGGGTAGACCAATGTTGACCGACCGAGAGGGCTGCATCTTGGGGTCCCCTGGGGTGGTGGTGGTGGTGGAGCCATGACCTCCAGGTAGTGGGCTGGTCGTGGTGGTGGTGATAAACGCCCCTGAGTGTGGTACACAGCAGCCGTCTCCCTCTTTTGTATGTGCGTCTCTCCTCTCTTCTGGCTCCCACCTGTGGGTGAACAGAAAGGCAACAATACCCGTGTTCCATCTTGTTGTGTGACCCTGTAGTTTGTATAGGGTTCACACAGTCCAATTATAAGCTCTCCTCCTGGCAACAACTACACTTAAATTTTAATAATCCAATTAACTCTGAATGATATTGACTTGGTGGAACATAAAACAGTAACAGAGTAAAGTTAGAGAAGAGAGAATAAGGTCATCACTACTTTTAACTTGTCATACAAAAAAAAAATCAACACTAATAGACAAAACACTAGCCTAACTTAACTGTACCGTTCCTAATCTTAAGTACATAATTAAACGTTACTCCCACCCTTAACCTACAGCCACCTACGTGACCCAGAGTGTCTCCCTAGCATCTCCGCCGGTCAACAACCCCAAACTGTTGCCACCCCCTGTGACCAGACTATCTAACGTCGAGCGTCCCCAACGTGAAGTCTACTGACATACTAAGCCTCCCCCTAGTATGCTGTACAATACCAGTACACCTCGGGTTATTGCGTTCAAATGGAGTAAAACAGTCGATCGCAATAATCTGAGCAGAACCCCTACTTAAAAACTACACCTGCCACTCCCCACTGACCTGGAGACCAGCGGTGGCTGGGTGTCCCCGTGGGACATGCGAGGTCACCTGTCACACTCAGGTGAGCTCCACTACCCACCAACCGCTAAGTTCCAAAATCGCCAAATCTTATTACTAACATAAATCACTACACACGCAAGTTCTGGTGAACATTCCCTGAACTACACAAAACTCACAAAATCACTAAACACAACACCAGAGAATCACTATCTCCTAACCTGAAAAAACTCGCTAAATCGCGAAAGTAAAACACCTGTCAAGATCTCCCTGATAGCGCCTGAGCGGCAAAAAGACACGTGGGACTGAACAATGTTAAATGAACACTAGCCTACAACATTGTTCAACACCGCTGCCAACATTGTAACGGGGGGGTGGGGGGAAATAGCTCTATCTTGTCCATTATTCCACCCCCCAGTTAACTAACGAGGCCGGGGGAAACAGCTCTCTCTAGTCCGTTATTCCGTCCTCAGTTAGCTAACTATTCTAGAGCACTCCCAGAGTTCCTAAGGCAACCTCTCTCGTTCAACACCTTGTAACCTAGGTATTCGACTACCTAGGTGCTAAGACTACAAGGCGCCGTCACTTGATCAGTTACCCGAAACTCTAGAGAGAACTCTAGAATACATAATCATTGCCACAAACGTATAAGAGAAAACGAAAGGAAAGAAATGAATAGTGAAGTAATTAGTGAGGGTTTGGGGTAAGAGGTAGGGAGGTGGGAGGAGCGAGGAGGGTCATTAGTTGAAAGTGAGAGTTTAGAGATGGGTGGAGGGAGAGGTGTAGATAGGTAGAAGTAGAAGAGTAGATAGTAGAAGACGAAATGCTGCCACCATCCATTCATGATCATTACACACAAGACAAGGAATGGAACTTGCCTGTATCACAAAATTCTCAAAAGATGTTATCATGAGTTCATTATTAGTATGTTCCCTCTGTACCATGTATCAACTCCAAACATGTACTCGTTAATATCATGAAACCAGTAACCACAGAGGCTTTCTCACCTCAACTCAAAATCTCTAGGGAACAAAGTTAAACACAATTTAAATAATAAATTCATAATTATATTTCCCATGAAGTATCATAATTTAGCAATTCAATTAAAATGTTAAAGAGAGTCATCATCCAAGAATTCGAGAACCCTACAACTTGACTGCCCCTGATCATCACACAACATATGTAAACACGACCAAGTCACCTTAATGTTCACTCACCGAGGACTGAGTCTAAGTTGAATAGAGAGGGGGGGGGTCTGCAATTTTCAGGCAGCGTCACCCCCCGTCTGGTGACGGCCTATCTCGACGGCTGGCCTCTGCTCTGCTCCGCTGGCCGGTCTCCTATTGCCTTTTTGCTGGATAGCTCTCCGAGTTTATATTGGGGAACCTAGTAGCTAACTCCGCCCACAAGTAGATAGCCTCCGGCACTACCAAGCCACTCCTTAAACGTCGGCATGTTTGAAGGCTACCCGGCTCCAATTATACGCTTAGCGGAAGCAAGGTGAAATTATCATGATCTGACCTCAGGTCACTTGGGGTCGTTAACGGTTAGAGGTGTGAGATCTCAGGCAGACAACTGGCGCCTCTCCGATCCTTGTCTGTGACTCATGTACTCTATGTATGTATTAACCTAAACCAAACACTTTTACAGTGTTACAGACCTGCTCCTGAGTCGTGGCTCCCACGGCACTTCTTTTACAAAACACTCTTGTTCTTGTATTTGGGAGGGGAGCCGGTCGGCCGAGCGGACAGCACGCTGGACTTGTGATCCTGTGGTCCTGGGTTCGATCCCAGGCGCCGGCGAGAAACAATGGGCAGAGTTTCTTTCACCCTATGCCCCTGTTACCTAGCAGTAAAATAGGTACCTGGGTGTTAGTCAGCTGTCACGGGCTGCTTCCTGGGGGTGGAGGCCTGGTCGAGGACCGGGCCGCGGGGACACTAAAGCCCCGAAATCATCTCAAGATAACCTCAAGGTATACTTCCCTTCCCTGTGTACTGGTCTCCTATCCTCTCCTTGTGCTTCACTTTACAGTGGAACTATTTACGGTCACAGTGGTCACTGAGTTCTAGTGGTCTGTTTTCTCATCTACAGCCCCGTGGTGGGTCAAGATGGTGTCTAGCCTGGTTTATCTCTTCTCTCATTTGCTCGTGTTTCTTCTATGACATGTATGAGGACGTTTACGTTCATCATGTCCACCAACCTTGCTCTCCGTGTACCAGGGCCACTGTGTACACTTCTTGTCACTCAATCAAGCCTCAGTGAGTGAAATCTCCCAGGATTATAAATTTGTCGTTCACTCTTCTCTCTCTCATCTCATTTTCTTCTTGTAATGTATTTGTTATCATTTTATTAATTCTGCTAGAATTTACCTACTTAAAATTATCTGTTAGATTAAGGACCTGCCCGAAACGCTGCGCGTACTAGTGGCTTTACAAGATTGTAAATACTATGCTATGTATTCTCACAAACCCAATGTACCTTCTTGTATATAAATAAATAAATAAATAAATAAATAAATAAATAAATAAATAAATAAATAAATAAACTGTGTGAGGAGTTGTTTCATCCCCCCCCCTTATAACATGTTTACTTCAGAGATATTATCATTTTCGTATTCCTTGGTGATCCCTGTGGTGGTCGTGCACACTCCCAGTCACTGCTTTACCTCCACGTGCTCCTACCATTCATATCACACTCTGTTTTTCCATTCGTGTTTGTGACTGTAACTTGCTTGAACTTACTACAGGCGCTGTACCTACCTTCAGGTACAGCAGGTGCTGACCTGCTGGAACGGTACCCTCTGCTGGTGGCGGTCCGTGACGGCCGGGTCCAGCACGTGTGTAGCCATCCCCACGACCAGTCTTGGGCCCTCAACATGAAGAAGGGCGTCGCGTCTGCCCTCCAGAACTCTCTCCCTTCCTTTACCACCATCACACATCTTACCTTAACAGAGGTAATTATAATACATATAATAATAATAATAATAACAATAATGCAAAAAGAAATATTAATATGCTGTTTCAGTGAGAAAATTAGTAGTAGAAATGAGAGGGATTCGAACCTTCAGGTTAGGTATTCCCAAGCACACACCTTAATCCACAGGACCACAATCTGCCTTAAAAGTAGTGTAACCTGGGATTGAAGTGAGTCGTGTAGGGGTCGTGAGGCCTCCAGCTGACACCGACTCAGGGCTCCACACATCACCCGCCTACACTAAATACAATCTGCTTGATATAGGCCACAAGGCTTGCTGTAGTATTCATTTTTTTTATTTTGAGATATATACAAGAGTTGTTACATTCTTGTGCAGCCACTAGTGCGCGTAGCGTTTCGGGCAGGTCCCTGGAATACGATCCCCTGCCGCGAAGAATCGTTGTTACAACCAAGTACACATTTTACTGTTGAGTTAAACAGAGGCTACAGTTAAGGATTTGCGCCCAGTAAATCCTCCCCGGCCAGGATACGAACCCATGACAAAGCGCTCGCCGAACGCCAGGCGAGTGTATTACCATTACACCACGGAGACTGTATAATCATTTAATTCTTCTGTTGATATATCTTTGACATGGAGTAGCGATACTTTGTTCTTTATCTGGCCGCAACATATATTTTCCATGTAGGTTATGTTATTTCAGAAAAAAAGTTTTATTAAGCAACAAAATAGAAGTAAATTTATTTGTATAGACTATGTGGTGTAAAACGGCAGTGTATGATTATTGCTAATATTATTATCTTTCGACAGACGGACGTGGTTGGAACGTGCCCAACGAGGTACGAGGTGCAGAACCAGGGAGACAGAGTCATTGTGAAGAAGGAGAAGAACCACCGCCTGTGTAAGCAGCGTTACCCGACCCCTGCTGAGACCCAGGTTCCCTGGCTCAAAGGTCCTCTGCCGCTGGAAGAGTCCCGCTCTGTGTGTAAACAAGAGATCAGGAACGGAATCTACTCCAGCATCACCTGTGAGGATAAGAACGTGGTCAGACCCAGCTATGGCGCCTATAAGTATATTGAAGCCAAAATGGAGTCCACATTGAGATACGTCTCAGTATCCAACGACCAATCAGGTGCCGCCTCTGCCATCTCTCAAGCTAACATGGAACGCAAGAGTCTCCGGTATGACTACGATACCCTCAAGAAGGACCCGTCCATGGTGGCCCAGTTGGACCAGACCATGAAGCAGATCTGTGAGAAGACTAAAGATGCCGTTGAGCGTGACGTTGCTGCTCTGGTAGCCAAGGCTGCACAACTCCTGCGACGAGTCCCTGAGGAAGCCATAACACAAACTTTGGACAAAATCCGCAGCGGACGCTTCTGTGAAGGCAACAAAAAACTTGAAAGCATCTTTTTAGATACTGTTGCATTCGTGCATGAATCAGGTGCAGTGAAGGTTATAGTGAAGGAGCTAGTGAAGGGACGTGTTCCAAGGTTTCGTGCCGTGCTCTATGCCTTGGCCCTCTACCTTCATCCTCGTCCATGTATCCGGACTATAGAAGCTCTGAGGCCGCTATTCGAGTCATCCCAACCTTTGACCTACATGACCTTAGCTGCTGCCTCCGTGGTCAACGCTTATTGTCGCCACACTCCTCACTGTGATGACGAAGAACCTGTGAGGAGTCTGGCCGAAACTTTAAGCAATAAGCTAGAACACCAGTGCTCTCCCGCCAGCACGGAGGAGACTCAGGAGGAAGCGCTCGCAACACTCAAGGCTCTAGGCAACATGGGTGTGATGGCGCCTAATGTCATCAAGTCGACCATAAAGTGCTTGAAAACAGAGAACATGAAGACCAACATTCGCGTCGCTGCTGCCCAGGCCTTCAGACAAGCACACTGCCACCATTCAGTAAGTAACACTTCCACGCCACTACCCTGTAATTGAAATTGAAATAAGTTTATTGAGGTAAAATCCACACAAAGGGATGAGGTAGCTCAAGCTATTCTCACCCCGTTCAGTACATCGTGTTAATACATACATATACACACATCACAAACAATAAACATATTACCAAACATTCTGAGAGATAAACATATACATTTCCTTCTTTACACAAGTAGTATGGTACACAAATACTTTTACTTTTACCCTGTAATAGTTCCACGCTACAACCCTCCTTTACACCATATTGAGAAAGTGTGCAATACTCATATTCTCAGCTCTCCTTCCAAGGCACACAACTAAAGCTTGATCTTACACTAGGCAACAACGGAACTTGTGAACGTGGCTCTTGGTCCCACTGAGAATACTGAGGTCCGCATTGCTTCTTACACTGTGGCAATATCTTGTGCGCGGGAGGAAGATATTATCAATATTCTTACTAAGATCTCTAATGAGAAAAATACTCAAGGTAAATATTTGTTATGGTTTGATACGCACAAGCTTGAATATTGCGCAATATACAGAGCTTGTATTATAGAGTAGTTTATTATATTGTATATCATATATTGTTATTATAATACATACTGTTATAAATACATTATAAGCTTGAAATAATGATAACAATACTATATACTGTACTTCCTTTTGTAATGAGCATTTCTTACGTGACAGCTGTTGTCTCAGACTGTCTCATTAGACCATGTAAACACTCATCATGTTTATTTCATGTATTGCAGTTCGTTCATTTATACTCGGCCACCTGCACAATATTCAACAGTCAGACGCACCTGAAAAACAAAATCTTCGAAACTACTTATCAAATATAAGGATTCCCAGAGACATTAGGAAAGACGTGAGGAAATATTCTCGCAATATAGAGATGTCATACTTCTCCTCGGCCCTGGGTGCTGGTGCCGGTGTGGAGTCCAACATCATCTACTCTCCGGGATCCTTTGTCCCTCGCTCTATTGACTTCAACCTCACCGCCGCCTTAGAGGGAATCTCAGTAAACTTAGGACAGGTTGGTGCTCGGCTTGAGGGCCTCGACCCTGCCATTGAGAAAGTCTTTGGTCCTGAAGGTTACTTATATAATGCTTCTCTTGGGAGAGTGTTTGAATATATATGTTCATTAATAGGAAATACTGGAAGTAGCTTGACGAAGCTGGATGATTTATTTAATATAGATCATTCTAAAATATCACATTTTTTAAGCAAGATTTATGACGGGGATAAAGTGTCAGTTCCCAGAGTGGATATATTTGCACGCGTCCTCGGACAAGAAGTATTCTTTGCAACGTTAATATCCAACCTGAAACACATCAACATTACTGAAGAAGCAGAGGATTTTCCCTCCTATCATGAACAAGTTATTAAGGACATGATGAAGCTGGATATTGACTCGGCTCACACAAGCCAGTTGTCCACAGACAGCATCTTCCCCACCACTCAAGGCACACCTCTCAAGATAACTCTAACAGGAACGGCAGTTATGGGAATAAGGATAGAATCTAATCTTAACTTACTCGACATCTCCAACTTGAAAATATCTAGCAGTGCACTGAAGATAATTCCAAGCTTATCTCTTCACGTAACAAGCTTCATTGGTTTTGACTGTTATTTAGGGAAGATTGGCCTTAATATGAGCAACACAGTTTCAAGCAACACTGGTGTTTCGTTCAGCATGATGGAGAAGGCCAACAGACAGTTGAAACTTCAGTTAGAACTCCCGGAGAAGATGGAGATAATTAATATCAAGAGTGAAATTGTCCTCGTTAAAGGTATCAAGGGCAAAGCAGAAACCTATATGACCCCATCGTCAGTGAACGATATCAGAGTGTCACGTAACTCATGCATTAGTACTCTTGAGCCCATGTTCGGCCTCAGCCTCTGCTACCACCTCCAACTACCTGATATCTTCCGCAGCAAAGTTCTGCCTTTAGGTGCTCCATCTATTGCCAAGCTCTATATTCAGAAAGCTGAAGCTTCTATCAAAGGATACCTCCTAAATGCTTTCATTCAAAACAAGAAAGGTAGTAAAATGATGTCTGTTAAAATAGAGACTTTAGGATCCACTGCACCAAGAACGACTGAGGTGACTTTGTCTTTCACTGGACGAGAGTCGTCCTACTTGCTCTCCGCCACTATTGAGTCTCCTGCCATCACTACTGGAGTCTGGGCCACCATCACCAACACACAAGATCTGAAGAGCGTCGAGGCTTTTGCGAAATACAGATCGAGCGAAGCGGAGAGGTCGAGGGGGGTGAAGGTGTGTCTCAGCAGGAAGCAGACGTCCAGTAAGCAGGAACACGAAGCCAAGATGTATATCAGCAGGAGCAGAGACTTCTATCCTGAGTCGCAGATTTTCCAGTGCAAGTTTATCAAGACATTCGCAGATCCTGACACTTCACTGGATGTTTTATTTAAGACAAAAAATGGCCTCGGAGATTACTTGAGCCTAAATTTTAAGGGTAAGTCGAACATTTTAACTTAAATATCCTGAAAAAGAAAATCAGTAAGAGATAAAAACAAACGAAAAATATCACCCTCAACATATACCAAACCCTATGCATGAATATATGTATACCCCACGTGAGTTTATACACATTTATGAACATAAATACATGTATAAATGATCCCATTAATACGCTGAAATATTCTCGACAGCTGGAATAGACACGACGTATATCCCACACACTCACCTGTACCTCCCAACAAGGCTCCGTCACTTAGAGTGCCACATGGGCCTCGGAGCCTGGAAAATGAACTCCTTTATTCGCCAGACCAACAAATCAGCCGAGACCTGTGTTTACGGGTCCGCCTTCAAGTTGGCGCGAGGGACCGTGCCCCTGCTGCGTGTGGAGGCCGCCCACGCCATCAGCAGCGCTCAGGCAGCCCTCACCACCACTATCATGGGTCAGTTGCACAGTAGTCACCACAATTATATCCTTCATATTCGGTCTCTTGTACATTACTCCTCAGGACAATATATGTATATATTCGGTCAGTTGGACATTTCTCAGGACAATATATGTACATATTCCGTCAGTTGGACATTTCTCAGGACAATATATGCACATATTCCGTCAGTTGGACATTTCTCAGGACAATATATGCACATATTCACTCAGTTGGACATTTCTCAGGACAATATATGCACATATTCAACGCGAGCCTCAAATGTACGACAAACTTGAATAAACCTCAAGCCAAATGTTACAGAAAAAGGAAGGAAGGGAAAAAGAAGGAAGAAACTCTTCCTTTCACAAGTTTTTCTGTTACATTTGAGTTGAGATTTATTCAAGTTTGTCGTACATTTGAGGCTCGCGTTTTCTCTCATATAGTGAATTGATTTGATGAAAATTATCTGTGATCTCTGGCCACGGTGAGTGCTGTCGGGTGTTACATTAAATAGTCTCCGACTATTAACACTTTTAAATAGTCGACCATGGTGTATTGGTCATAGTACTGGATATGGACATTTTCTATTCTACCCAAATATCTTCTACCATCTGGAGGGTGAATAAACAATACACAAAGATCATTTAATCTTTCCATTTTTATTGTTTGACGTTCTGTCAGCAAGGTGACATCTTCAGGAGTACACTGATGAACCGACACAGGTATACTGAGCTTACAAGGTTGTTGTTTTTTAGATTCAGCTACTCGGAACAAAAGTTCTAAGTAGTACAGGCTATGGTAAGCCCGTAGTGGACTTACCTGGCATAGGAACGATTCCACGAGAGAAATCCGTGGGATTATGGTTTCCCTTGAGGTTGAAAGACTATTCACTAACGTTCCAGTGGAAAGGACCATAAACATAATATTGGGCTACGTGTATGAACAAGAACAGTACCTCCCTCAACTCAAGGTTCCTCGAACTATTTTACGGAATATGGTGAAGGCCTGCACCACTGAAGCTCTTTTTCCTGTGGCCAAGAGAGTAAACTCTTCCTGTAGGTTGACGGTGTGGCGATGGGGTCCCCATTGTGGGTCTTGTTCGCCCAGGCCTTCATGTCTCATGTTGAGTCGTCCATCATGCAGAGGGAAGAGCTGAACCATAGTATCTGCTGCAGATATGTCGACCACATATTCGTCTGTGTTGACAATGATAACACATTGGAGAGGCTTCGTGGCAAGCTACAAGATTTCTCAGGATTGAAATTCACTGTTGAGAAAAGTGAAGGAGGCAGGACTCCATTCCTCGATGTTCTTGTTGACAGTAACTCCGGTACACATCTGTGGTAACATCACAGATGTGTACCGGAAACCAACTAATGCAGGAAAATATATGAACAGTAAGAGTGAATGCACTGACAGGTATAAGAGAAGCGTGCACCAAAGAGGAGGAAGACCTGTCGGCTCCCGCGGGAGTAGTGTAGCAGAGCTTATTGGCGTGAGGATAACAGCAGGTATTCGCTGACGGCAGGGGTCTTGAGCAACTTGTTGACGCGGTGCTGGGAGGAGTGTTGGACATTCCTGCGGACCGCGTACGTTGGAAGCTGCGTGGAGCTGATTTTGGTAGCAGTCCTGGTCTTCAGAAAATCATCCATCGTTTGTTTACGCCACGAGACTGAGGTGAGGCAGAGGACCAGTAAATCAAGTGTGTTGGTCTGGGCAAGCCAATCAACAGTTGTCTAGATTGCTGTAGATCCACCACCATCGAGTGAGCAACGCAGGGTGAGACGCGGACCCCGACGAAGAATGAGAGGATCGTCGGCCCGTCGTGTATCTACGAGAAGTTGTCTGACGCAGACTCTGCGAGCTGCAGCTACATTCTACGAGGAGCTACCCGGCGCAGGATCTACGAGCTATGTCAGGTAGATAAATTTGCCCTCCCATTTTCCCCAATTGGTTAGGAAAGGTGGTGTGACAAATTAATGTGTTTATCAGACATTTTGGTGGAGAAATTTTGTCAGTGACAGCATTATCATAAATATATGTATCAGTGATTATTGACATGAGTTAAAAAAGCAATGACTGAGGGACTACAAAGTATTGAAGAGGCTTCATAATATATTTTGTATGTGCAGAGATATTAGTGTTTATGAGACCCTCATAGGGGTGATTAGGGTCTCTCGGCCAGTGTAAATTATATCTAAGTAAACCCATCGATTATACGTGTTTCCATCCTTCCCTTCACTTCCGGATGTGTTGTGGTGAGGGGATATATACTGGTGACCACACACCTTATTACTGGTGCTGGACTGGCAGATACACGGGCTCACCATAGCCCGTGCTACTGGAACTTATTGTTCTGAGAAGCGAATCTTAAACAACAACAACAAATGGCAGATACAAATACCACTGAGCAGACCACACACTAGAAAGTGAAGGGAGGACGACGTTTCGGTCCGTCTTGGACCATTCTCAAGTCGATTTTGATAAGGGAATGTTGTTGTTGCTTAAGATTCAGCTGCTGGGAACAAAAAGTTCCAAATAGCACGGGCTACGGTGAGCCCGTAGTGGACTTACCTGGCACAGGAGCGGGGCGAGTAGCACGGGCTACGGTGAGCCCGTAGTGGACTTACCTGGCACAGGAGCGGGGCGAGTAGCACGGGCTACGGTGAGCCCGTAGTGGACTTACCTGGCACAGGAGCGGGGCGAGTAGCACGGGCTACGGTGAGCCCGTAGTGGACTTACCTGGCACAGGAGCGGGGCGAGTAGCACGGGCTACGGTGAGCCCGTAGTGGACTTACCTGGCACGGGAGCGGTGCTGTGATAAGAGATTGATTGATTGATGAAGATTAAGCCACCCAAAAGGTGGCATGGGTACGAATAGCCCGTAAGTGGTGGCCCTTTTGAGCCATTTACCAGTATCAATAGATGATACTGGAGATCTGTGGAGGTGCGACTGCACCCTGCGTGACGGGAGATGTCTCCCGTGTGTGATAAGGGATGTTGTTATAGATTCAGCTACTCGGAACAAGTTCTGCGATAAGGGATTGATTGATTGATGAAGATTAAGCCACCCAAGAGGTGGCACGGGCATGAATAGCCCGTAAGTGGTGGCCCTTTCGAGCCATTACCAGTATCAAAAGATGATACTGGAGATCTGTGGAGGTGCGACTGCACCCTGCGTGACGGGAGATGTCTCCCGGACCAAGTGGTGACCAAATGGTGGCGATAAGGGAAGGAGGCAAGGCAATAAATAGGCAAGAGAGAGGTGAGGAGAAGAATATCTTAAAGGAAGAAAAAGCAAGGCAAAAGGTACGAAAAACAAAAGTAACTGCTGAGTTAACTTTGTTGTTATGTTCTTATTTTTTTTTTTTTTTTTTTTTTAAGATATATACAAGAGTTGTTACATTCTTGTAGAGCCACTAGTACGCGTAGCGTTTCGGGCAAGTCCTTAATCCTAAGGTGCCTGGAATACGATCCCCTGCCGCGAAGAATCGTTTTTTCATCCAAGTACACATTTTACTGTTGCGTTAAACAGAGGCTACAGTTAAGGAATTGCGCCCAGTAAATCCTCCCCGGCCAGGATACGAACCCATGACATAGCGCTCGCGGAACGCCAGGCGAGTGTCTTACCACTACACCACGGAGACTGTTATGTACTTATACCTATTATTATCCCCTTTATTACACTTTACCTTTCGTACCTTTTGCCTTGCTTTTTCTTCCTCTTTAAGATTTTCTATAGTGAGCCACTTACGGGTTCACTATAGCCCGTGCTACATGGACATCTCGTTCCGAGTAGCTAAATCTAAAACAACAACAACATTCCCTTATCAAAATCGACTTGAGAATGGTCCAGGACGGACCAAAACGTCGTCGTCCCTTCACTTTCTAGTGTGTGGTCTGGTCAACATACTTCAGCCACGTTATTGTGACTCCTCGTCTGCAAATACCACTGAGTTAAGAATAGTACTCGGCCACCTTGTTGAGGAAACTTTATGTCGGGCAGCTCGACTTGAGTAATACTTGGGTCCCGTGTCTATGGTGACCCAAGTAATGGGATTAGGTAATGGTCGAGGTATCTCACCCATTATATATATATATATATATATATATATATATATATATATATATATATATATATATATATTTCACTGTTGGAGGTAAATCAAAAATCACTTCTCCAAAATTCATTTTTATTTCTAGTCTGACGCGACACGGGCGCGTTTCGTAAAACTTATTACATTTTCAAAGACTTCACAAATACACAACTGATTAGAACTTGCGTTTCCCTCATTTTATATCTACATTTGAGTGAGGTGGGAAGGGTGATGTGGCATTACATTTGAGTGAGGTGGGAAGGATGATGTGGCATTAACACAAGACAGAACACTAGAGGATATTAATAGGGTATTAAAAGTATCAACACAAGACAGAACAGAAACAATGGGTATTGAATAGAAGTGTTTGTAGAAAGCCTATTGGTCCATATTTCTTGATGCTTCTATATTGGAGCGGAGTCTTGAGGTGGGTAGAATATAGTTGTGCAATAATTGGCTGTTGATTGCTGGTGTTGACTTCTTGATGTGTAGTGCCTCGCAAACGTCAAGCCGCCTGCTATCGCTGTATCTATCGATGATTTCTGTGTTGTTTACTAGGATTTCTCTGGCGATGGTTTGGTTATGGGAAGAGATTATATGTTCCTTAATGGAGCCCTGTTGTTTATGCATCGTTAAACGCCTAGAAAGAGATGTTGTTGTCTTGCCTATATACTGGGTTTTTTGGAGCTTACAGTCCCCAAGTGGGCATTTGAAGGCATAGACGACGTTAGTCTCTTTTAAAGCGTTCTGTTTCGTGTCTGGAGAGTTTCTCATGAGTAGGCTGGCCGTTTTTCTGGTTTTATAGTAAATCGTCAGTTGTATCCTCTGATTTTTGTCTGTAGGGATAACGTTTCTATTAACAATATCTTTCAGGACCCTTTCCTCTGTTTTATGAGCTGTGGAAAAGAAGTTCCTGTAAAATAGTCTAATAGGGGGTATAGGTGTTGTGTTAGTTGTCTCTTCGGAGGTTGCATGGCTTTTCACTTTCCTTCTTATGATGTCTTCGATGAAACCATTGGAGAAGCCGTTATTGACTAGGACCTGCCTTACCCTACAGAGTTCTTCGTCGACTTGCTTCCATTCTGAGCTGTGGCTGAGAGCACGGTCGACGTATGCGTTAACAACACTCCTCTTGTACCTGTCAGGGCAGTCGCTGTTGGCATTTAGGCACATTCCTATGTTTGTTTCCTTTGTGTAGACTGCAGTGTGGAAACCTCCGCCCTTTTCCATGACTGTTACATCTAGAAAAGGCAGCTTCCCATCCTTTTCCGTCTCGTAAGTGAAACGCAGCACGGAACTCTGCTCAAATGCCTCCTTCAGCTCCTGCAGATGTCTGACATCAGGTACCTGTGTAAAAATGTCGTCAACATACCTGCAGTATATGGCCGGTTTCAAGTTCATGTCGACTAAGACTTTTTGCTCGATGGTACCCATGTAGAAGTTTGCAAACAGGACACCTAGGGGAGAACCCATGGCGACCCCATCTACTTGCTTATACATGTGCCCATCCGGGCTCAAGAAGGGTGCCTCTTTAGTACAAGCTTGGAGTAGTTTCCTCAGAATACTTTCTGGCATGTCAAGAGGAGTACAGGCTGGATCACGATACACTCTGTCGGCTATCATTCCGATTGTCTCGTCCACAGGTACGTTGGTAAACAGCGATTCCACGTCCAACGAGGCTCTTATCCCTGTGGCCCGTGCGCCCCGCAGTAAGTCCACAAATTCCTTTGGAGACTTCAGGCTGAAGGCGCAAGGAACATAAGGAGTCAGCAGGCCGTTGAGTCGCTTCGCCAATCTGTACGTGGGTGTGGGTATCTGGCTAATGATTGGCCGAAGTGGGTTTCCAGGCTTGTGCGTCTTGACATTTCCATACGCATATCCAGGTTTATATTCCCCAATGATCTTTGGCAGGTGGAGTCCGGATTTCTTGGCGTTCACAGTTTCGATCAGTTTGTTGACCTTTGCTTTTAATTCGGCTGTAGTGTCCTTCGTTACCCTTTGGAACTTAGTTTGGTCAGAGAGTATGATGTTCATTTTCGCCAGATATTCGTCTTTTTTAAGAATGACATATATTGGCGACTTGTCACCTCTCCTGACAACTATCTCCTTGTTCTCACGAAGGCTTTTAGCTGCCGCTCTAAGCTCGGGGGACAGTATGGTGCTTCTGTAGTTGCCTCGATTCTTTCCTCCTTCTGCAATAAGTTTCCTCCTTCTGCAATAAGTTGAGCAGAGTTCCGTGCTGCGTTTCACTTACGAGACGGAAAAGGATGGGAAGCTGCCTTTTCTAGATGTAACAGTCATGGAAAAGGGCGGAGGTTTCCACACTGCAGTCTACACAAAGGAAACAAACATAGGAATGTGCCTAAATGCCAACAGCGACTGCCCTGACAGGTACAAGAGGAGTGTTGTTAACGCATACGTCGACCGTGCTCTCAGCCACAGCTCAGAATGGAAGCAAGTCGACGAAGAACTCTGTAGGGTAAGGCAGGTCCTAGTCAATAACGGCTTCTCCAATGGTTTCATCGAAGACATCATAAGAAGGAAAGTGAAAAGCCATGCAACCTCCGAAGAGACAACTAACACAACACCTATACCCCCTATTAGACTATTTTACAGGAACTTCTTTTCCACAGCTCATAAAACAGAGGAAAGGGTCCTGAAAGATATTGTTAATAGAAACGTTATCCCTACAGACAAAAATCAGAGGATACAACTGACGATTTACTATAAAACCAGAAAAACGGCCAGCCTACTCATGAGAAACTCTCCAGACACGAAACAGAACGCTTTAAAAGAGACTAACGTCGTCTATGCCTTCAAATGCCCACTTGGGGACTGTAAGCTCCAAAAAACCCAGTATATAGGCAAGACAACAACATCTCTTTCTAGGCGTTTAACGATGCATAAACAACAGGGCTCCATTAAGGAACATATAATCTCTTCCCATAACCAAACCATCGCCAGAGAAATCCTAGTAAACAACACAGAAATCATCGATAGATACAGCGATAGCAGGCGGCTTGACGTTTGCGAGGCACTACACATCAAGAAGTCAACACCAGCAATCAACAGCCAATTATTGCACAACTATATTCTACCCACCTCAAGACTCCGCTCCAATATAGAAGCATCAAGAAATATGGACCAATAGGCTTTCTACAAACACTTCTATTCAATACCCATTGTTTCTGTTCTGTCTTGTGTTGATACTTTTAATACCCTATTAATATCCTCTAGTGTTCTGTCTTGTGTTAATGCCACATCATCCTTCCCACCTCACTCAAATGTAATGCCACATCACCCTTCCCACCTCACTCAAATGTAGATATAAAATGAGGGAAACGCAAGTTCTAATCAGTTGTGTATTTGTGAAGTCTTTGAAAATGTAATAAGTTTTACGAAACGCGCCCGTGTCGCGTCAGACTAGAAATAAAAATGAATTTTGGAGAAGTGATTTTTGATTTACCTCCAACAGTGAAGCGTAATGTACGAAAGATTGAGAAAATTCGTGTTAGAATTATTAATCTTACTTTTTCGGTCATATTTAATAATATATGTCTACAGGAAAGACTGCTACCAAAATATACTAATATATATATATATATATGACATCTATATATATATATATATATAGATGCAAGAAAACAGCTTACATATATATATATTCATATATATATATATATATATTCATATATTCAAGTGACGGTAAAGCGTTCGTGTTCGGCTGTTTCAAAAGCTGGGGGCTGGGCCTCGTCACATAACAAAAAAAAAGAGAAGTTTGTCCTTTTGTCTGTGGTAAGGTAATGGGAAGACACACAAAACACAAAGTATAAACAATGAAATTTTAATTACTCTAGAAAACAAGATATGAATAAAGACAATCTCGTAAAATTCAAAACAAGTCAACAAACAAACCAACATGAATAATTACTGGCAGTGAAAAGGTTACTCTAAGACAAGTAAGTGATAGTAAAATAAATCAGGTGAGGTGCTGAGAATACTGGCTTCAAGCTGCCACCTCCCTTAGTACACGACAGCCAGGGCTTAGTCTACTATAGAGAGATGTCAACTCCAAGGAGCACAGGGATATTCTGAGGAGACGGCGTGCTGCTGGCCCAGACGTCGACTCATGTAGTGGCGTGAGTGCAGGTGCGGCGACACACCAGCCAATCAGCAACAGGCAGGCGGAGAATGAGCAGTTTGCTGGCTGACGGCGGGCGGTAGCCGGTGTGTCGGGTTCTGCATGGTACGCTTTGCTTCCTGGGCAAAACGTTTGGCGATACTGGTAGACGTATCTTCAATATAGTATCTTGTACTTGAATGACGTAAATGTGTAGAGAAGAGCAGTCTCAATCTCTCTTGAAAGAGATTATCGTCACAAAATATATATATATATATATATATATATATATATATATATATATATATATATATATATATATATATATATATATATATATATATATATATATATAATATATATATATATTATAATATATATACTTTTTCTTATACTGGAAGTGTACTTTAGCCGAGACAGGTAATGGGGTATATAAAGCCTCGTGTGATGTCGTGTTTGGTGAGAGCAAGATGGGGGTGACCATGCAAGCTGTTCGTGCTGGCGAAAACATCGAAATTCTTCATGTGCATATATCTCTGCATCTCACCAGAGAAGAATACAAAGCCAAACTGGAGGTAAATATGGAGGTATAGCAGGTGTTGTGCAACCTGTGGCTATTACTCTTCTACCTCTCCTTTCATGTAACCAATCTTGTCTGATAAAGTTTCACATAAAATGTAAAATTTTGGAATTATTAAAAATACATGGGGTTAGCAGGGGTTAGTTACATGGGATTTGAATTATTATAACTTTTTCGACTTACTGAATTTTGTCCAATCTGCAACATTTAGATAATATACGAAATAAAAAACACGATAAAAATAATTTTTTCTTGCAGTTAGATATTCCGGAATACATAAGAAGTATCAAATTCGAGAGCAAGTTAGCGGTGGAGGACCCGTATCACTACAGGGTAGGCGCGGCCTTCAAGCACGGCGACATGGTGACGCTGCAGGTGGAAGGGCCGCTGCTGGTCAGGTGGAGCCCCTCCATGACCCAGCTCCAGGCTGACATCATGGTGGACGCCCTCGCCGCCGGACCCCTCAGGACCTCCATCACCATCATCTTAGCCAGAAACAAACGGCTCTTCTCCTTAGAGCTGAAGAATCAGCGCGAATCTGTCTTCGATGTAGAATTTAACCTCTCGGTCGAGTCGCCTTTGAAGTCAAGTTTCGGATCAAAATTATACGTACTGGAAATAATTCAACATAAGCTTGATATAGTTGTAAAGAATAATATTGTTTATTATAATATGAATACCTTGTGGCTGCCAAACACCTCTTGGGTTCGTAGAGTTAAGAGCTTCTTAGATGTTGACTTGGAACGCAAGAGTGTGACAGGCGAGTTATTCTGGGACAGCGATCGTGACCTTAGTAAGGTGCTGAGTTACGATGCCAAGCTTGTCACTAGTCCTTACACTCACACTGAAGCCTCAGTCAGCAGCGTCTATCTTCCCACTGAACACTCCGGCAGCAGCTCCTCCACTCCCACTGAAACCTCCAGCAGCAGCGCCTCCACTCCCACTGAAACCTCCAGCAGCAGCGCCTCCACTCCCACTGAAACCTCCAGCAGCAGCGCCTCCACTCCCACTGAACACTCCGGCAGCAGCGCCTCCACTCCCACTGAACACTCCGGCAGCAGCGCCTCCACTCCCACTGAACACTCCGGCAGCAGCGCCTCCACTCCCACTGAAACCTCCGGCAGCAGCTCCTCCACTCCCACTGAAATCTCCGGCAGCAGCTCCTTCACTCCTACTGAAACCTCCGGCAGCAGCTCCTCCACTCCCACTGAAATCTCCGGCAGCAGCTCCTCCACTCCCACTGTAACCTCTGGCAGCAGCTCCTCCACTCCCACTGTAACCTCCGGCAGCAGCTCCTCCAATCCCACTGTAACCTCCGGCAGCAGCTCCTCCAATCCCACTGAAGCCTCTGTCGAGTAAGTTTACCCTTCTTGGCAGTTGCTGGTGTGTTTATTTATTTTGGAGACATCTAATACCCAAGTTGCCGATAAATTAATTATTCTGTGTGTTAATAACATAAACTTATTGATAGCCATAGCCTATCTTTACTGACGATTACTTATTAAATTATTTCCTTATAATTATAAGTACAAGAGGTTCTTCTTCTTGATGGTAGGTGCAGTTTACACCACACGAGGTTCAGTGCTCAATTGGTTTATAATTCTTTGAAGAATCGGGCATATGATGCTGGTTAATTACGTACTTAATAAAGAAGATTTTATTCCTTTAGTTTTTTAATTTTTGATTCATAAACTACTAGTTTTATAGTTCAATTTTCTTGTATTAGATAAGGTTAGTTAGTTTCAACTAAAATTAAGGTTATTCTAATTGTTGAAAAGTTCATTATTAGGTTTCAATAATTTACAGCCTCCATATCTAAAGTTGCCCTCAGTGTTTTGTTTACATTCTCGGAGAGCCTCGCGACACGGTCCCTATAGTACTTCACATCTGAGTATATATCAGAAATCAATATTGTGTTTCTGTAATGTCATTTAGCATTAAAAGCCGTTCATAATAACCGTAATATTAGTAAGATTTTGGCAATACTGTTTTAGTTCAAGGCAGCTGAACATAATATGAATTATTTTGATTGAAAATGCTCAAAACTATATCTGTAAAATAGAACTGTTGTCTGTCTAAGATCGCGGGCCAAATACTTGGGGCTAGCCTCATATGACTTCAGGATTAACCCTTGCAGGGTCTCGACCCCCTGTAAAACCCTTCACGAAGTCGGTGGATGTTAAATGTGATGCTCCGAGTTCGTAGTCTTTAGCATTAGTCTTAGGTATTTAGGTATTCAGAGGTGCACGTGTAAAACGTGTGTTTAGATCGCAGGTTTACAGTCTTGGTGCAAACGTTGGCACCAGTGATGGGGGGGGGGGAGGGGAGGGAAGATGTGTGGTTGGAGATAGGAGGGTTGTAGTCACCTAATTGTGCTTGCGGGGGTTGAGCTCTGGCTCTTTGGTCCCGCCTCTCAACCGTCAATCAACAGGTGTACGGGTTCCTGAAACCTGCGTGTGATGGGGAGACAGTGAGGGTGTGTGTGAGGGGAGACAAGGATCTAGGGTGTTTAGGGTAGACTAGGGGTACTGGGCCGACCTGGGCACCGCCAGATACCCCAACTAGTGATCTAATAAACATGTCTCTTATAGCGGAAGTGCAGCCTTCATGGGGTTGAACTACAGGTATACGACTAAAGTAACCATAACCAACCGAAGCCCGCTATTGTTCGGGGTGAACAGCTTCCAAGTGGAAGTCACAACACCAGCGAAGACAACACTGATGGTGAGTGCAAGCAACAATGTATATCGCCAAGACTCAGCCATCAAAATACACACTCTGGGTCATTACAAGAGCTTGGAGGATGAACACTACGACTTAAGAAGTATCTTAGCCTTTGAAAATGTTGGTAATGGTTACATTCTTGAGTCTGAGCAGTGCTTGACCACACCGGAAGGTCACAACACCACTCTCGCTACCTCCGTCAACCATCAGTATCAACATGATGAACGAAATGTTCATTTGAAGGTAAATCTGTCTATAAATTAGAATGTTCGTTGTTCGAGGTTGGAGGCCAGACGCTTGGGGCTAGCTTCATTAAACTTTGCATGATTAATGGTGATTTGACTGTGAATGCCGTTAGGGGGGGGGTCGGGGTCGTCCCAGTGCCCCCCTGAGGGGGAAAATGGTGGCAATGCTCCTTTTTTATGAAGTCCGTAGATATGAAATGTTTTGCCCCGAGTCCATAGAGTATAGCATTAGTTTCATGAGAGATTAGCAGTGTGGGTACAATGTTTGGGTCACAGTGATGCAGACACTGTGCAGGCCAAATGTTTATAATAATGGTGGGAGAGAGGGAAGATGTATGGCAGGATATGGGAAGGGTGTGGGGAGAGGGAGGTGGGGAGGGTGTGGGGAGAGGGAGGTGGGGAAGTAGCGTGCAGGGGAAAGTGTGTGCTTGGGGAGTGGGGCCCAGATGTGTGGGGATTTTGAGGGTGTGGAGATATTTACCAAGATAAGGATAGTGTGTACTGAAGATAATTACAATCGTGTGGGGAGGCGTGGAGGGCGTGTGTGGGGAAGACCTGGGCATCGCCGGACGACCCTATCTGTTCATATGTAATTACTGCATTACAGAATTTTAAAAATAAAAAAAATACCAAATCTTAAATTTTGTTTGTATATAAGTTTACAAGCGTTAACATATTTCAGCTCTGAAAAGGTTTTAATAAAGATTAACTTTATCTTTCTTCGGGCAGGTAAAGTTGGCGCCGGCAGTGGAGGCGCCTCTGGTGGTTGACTTTGCTATAAACAACACAGTGGACTCCTTCAGCAGCAGGTGTCTTGCTGGAGAGCGGCGTCCTCTCAAACTGTTCAGCTGGGAGCTCTTACTACACCAGGAAGGTGGCATTAGATCCTTCACTTGTGGGCTAGATACATCAGTTATAACTGATGAAGTAAAGGCATTCCGTAAGTTAATTTCCTCCGTTACGTCCCTCTACACCAAACCATCCACGACAAGCGGGGTCTACCTACTGCGGTACGAGGAGCAGCCCTCATCCTCGCACTCTCTCCTCCTCCAGTCTCCCTCCCGCACCATGGAGGCTCACCTCAAGTATTCTCCTTCACAGTTTATTATCAGGTTCTACCCTAAAAGGCATCAAAGTGATTCTAAATACGAGATCAGTGCCACAAAGAGTGCCAGTAATAATGGCGCGCAGCACAACTTGACGTTTGAAGGCCGTCTGGCTCACCCGCGCCTGAACAAGACCATGACGCTCACCGTTGTGTGTAGAGGTGAAGGTGAGGCTGTACAGGGCGAGGTGGTGCTGGACATCTTCCCGGACCCAGCCCATACAGTCACTGTCACTCTCCACACTAACAGGACATCACGCAACACTGTCAACACTCTCCTTCACCTCACCTCCACTGTAAGCATTTGTAAATGTGGATTTATATGTTGCAAGTTCTGCACTCTTTTGATGATCATTGCAAATATGGCATATATATATAATGTGTGTGTGTGTGCATGTATAATATATGTATATATATACATACATATATTTTATATATAAGGACTTTTTCAGGTGCTAAAGATTGACCCCAAGGTCACCGTAATGACAGCCTATGCTCCCCACACGGCTGGCATTGATCTCCAGTTCCAGAAGTCTCCCTCCTCCCCGGTAACCTTCCAGGTGTCGGCCATATACGACCGGGTCTCCCCTAGAGATGCAACAATGGCCTTCCGTGTGATTAACGATGGAGTCTCCGTGGTGGACATCGCTGGAGCGATGCAGCGTGAAGAAGATCTCGAGTGTAACGGCCACAAGGTCAAGGCCGTGGCTCACATTTCTCCTCTTGGCACTTACGACCTCCACTCCAAGCTCTGTAAACCTGCCTTCATCCAACTGAAGACCAAGAAGCACGGCAGTGAGAAGGTTTACACCGTCAGGATTGGAATTCAGAATTGGAAGAAGGTTGAGGTTGGCGCATCAGTCGTGGAGGGGACGGGCCAGGCGGACACCACCGTGGCCACCGTCCGCGTCCTGCTCTCCTCACCCACCCTTATCACTGCTGACTTGGGCCTCCACCCTCATTATGCTCTCAAGATCAAGGTGAGGGGTTTTATCCTGTACTATACAAGTATAGCATCAAGGGTGAGGTATAGTTACAACGATATTTTAATTCACTTTTAGCGTCAGTGTCGCGACCCACACGGAAATGTTTAAGTCAAGATCCTGAATTTATATAATATATAATTCTCCTCAACTACCAATATTTACATAATCCTAAGCTTGCAGTTCTGTATTTACATGCTAATCAAGAAGTAATTTTTATTTATCCTAAACTAGGAATATTTGCATGGTCCTAAACTAGTGATATTTGCATGGTCCTAAACTAGGAACATTCGCATGGTCCTAAACTAGTGATATTTGCATGGTCCTAAACTAGGAACATTCGCATGCTCCTAAACTAGGGATATTTGCATGGTCCTAAACTAGGGATATTTGCATGGTCCTAAACTAGAGATATTTGCATGGTCCTAAACCAGGGATATTTGCATGCTCCTAAACTAGGGACATTTGCATGGTCCTAAACTAGGGACATTTGCATGGTCCTAAACTAGGGACATTTGCATGGTCCTAAACTAGGGATATTTGGATGGTCCTAAACTAGTGATATTTGCATGGTCCTAAACTAGGGATATTTGCATGGTCCTAAACTAGGGATATTTGCATGGTCCTAAACTAGGGATATTTGCATGGTCCTAAACTAGGGATATTTGCATGGTCCTAAACAAGTGATATTTGCATGGTCCTAAACTAGGGATATTTGCATGGTCCTAAACAAGTGATATTTGCATGGTCCTAAACTAGGGATATTTGCATGGTCCTAAACTAGGGATATTTGCATGGTCCTAAACAAGTGATATTTGCATGGTCCTAAACTAGGGATATTTGCATGGTCCTAAACTAGGGATATTTGCATGGTCCTAAACTAGGGATATTTGCATGGTCCTAAACTAGGGATATTTGCATGGTCCTAAACTAGTGATATTTGCATGGTCCTAAACTAGGGATATTTGCATGGTCCTAAACTAGGGATATTTGCATGGTCCTAAACTAGGGATATTTGCATGGTCCTAAACTAGGGATATTTGCATGGTCCTAAACTAGGGATATTTAGTTGTTCATGGGGACGCAATATTTATGTGCTTCCGATTCTGAGAAGCATTGTCATTTAATGTAATTAAGAAGCAAAGTTTGAAGATATATTTTCTGGTAAGAACGCACAGTATTATGTTTGTGTTGGACAGTCAAGTGTGTTGGAGGCGGCGAGTGGAGCGCTGCGCCGGTGGGGACGCTGGGGCCAAGAGGTGTACCACGACGCCGTGGTCGACCACCTGCTAGACGCCAGCAGCTCTCCGCACCAACACTTACTCGCAGTTGTAGAAGGCACCAAGGAGGACTTGGTCCTTATCTACCGGGACCTGGTGGCTGATGGTGTAATTCCCGGGGGTGAGGCGCGGAGGGCATTGTTTGGTGGGTGGTGGGCAGGGGCCGTGATGCGCGCCTACCACCTGGCGCTGACACAGGCAGCCCGCCTACAACACCTCCACTCTGTGCTCCTCCACAACATGGTACAAGCAACATTCCACCAGTTTCATCACCTCACTCGCCTATCAGCACAAGGTACAACACTCACAATAATAACAAACTCATTTTCAAAGAAGAAATTCACATTATTTGTTTTTTTTTATAATTTCCGAATTAGCACACATGGCAGCACTCATTATTTGAACTGAGCAGCGAAGTGGTTAAGTGTATGGGGTTGTGAAGGCACTGAAGGTAGTGGATACGCTGTGTTAGGTTAGCTTGTGATGGTCCCATGTATGCAGTCTCGTGCCTCTCTGGCCTGTAGTCACTCGCCGTAAAAACAGGTGAAACACCCACTGGTCGGCAGCCATGTCATCAACGTTTTTTTATATTGGTATCTGTGGTATCACTCGCACGTAGGTTCGAACCCTCGTCACGGCCCTTGTGGATTTCTTCATTTGATGCATCACGCTATTGTGATTTCTGTGTGTATTGGTATCTGTATGTCTGAAATATAATGAAAACCTCACACAGTTCATGTTAGTGAAGTAAGAGGACAAACGTAGCAGAAGATAACAGAGCTTTACCGGGAAACTTAATTAATTAATAAGTAAACAGGAGACCACAGCTGTACATTTTGATTTACATGTGCGGCTGCTGAAGGTTTGACCTCATGTAATGTGTCAACTGTTGTTGCTAGTGTTGGTGGCAGGAGCGCGCTGGGCGGAAACCGGAGCGGCCCCTGACGCAGTTCATCGCCTGCTGCAACACCTGCAACACACCAGGGTCTTCACCGTGCTCAAGACTGACATTGATGCCTTAACCGACCAGTTTCCAGAGGAGCGTGAGGCCATCCAGCAGGTGGTGGCTAACCTTACACTCACCCTACAGGAAGATCTGGACAAGATTCGGGGAGAAATGGTCAATATTGCAGCTGTCAACGGAACCATAATGTGGATCAACAACCATCTTCATTTGGTAGGAAGCCTTAACCACGAAGCCTCTAAATTCACTTATAATATATAAATATTGTATTAACTGAAGTATATTGTACTTATATTATTTACATGCTGTTGTATGTCAATTGCCAACTTGTATTGATACATTAACGATAAGCTTTATATTCGTTAGTTGATAAGTTTTTAGAACTGTTATCTTACATTTCAGGAAAATGGTGTAACTGATTTGAGGAACGAAATTGTCCGATTAATTTTTGAACATCGTCCAGTTAAAGTCGATATGGATACTAATTATTTGCAAGTGAATATTCCTCTGGTACACCCAACGTTTTCTTTGGGTCAAGCATCTAAGGAACTGTCATCATATCCCTTGAGAAATCTTGATAAGGTAATGTCGTGGCCGTTTTCTGATCTTCCTCTGTATGTAGATGTGTGTGTGTGGGTATACTACACCTTGCTGCCCCGTCACAAGAGGGATGTGTTGCCCCCATACAACCGCACCGCCATGGTTGTGAGCGACACAGAGATCCTCACCTTTGACGGCGCTGTGCTCCGAGCCCCACCTTCACCGTGTGAGGTTGTCTTGGCTGCCTACAAATCCTACAAACTTACCATGGCCCATCCTCAACCCTCGGCCCCGCCACAGATCAAATTTTCTACTCATTCCGCTACCGTCATAGTTAAGACGGACTTCCGTGTTGACGTCAACGGGAGAGAGATGAACAGACGACGACAAACTGAAGGTGAAGTCACCGTTCAGAAGTCGTCCCGTGAAGTCAGCGTGACGTCACCGTTCCTGACAGTCCGGGTATTCAGTGAGAAACGTGTCGTGTCCGTGAACGTGTCTGGCTGGACCTTCGGTCACATTGCGGGGCTCCTGGGTACTTACGACAATGAAGTTGGCAACGACTGGTTTACGTCTTCAGGAAGGAACGCCTCCAGCCTGAAGGAGCTAGTGGCATCATGGCAGGAGGACCAGCAGTGCCCGACCCCCGACATCTCCCCCGTCAGTGTGCCGACACTGAGGATCATTGAATGTGAGGCACTACTGGGGGCCTGGTCCACATGTCACCCGCTGGTGCCTCCCGAACCCTTCATCAAGATGTGCCTCGCCGCCCGCCAGCCCTGCCACGCTGCCCAGGCCTACCATACCATCTGCTCCACCATGGGTGCACTTGGAAGCTTCTCATTAACCTGCTAGTTGTAGTAAATACTTGTAATATATCAATTGACATCGACATTAAATAAATACAATTTTGTTTACTTATTATTTATGGTGATAGATGCATTGATTGTTGCCGCCGGAGGTGGTTAGTTTATTGTGTACCCCATACTCATGTTGTGAGCGGTAGCGCAAAAAGATATACAGAGGTCACAAAAGGTCTTTTTCAAACCTCAACGGAGATTACTACATTAGCAAATTCGTCTGCCATGTTTCCTGAGACCGCTGGATAGTTGCCGCTTCTCGCTAACATGATCTCACTTCCATTTCCCATTATAATACAGAAAGGAGAAAATACAAATTCAAATAATTGTGAATTCATTTTAGGCTGTCACATTTTGTCCGTAACGTTCATATATTTTGTCGAAACTCAGATTATAATTAAATTCGTCATAATAAGTTTAACAATTGATTTGCTGAGTATGTATATTGTGACTTGTATATTATGGTGACGGCTGGGAGACTTGGTCCTGGGGCCAGATTCACGAAGCAGTTACGCAAGTACTTACGAACCTGCACATCTTTCTTCAATCTTTGACGACATTGTTTACATTTATTAAACAGTTTACAAGCATGAAAACTTGCCAATCAACTGTTGTTATTGTTATAAACAGCCTCCTGGTGCTTCGGAGCTCATTAACTGTTTAATAATTATAACCAAAGCCGCCAAAGATTGAGAAAAGATGGACAGGTTCGTAAGTGTTTGCGTAACTGCTTCGTGAATCTGGCCCCTGGCCAGTTGGGACCCATTGTACGTGTTCCTTGTTCCCTGGCAGAGGCGAGCGTTCCCTGCCCTATATGTCCACTAAGATGACTTGATTAATTGATATATAGTCCTGAATATTTCTTCGGAGGTAAGTTGTCAATATTATAGAAAATATATATTTTCGTCTAAAATACAATTATTAATTTACTGTGTCGGGGGACAGGTAGCCAGTGTGTATTTATACACGTTAGGCTTATATAGAAGTCCCCCCCCCATCCCCAGGGTCGAAATACAGACCCCCCCCCCCCTCAGGAGATACACCCACACAACCAGCTCACTAACACCTGCGTACCTACTTGCTGCTAGGTGAACAGATGCAGCGGGTTATAGAAAATGCGCCCTACTATTTCTGTCCTGCCCTGAATTCGAATCCGGAATTCTGGATTAAGAGTCGAGAACGAACCCGACTGTACTACCCGGACCCTCTTGGGCCGGGATAATTATAATATAATTCCTGCGACGGCGCTGGAACCAATCGTATTGGCGTTTACCTTTCCATTGGAGACCTTCGGCGCCGTGGAGAGGGGGGACATGCTGCATGGGTGACAGCTTCTCCCCATATCAACCTACCCTGGCTTTGCGCCCTGGAGAAGCCACTTGAGACCGACAACCAGAGCACTCCTGAGACTGACTGATGCCCACTATATAATTTGCTCTGGGTGCAAGTAGCCACGGATGGGACCAACCCGTCCTCTTAAAAATAACGTCACTTTTCGCTCGTATGCGCTCTATGGCCAAATTTGGACGTAATTTGAAATGAAATCGCCGTCACGCTGGGCTGCACAATGATATGTATGTGGACAAAATGATAGAAACACCGATAAAAGGTTAATTCGGTCGTAATATATAGTAATCTAAACAATTATCTTGGCAAATAACAATAAGGAGTCATGTTAGTGTCAACACGAGCCAAGTCGGCAAGAGTTGCATCAATCATGGCAGCTGTTGCAGTGAGAGTTGAACAGCCTAGTGGAGCCTCGTTGGTCCACGTCAGCCTCTGTCTCCCTACTACCTTATTGATGTGACAGTTACTGTCATCCATGATGCTGGACAGTGTCAGCAGTCATCCATGATGCTGGACAGTGTCAGCAGTCATCCATGATGCTGGACAGTGTCAGCAGTCATCCATGATGCTGGACAGTGTCAACAGTCATCCATCATGCTGGACAGTGTCAGCAGTCATCCATCATGCTGGACAGTGTCAGCAGTCATCCATCATGCTGGACAGTGTCAGCAGTCATCCATCATGCTGGACAGTGTCAGCAGTCATCCATCATGCTGGACAGTGTCAACAGTCATCCATCATGCTGGACAGTGTCAGCAGTCATCCATCATGCTGGACAGTGTCAGCAGTTATCCATCATGCTGGACAGTGTCAGCAGTCATCCATCATGCTGGACAGTGTCAGCAGTCATCCATCATGCTGGACAGTGTCAGCAGTCATCCATGATGCTGGACAGTGTCAACAGTCATCCATCATGCTGGACAGTGTCAGCAGTCATCCATCATGCTGGACAGTGTCAGCAGTCATCCATCATGCTGGACAGTGTCAGCAGTCATCCATCATGCTGGACAGTGTCAGCAGTCATCCATCATGCTGGACAGTGTCAGCAGTCATCCATCATGCTGGACAGTATCAGCAGTCATCCATGATGCTGGACAGTATCAGCAGTCATCCATGATGCTGGACAGTGTCAGCAGTCATCCATCATGCTGGACAGTATCAGCAGTCATCCATCATGCTGGACAGTATCAGCAGTCATCCATCATGCTGGACAGTATCAGCAGTCATCCATCATGCTGGACAGTATCAGCAGTCATCCATCATGCTGGACAGTGTCAGCAGTCATCCATCATGCTGGACAGTGTCAGCAGTCATCCATCATGCTGGACAGTGTCAACAGTCATCCATCATGCTGGACAGTGTCAGCAGTCATCCATCATGCTGGACAGTATCAGCAGTCATCCATGATGCTGGACAGTATCAGCAGTCATCCATGATGCTGGACAGTGTCAGCAGTCATCCATCATGCTGGACAGTATCAGCAGTCATCCATCATGCTGGACAGTATCAGCAGTCATCCATCATGCTGGACAGTATCAGCAGTCATCCATCATGCTGGACAGTATCAGCAGTCATCCATCATGCTGGACAGTGTCAGCTGTCATCCATCATACTGGACAGTGTCAGTATCAGTCAAAACTTTATTCATTAAATGTCTGTACACTTATAAATGACGAAGTTTATAATATTTCAAGTGCATGTTTAATTTATACAAATAAGATATAATTAAGAATGATCATTACAATTATTCATTTGCGTATAAATTAAATAAGTTACAATGACTCTTTGTTACAATTTTAACGACATTAAGAAACAATATAATAAATTTCTTAATTTAAAGAAAGAAAGCCATACGATGCCAAGTTAACGAACACGTGCTCAATACATAAGGAAAATACAGAAATTTGTATAGCCTCTGTCTGTATTTTACAGTCAGAAGCCTAATGTTTGACTGACTTGGCCCCTGTTTGTGACAAGTTCAAGTTCAAGTATGTTTATTGAGACATGAAAAAAATACATCTCAAAGGGATTGAATAGCTTAGGCTATTTCTACCCCCCCCCCCTCTGTTTGTGCCGGCTGCTGTTCATCATGAACATGTTGTATCAGTCATAACTCTTTCATATATGGCAGAAGTAATCAGTTCATTCACTAGTGTTACCATTATTGTTAATATTGTGGTTGTTCACTTTGTTGTTACCTCATATGTATCATCATACCCAACCGTATCATCATACTCAACAACCGTTTCATCATACAACATTGGATGTAGGCCAGATATCTTCTGAAGGCATCAGAAGGTTTAAGATTACTGTACGTTAAGATGCCACGGTTGTGTGTCCTCCTCCTGGGTGCTTCAAGCACGGACTTACTTCACTGTGTCCATATTATGATTAGTGATGTCCTGCAGCAGTTAGCTACACCACATTGCTATATTGACCAGCAGTGCATTGCAACACGTTCAGGAGCAGTGAATTGCGACGCGTTGAGGGGCAGTGCATTGCAACGCGTTGAGGAGCTGTTCATTGCAACGCGTTGAGGGGCAGTACATTGCAACGCGTTGAGGGGCAGTGCATTGCAACGCGTTGAGGGGCAGTGCATTGCAACGCGTTGAGGGGCAGTGCATTGCAACGCGTTGAGAGGCAGTGCATTGCAACGCGTTGAGGAGCTGTTCATTGCAACGCGTTGAGGAGCTGTTCATTGCAACGCGTTGAGGAGCTGTTCATTGCAACGCGTTGAGGAGCTGTTCATTGCAACGCGTTGAGGAGCTGTTCATTGCAACGCGTTGAGGAGCTGTTCATTGCAACGCGTTCAGGAGCAGTGCATTGCGACGCGTTGAGGGGCAGTGCATTGCAACGGGTTGAGGAGCTGTTCATTGCAACGCATTGAGGGGCAGTGCATTGCAACATATTGAGAAGTGCATTGCTACGCGTTAAGGAGCAGTCAGAACAAATCAAATAAACGTTAGTATTTATAAATGGTTGTGCATTTACAATTGAATTAGATTACACAAAATTACAGTACACTGTTTACCTTAAAGAAAGGCACATAGCAGTATAACACGCGATAATTTGAATTATTAATGGCTTAATCTAGATTATTATTTTGAGGCTTTTTGTTGGTGATTTATATAAATTATTGCTGTTGTTGCTGTAGTGAACAGGTGTACAGTTGTGGCTGGAGAGAACAGATGTACGGGTGTGACTGGAGAGAACAGGTGTACAGGTGTGGCTGGAGAGAATAGGTGTATGGGTGTGGCTGGAGTGAACAGGTGTACAGTTGTGGCTGGAGTGAACAGATGTACGGGTGTGACTGGAGAGAACAGGTGTACAGGTGTGGCTGGAGAGAATAGGTGTATGGGTGTGGCTGGAGTGAACAGGTGTACAGTTGTAACTGGAGTGATCAGGTGTACAGTTGTGGCTGGAGTGAACAGGTGTACAGGTGTGGCTGGAGTGAACAGGTGTACAGTTGTGGCTGGAGTGAACAGGTGTACAGTTGTGGCTGGAGTGAACAGGTGTACAGTTGTGGCTGGAGTGAACAGGTGTACAGTTGTGGCTGGAGTGAACAGGTGTACAGTTGTGGCTGGAGGAAACAGGTGTGCAGTTGTGGCTGGAGTGAACAGGTGTACAGTTGTAACTGGAGTGAACAGGTGTACAGGTGTGGCT